TGGTGGTTGAAGATCCTCTGGTTGAGTACCGGCCAGTGCTGGACCCTCGTGTTGAAGTCGTAGGAGCTTTTTTCGAGGCAGGGCCAGGGGTAGTGTATCTGACGGACGATTTGGTAGTGGTTGGCGGGTTATCAACAAAGGAGGTATCCGTGGTCCTAAGCAGACGGAGGGTCAGTTTCAAATACAATTATCATATTTGATTACGGCAACACACATGAAAGTTGTTTCTGCGTCATTTGCGCCAGATTGGTATTGTTGGTTTGAAGCAGCTTGCAATTCTAAGTAATGATCAGTAAATATCGCGCCTAGCATGATGGTAGAGTAGATTATTATATGGAATATACTTCGTACCATTTTCTTTCTCTCTTGCCTTTTCCCTCTGCTTAAAACGTGTGAATGATTCTGGGATAGGTGTCTGTATCGATGTTGGTTAGAGACAGTGACTGGAATGCTCTACGGCTGTATCAGTTAAACACACCTCTGGGAAGTCGACGCAGAAAGCGTTCATATTTAGTCCATATAAAAAGCTTGCAAAGCTCTCGTTAAATCTTGAGAGGCTTTCATGCATCAACTGGAGATGTACAAAATTCTCCTCCAAGTCCGCCATTGAATCTGCCAGCTCTGCGAATTGAGGTTCTAAGCTGTTTATTCCCGGTCGCGATCCACTAGCCGGGCCGCCACTGACCGAAAAACTGTGTGTATCGCGTATGGATGTCCTGGAGCTCGACCTTAGGGGGGTAGTAGGACGCGAGGCTTGCCGCGAGCGGGAGGTAGATCTCTGTCTCTTCACCTCCATCATAAGCCTGTATAGTTGGATAACTGCTTATATCCCCGTACTGTCCGTTTGCCGCGCAGATGTCTCCAATATCGTATTGCTCAATGATCAGCTTTCATATCATCTCTTCCGCAGTAATAATGTTGTTGATGTTGATGTTGTGAATAACACCTTTTTAGGTGGAGCATGTGATTTTCCACATAGGAGTCACGTGAAATTCTCTTCGCTCGATCTCTCCCGATCTCAGATCTTTTTCTTTTTCTTGCTCGGCGATGCAGCAGTTGAAAAGGGACGAACGATGAAGCCAGGATCAAACCCCCCCCCTTAACCGCCATCTGACTTTCGATCTGCTCTCGTTTCCCCCGGATTAGCGGAGGCCGCACCTTTTCTTTTCTTCTTGCTACTCTCTCCCCTTTTTCCTTCCCCCGCCTTTCTCTCCGCGTTTCCAAGGTTGCCTTAGTTCGAAGCAGGGTCCCATATCCATCATCCTACCTAAAAGTACATATGCGCAATCGACTCCCCTGCCGCTATACTTTCACCACACAGCCTCAATCGCTGCTCGCATTGCTCAGACCTGTGACTCTTGGTCGTTGCATCGGTTATCAGGTGCAATTGCCCAGGCTCAGCTCAACGGGGAATACCCTGTCTTCAGGAGCTCCTTTCTCATCCCGTGCACTTCCGAGGCCCCCTTACGGACAAGAGCACATCTTGCGGGCGTCCTCCGTGTGGACATTTTCTGTTTCCGCCCTCGTTCTATGTAGTGGGCTTGCACTTGGAGCGTTATATATACGAGACCGAAAGCAACAGCATCCACCACTACCAGCTGTCCCACTGCCGAAGCGAATCGAACCCCCACATATCCATCACAACACCACAATGAGTGAGCAACAGAAGCCCACCGGACATGTTGGAAATCTGACAAAGGAGGAGGAAGAGAAGTTGCAGGAGCTTTGGACTGCGCTTTTCAAAGTTTGCGGGGTGGTTGCTAGTGAAGGACCAGAGAAAGAGCAGAAGCCGAAGCAGCAGAATGGAAATGGAGAGAATGCGACATCCTCTGATACCAGTTCTCCTGATGCGAAGAAACCAAAGAAGAGACTGGGTTTCTTCAGCAGGAAGAGCGAGAGCCCCAGCGAGTCTCCGTCATCAGACAGCGTGTCGAACTCAGTTGCGGCAATGAAGCTATCTGACACCGACGACAAGTACGGCGAGACAAGTCAGTTTCTTGAGGCTCTAAAGGATACCTCGCCAGAAGAAATAAGGCTTGTGTTCTGGAGCATGGTCAGGCATGACCACCCTGATGCACTCTTGCTGCGTTTCCTTCGTGCACGCAAGTACGATGTCAACCGTGCCTTGGTAATGCTGGTGTCTGCATTTCGATGGAGATCACAGACCATGAATATCGATGATATCATGGCTAAGGGTGACTGTTTTATGGAAGAAGAGAGCAAAAGTGACGACCCGGCTAAGAAGCAAGAGGCTTCTGATTTCGCTAAGCTTCTCCAACTTGGTGAGAGTTTTATGCATGGTCACGATAAATTTGGACGACCGATATGCTATATTCCGGTGCGCCTGCACCGAATTGGGGCTCACTGCGAGCCCAGCCTTGAAAGATACACTGTATACCTCATCGAAACGTCTAGACTTCTTTTACAACCCCCAGTAGAGACTGCTGTAAGATCCTCCCACTTTCGTTATTAATGGGACAAGCTAATGTTCTAAATAGGCCCTTATTTTCGATATGACTGATTTTTCTCTGGCGAATATGGTATGTTCGAATCAATACTCTCTTGTATCTGCACTAACAAGGAGCAGGATTATACCCCTGTTAAATTCATGATTAAGTGTTTCGAGGCAAATTATCCGGAAAGCTTGGGAGTGATTCTAGTACATAAAGCCCCATGGATATTCTCCAGCATCTGGGCCGTCATCAAGGGATGGCTTGATCCTGTGGTTGCGGCAAAGGTGCATTTCACCAAAACCCCCGAGGATTTGGAAGCCATTATTCCCCGCAAGAACCTTATCAAATCCCTTGGTGGCGAAGATGAGTATGAATATAAATATGTCGAACCCATTGAGGGTGAGAATGATAAGTTAAAGGACACCGCTCGCCGTGACGAGCTGCTGAAAACCAGAATGGAGATGGCCGGTGCTTTCCAGGAAGCTACTCTAGCGTGGACAGCTTCCAAGTCGAATTCTGCTACCAGCGAGGAGGAGAGCTATTTAAAGAAAACCAGGACCGAGCTTGCTGAGAAACTTTGTGAGAACTACTGGCAGCTTGACCCTTATATTCGTGCGAAATCCATGTACGATCGTCTGGGTCTTATTCCACCTCCAAAGGAAGCCAAGGAGCTCTCAGCCACACAGCAGCTGTCTGAGAAGATGAATGGAGATACTGTTCCAACTGCAGCCGAACACACTGCACCTGCGGTCTGATATAACCACACTGCCATCATGGATTTTTTGTCTTCTGTTGTTTCGATACCTACATGGGACTTGTTTTGTATGTGCATGAATAGCTCCTAGTTACAACGTGGGATGTCATCGCTCCATGTCCGTCGGGGTGTAGGTACATTCTAATGAGGAGCATAATATACTACGCCTATTTGTGTTGAACCATGTCTTTCTTTTTATAGTTCTCCTTTCATCCCTTTCACTCCCCGGGAAGAGGACCTTTAAAGTTGGAGTGTACGTTAAGCTTCACCTTGGGGCAGATATAACTGGGTTTGTGATTTTTTCGTGCATATATATATTTGTATGTGCATCTGAGTGCGAAGAGATATACCATATCTACACAGAATAAAGAGTATGGCAATGAGATACCCCTTCTTACTGATTGTGTTATTTTTCTTTTCCTTTCTCGTAACTTTAACGTGGCTTTCTACATCTTGGACTTAAGCTCTTCCAAGAGAACCTTGAGGTCTTCCTTGTCTGCTTCCTTGGCAGGCCAGCCAATGCCGAGACCTTCCGGTTCATTGGGCTTTGGAATCTACGGGACGTTAGATTAGTACATGTTAATAGATAAAATCATTAGCTCTTACCATATGAAAGTGGACCTTAGAATTGATCGTTAGCACAATTGTGTCAGTTGGAAGTCCAATTGTAAGATACTTACATGGTCCACAACCTGATGAGCTATCCGGCCGTTGTTCTGGAGAATGTTGAAATCAGCCACACCAGCAGCAATGGCAATCTTCTTCGCAACCGGCTTCGAAACAGTTAGCATCGATGTGTCCAGAGAGTAGGAGACGTAATGAAACACACCAAGAGCTCGGTCAGGTCTGCATCCGGGATATCAGTGAGTTTAGCACCGTGGTACTTGGGAATCACAAGCTAATATAGGCCGAGCCGAGTCAGCATATGGCTTCCGCCAAAAAATCAAGCTGAACTGACCGCATGACCTCTGCTAAGAGGCTGGATGTCCAAGAATGCCAGGACGCGGTCACTCTCGAAGAGCTTCATGCAAGGGATCTCACCTGTGACAGTCAGTAATCGCATTGAAACAGAACAAACCAGAGTGGCGATCTGCTTACCCTTGATGATCCTGCAAAAGATACAGGCAGCGTTCGAAGCCATGGTCTTAGTTACCAGCTATTGAAGTCGCGGTGTATGTAATAGTTAAGAGAAGTCGACGTCGAGCGCGGGGCGTTGCGGGTGTTTACTCTTTCTATTACATCACTAGCGGAAAATACAAAATAAATATCGAAAAAGAACCGCCGGTGCTCGAACCCACGGCCTGGTAAGGCTCCCTTATAAGCAAGTCACGGGAGAAACTGCGAGGAGTGGGACAAACTAGCTCAGAATCCATTTCTTGCCTTTTACCAGAGATGGCCGTGGTTTTGCCCATAATACTCCGCTCACCAATCTTTGAACCTCCGAATATCGACAATAGTCGGTCGATAGTTTTAATTTTTGTTCGCGAGATTTTGACTTTGGCACTCCTGCTATCAGTCTATTAAAAAAAAAGAGCGAGGGAAAAGGGGGCATTGGGCGTGTTACAGACAGGAGACGAGTGCGTGGCGATACTGCTGTGTCGTGTGCTTTGCGGCATAGTAAAAAGGGGTTATCAAGACTCTGATGGCACAACGATATCACCGACTACAAACTAGGCACACAAGATAGCAGTTTGATACGTCCTTGAAGTGATGTCCTTGTTAATTTGCATCCGATTACAAAAGGACACGCCCTGTCTGGACAACTTCGGCGCCGGCCAGAAGTCAACCGGCGCTTCTCCGCACCCCGCTCGGCTCTTTCTGGCTGTGCCCGTATAAATAGGGAAGATCTCTTTGCCGACGATGGCTTCCCCAGGAAACATATACAGATTGACAAGATCGAGAGACAAGATGCTGACTACCGAGTTGTCTGAAGCCGATGTAGCTGGCCTGAGGGCCAACAAGGAGAGACTGCAGGAATGGATCCATCATAGCTGCCAATGGGGTACCGGCATCAAATGGGGAGAGTAAGTGGATTTGCATTTGCTACGCTGTGATATTAGATCGCTAATAGATCACAAGCCACCCAACTGAGACCGGCATGGCCCGTCTCGCGCTTTCTCAAGAAGACAAGCAAGTCCGAGACTGGTTCGTGAAGACGACAAAGTCACTTGGATGCAAAGTCACGATTGATAGCATGGGAAACATCTTTGCTGTCAGGCCCGGCAAAAGAGCAGATGTACCAGCTACATTTGTAGGAAGTCACCTAGATACCCAGCCTACCGGTGGACGATATGATGGTATTCTCGGTGTCTGCGCGGGTATTGAGATGCTGAAGATCCTTGATGAGAAAGGAATCGAGACAGAGGGCGGAGTTGGTGTAGTCAACTGGACGAAGTGCGTATTCACTATTCTTTTAAAACGTACACACTAGCTATGTAAAAAAAAAAGCTAACAGTTGCATAAACAGCGAGGAAGGAGCCAGGTTTCCCAAGAGCATGATATCGGCAGGCGTTTGGGCGGAGGGGATATCCCTAGAAACTGCCCATTCGCTCCTAGAAGTGCCAACAGTAGCCTCACTTCCCTCGGCTGCTTCGGCCCCTGAATCCATGAAATTCGCTCTCGAAAGGATTGGCTATCTGGGCAGTGTCCCTTGTTCCTACAAATCCTTTCCCATTGCAGCCCATTTCGAACTTCATATCGAACAGGGACCTCATCTCGTCACTGCCGGCCAGCATGTTGGTGTCGTCACCGGGGTTCAGGCATACCGCTGGTATCGCATTAACGTAACAGGTCGAGATTGTCATACGGGTAGCACCGCCTTCCAGCACCGTGCAGACGCCATATACGCTTCTGCAAGGATGATGGTACGAGCCCGTGAAGTAGCCGATAAGCACGGCTGCCTTGCCAGCGTCGGCATTGTCGAAGTTAAACCAGGAAGCGTCAACACTGTGCCAGGCTTCGTCAGCTTCAGTCTCGATATCCGTGGCCCCGAAATTGAGAATGTAGATGTCGTAGATGCTGAGCTACGAAGAGAATTTGATATCATTGCCGGGGAGGAAGGGAAGGGTATAGGCAAGCCCTGCCGTGCAGAATGGCAGTTGGACTTCGAGACTCCTGCTACAAAGTTCCACCCTGAATGTATCGAGTGCGTCACAGAATCTGCCAAAGCCGTTGTTGCGGATAAACCAAACCCGGAGACTCTTTATAGGACTATACGCAGCGGAGCTGGACATGACAGTGTCTTCACAAACAAGAGGGTTCCAACCAGCATGGTCTTCGTACCGTGCAAAGATGGAGTCAGCCACCATCCCGAGGAGTTTTCATCGGCCGAGGATTGTGTGAATGGTGCGTCTGTCATTCTACAAGCTGTGGTCAGGTATGATAGACAACGATTCAAATAGACAGCTCCCTTATCCCGAATTTATTAGCCGTGATGATAAAAATAACTAAAATACCCGTAAGGGACCTTCATGACGAATTAAATGCCATTGGTATATATCTAGCTATCGTCATATCTGTAAATTTTGTTTGTTCCTTTCTTTTCACCTTCACATTTCATCATCCATCATCATACCTATCGTCTAAACCAGCAGCATCATGAATGCCGTCTGACTAGTTGTATCGATAAGTTTGATTTAAGAAGATGGGGCTGGGCCACCGCGTCCACGGCCGAATCCACCACGGAAAGATGGGTTGAAGTCACCAGGGGCACCGCCCTCCTTGCCCTCAGCACCCTCACGACGTCTGTAACCGCCATCACGGTCACCACGGTCGCCACGAGGACCACCACGACCACCAGGACGTCTCTCGCGCTCTTCGCCGCCCATCATGCCGCGTGGGGGAGCGTGCGAGCGCTGCTGCTTGATGTGCGTGGCTGGCACAATCTCAGCTGGGAGGTGAAGCCATTCACGGAGGTAGTCAAGACCCTCGGGGGTGAGGGTGTAGTAGTAGTACTGCCACGAGAAACGGGTCTTGAGGTAGCCGCGAGAAGTCAAAGACTGGCAGGCTTTGATGACCTGTAATAGATATCCGTAAGCATTTGCGCATGGTTGCCTCGATATCTTTTTTTGTTCATCATCACTTCAAGCACATACATAGAGGTTCTTGGTGTCAATGTCGGAATGCTTGGGCAGGTTGTAGTCCTTCTTAGCCACGAGAACACCCTCTGAGACACAACATTAGTTTCCGGAATCCTCATTCGAAATTCGCAGAGGGAGCAATTGCATACCGCGGAAGAGGTACTCGTGGATGAGCTTGCGGTCAGCCTTTGGAATTAACCTACAGCCGGGCAGTTAGCGGGATGGAAACCTGGTGATCTTGCGGCATCTCAGCTTACATTGTCGCGAGTTCCTGGCGCTTTTCGGGGAATCGCTTTTGACAATGCGATATGTAGTTCTTGGTGAAGGTGGTTTTACGTAGACTTAACCCGCGATACGCTGGAGAGGAGTGTGTAAATGGAAATTTTTAGGGTTCGCGAACACTTTGCCCTACACTCTTAGTAATCCCAGGACTCCACGTGATTTTTCATCCTCACGTGATTATGCCAAGCCTTGAAGGCGATGCTTGAGATCGCAGCGACCTCGTCAGAGTTCCTTCAACTCAAGCATAGCATTCTCATCCCCGTTATAAGTTCTATGTTAACAGAGGAAAGACAATTCAATAACATATTCTTTACCATTGCTTACAGGCCTCTGTTAACATGGCACCGTTCACCATCAACGTTCTTCTTTCATCTTTCCCTGGCCTCGCCCTTCCTGCAACCTTGGCCATCCCTCTACCGTCAACATCTTCTATCGCAGACCTCACAGACAGAATAAGCGCCCATCTTCCTTTTCCCCTGACTGCTCAGTCCTCGCCTCTTATATTGACAACAACGAACAACAAGCAAATTTCCTTCTCTTCACCTGCAAAACTTAGCAACCTCATACCAGACATTGTTGAAAATGGCGTCGCAAACACTGCTTCTACTTTTCTACCGCTCCGCCTTAGCGTCCGCGTATGTGGCGGAAAGGGAGGATTCGGCTCGCAGCTCAGAGCGGCTGGAGGCCGAATGTCCAGCCGACGAAAGGGAAACCAGGATACAAACACGGGCTCAAACCGTAACCTCGATGGCCGCCGTCTGCGGACAGTGAAGGAGGCAAAGGCCCTAGCAGAATATCTTGCATTGAAACCAGAAATGGATAGAAAAGAAAAGGAAGCTCGAAAGAGGCGATGGGAGGCTGCTGTTGCCGCTGCGGAGAAGAAAGAGCAAGAGATCCGGAATGGTGAAGGAAAAGGGAAAGTTGATGGTGCATGGATGGAGGATAAAGAAGAGATGAGCGAAAAGGCTCGCGAGGCTGTTCTTCAAGCTATGGCCGGGGGCGCCTGGAAAGATAACCTTGCTGGGTTACTGGATAGTGCAGAAGCTAGTGGGAGCAGCGGAAGCGGAGGATCCATGGACGCCAGCGAGGATAGTGACATGGAAGACATTTATGAAGAAGATTCTCCTAACGAGCCCAGTGCAAGCACGAAAAAGCCAGTCAGACGGTTCTTTGGGTTCGATGATGAGGAAGATGATGAGGACCTCATGTCAGAGGATGAAGAGGATGAAATTGATGAGACCGATACCAAAGGCAAAGGAAAGGCAAGGGTATGATTTTACCTTATATTACATAACTAGCGGCGCAACAGGAACTGGAGTCTTGAGGAATTAGCTCTAGCAATGGATGGATTTTGAATAATAATATTCACCTTGAGAGAATGAAGTGAGATTACATCCACCTCGAATCCACTTCGCAGGTAAAAATAAAGTTTCCGTCGGGTATGGGCCATTATCAGATCGGATCTCGGATATTCTAATGATCCGCTGATAAGAACTTTAGATGGGTTGAGCAAGCTCTGATCCATTGCAGTTCAAAATTTGGCAGCTTGTCAAAAAGTGCTGCCCGTCATATATCTGGAAGAAAGGAATATTTGCGCGATGCTAATTCCTATTTTTAGATCCCAGTCTCGAAATATACTCCACCGCTCCCCGATCACCCACCGAAAATACACTTTTATTCGATGCTTGTCAGAATGGCGAGCTCTCCAGCCATATAGAGCGTCTTTTCCATCGTCCACAGCGTTTCCCCTTGCACCAAGACAACAAAGACAACATAATTCTACTGAGAGTTTGCAAACTACAGGGAAAGATCTAGAAACATGGGCACTTCCTGACACATGCCACGGTTGTGGCGCGTTGACACAATGGGTATACCCTAAGGAGCCTGGGTATTATACCGTTACGCGAAAGCCCGTGAAGCAATACATTCGGCATATCACTCAGGGAAAGCAGTCAGATGTAGATGCTTCACCCATAGCAGCTTATGAGAATAAACCTGCACAAGAATCCAAAGAACCTGAGCACATAGCGATTCCACTGTGTGACCGATGCCATAATCTGATCAACCATGGAGAAGGGGAAGCAATACCCTATCCCACGTTATCTTATATACGTGACCTAATCGAGGAGTCCCCTTTCCATAACAATTATATTTATCATGTTGTCGATGCGGCCGATTTCCCACTTTCCGTGATCCCAAATCTCCAACGATATGTGCCAATACAACCACAGCGCAGCCAGAATAGAAGGTCGCATACCAAGAAATATGGATCGAGTCGCTATCTAGCTGAATTGAATTTTGTTATTACCCGAGCCGACCTACTGTCGAATGTAAAACCGCAAGCAGACTCGCTGATGAAACATATGGTCGAGATCTTGCGGCAAACCTTGGACCGCAAAGAGCACGGTATCAGGCTGGGAAACGTTCATATGGTTAGCTCATATAGGGGCTGGTGGACAAAGGAGATCAAGCAAGATATCTGGAATCAAGGCGGCGGCGTATGGATGGTGGGCAAGGTGAATGTCGGCAAAAGCAAGTTGATAACATCAGTGTTCCCAAAGACCGCTCCTGCATACAAGGCCAGGAAACTCCAGAACTCCAAAGGGATCACTATAGTAGGGCGTTCTACACCTCCGGATAAAACAAACGTTTCAGCGGCTGAGGAACTGGAAGACGAAGAGGATGGAGTTGCCGTCTTGCTCCCGCCACTGCAGAAGGAAGTCCCCTTTCCTAACCTCCCGATTGACTCTGTCCGTCCTGGAACTACAGCTTCTCCTATTAGAATACCATTTGACAAGCACCGAGGTGAAGTTATTGACTTGCCCGGGCTCTTCCGTTCCGGCCTTGACGAGTTTGTACGGGACAAGCATAAATCTGACTTGGTAATGACAAGCCGGCCGAGACCAACTCAACTAACAATCAAACCCGCACAATCGCTTCTTCTGGGTGGTCTGATTGGAATTAAGCCATTAGAGGAGAACGAGATTTTTCTGGCTTCTCCCTTTGTTTCCTTGGAACCACACACTACTCACAAAGACAAAGCAGCCGAGATGCTAGCTCAACAAAGAGAATGTCCCACAGGAAACATTGCAAAAGAAGGAATTGGAGAGCAAATTACTTCCGCTGGGATAGTTGAGCTGAAGTATGATGTGACCGCCAGATACGCCAAACCTCTTCCAAATGGCGACTTACCATCATTATATCGAATAATGGGGGTTGACATCCTTATTGAGGGTTGTGGATGGGTAGAGCTTACTTGTCAAGTCAGGACGAGAACCCGAGAGCCTGAAGACTTCCCCAGAGTTGAATTGTTCAGTCCCCAGGGGAAATTCGTTGGAAGCCGGATGCCATTGAGCACGTATGCCTTCAGCCTGAAGCATCGAGCACAGGAGGAAAACAAGCGTATGACAAGATCAATGCGCCCTGCAATCAAAAGACATTCCCGAAACCATTAAGGAGGCACGTATCATATCTTTTCTTGGGCCTTCCTTGCAGGCTACCAGGTTTTGGGGCTCAAAATTGGCGTGGGTTGGAGTTCTGGATGCTTCTTTTTTCCTTCATATTTCCTGTATAACACCCACACGACTGTATTTCTACTTATATATAGATGTAAGATAACGACTAATAGATCAAAACAACCCAGGTACAGGTTTAACAGATGGCGTTTAGACAAGGGGGTAAGAGATCTCCACTGAATACGGCCAAATATCGTCCCGGGCAGTGATATGCTTGCACCTTGCTGCTTCGGCCACGAGGCAAAACGTCATGCTGCAGGGAAGCACTGTCTAGCGAGTTCAACGGTACTACCTAATTAACATCAACCTCACCGTTAAGTACGCCAATCTTTGCAATCGCCGTGCTTTTTGTCCATCTGGCTCCTGAGCTCCACGATGGATGACTAAGTGCGGGTGCGGGTGTGGCGCCTTGCCAGATGGCGGCGATGGAGCAACTTTAGGACTTCGAGAAGTTCACCCAGCCAAGTTCTTGAGCAAAGCAACATACACGAATAAGACGTCCATACCTACCGCCCGACCTACAGCCTGGTGCTCAGCAGGTATCATAGCAATCTCTTGGACGGTGATCTGACCTGTCCTTTGATTTTACCCTCTCATCCCCTGTCACCGCCGATATCGAAGTTCCCGGTGTCGAGACGTCGGACATCTGCACCTGACGGCGTCGGCAATAGCTCCATTTCGCTCGAAGAATCTCAGCTCCGGGACAGACTGTTTTGCTTTTGGCCTGGAACTTGTTCTCATATCCTGCGCTGGTTTCGCAGAGCTGTACTTTGAGTCACTGATGACATTTGGGCGGTGTTCTGTCTAATCCTATGGGGTGAGGGGAGTTCTTTTATTTCACCCGCTGCAGCCATGATGCGTCCTAAAGCTTCGTCTTCTATGCAGAAGACATACGACGACTGCTATTTGATGTGTTCGACGGCTGTATATTTCGAGAATCAGGTAAGTACACTACCCTACACTGCCAATACCCCGCCAGGCGGTCGTGGACCGGTCACCAGTTCCCTGTAGAGATGGAGGGATATATATATTACCGGATTTTGTTGCTGACTTTTCCATCTTTCACCTGCAGAATAACGAGTTAGAAGCATTACGAACTTGGAAAGCCGCCCTAGATGCGCTCTACTACCACAATGCGCACAAAGTTCCATCTACCTATATTCCCAAGAATGACATTGAGCGAGGCTTGCAGGATTCTTTGCGTGAGCTGGAACTGCAATGCAAAGAAAGGGTCACGCTCTTGGAAACTCTACGAGAAAGTCGTAAGGAGGCCGGTATGGATGTTGATGTGAAAGGGGCGTCCACCCAGAAAGGAAAACTAGAAAAACCGAGGCCTCAGGTAAATGGATCTCAGAGCTCCATCACTAGTGGCCATTCGGGTTGGATTGGCGAGGGAACTATCCCTTCCTTAAGTTATCCGGATCTGCCACGACCACCAGCTTTACCACCTCGATCCACAACGCAGAGCCAGTCGAACCTCAGTTCTACAACACCTTCTCCAATGACCAGTTCGGGTGATATTCGCGGTTTAGGATTGGATTCCCTGCCATCACCTCCAACACTGCCTGTACCGGCCATACCCAGGGACACCAATCGGCTGCAAAACCCGGAGAAAAAGAAGACGCTGCTCACTACACTTCGTGGAAAGGATCTGAAATCCCCCACAAACTCCAACATACAACCACGCAAACATTCGAAGCCGGCTTCTAAAGCTGCTGGTTTGGCTTGGAGCTTTGTTACCCAATCAAACTCATCCAAACGTGGCCAAACTTCCCCGGTAAATGAGTCTGCCCCTGCAACTCCACGGAAGAGTACTTCGAGTGACTCTGGTTCGCGGAGGGATGTTCTCCCAACCCGCCGTTCCACTGATCAATCTTCAACACCAGTCCGAGCATCTCATCGCCCAGATTATTTCTCCAGCTCTCCAATCACACGAAGAATATCCGGAGATCATACTGCTGCGAGTTTAGCTGCGGGCGCCGCCGCCGCGGCAGCCGCTGCCCAAAGACCAATGGATACAGAATCACCCAACAGCTTCCTTGATTCTTCTCCGGAGCTCAAAGGAGGACCATCCGATAAACCAAAGTCAACAGACAAGAAGAATGACTCTGGGTATAGCCCACCACAATCCAAGCCCCCGCCGTCTCTAAAAAGCTCCAACGCGGAGCCCGCGCGATCTGCCCCAGCCATGCAAGCCACTCTTCAACCTCGCTCGAATAAAGTTACACCCGATGATGCTTTCCAGAGGAAGGCTGTCAAACCATCAAATTTTGTACCTTCTAAACCTCGACCAAACGTGAAAGATTGTAGTAGAAATGTCGAAGGCCGCAATTATGACTTTCCCCCTAACGGCAAAATGAGACAATCGAATACTCAAGCCTCGGCGCCTGCAAGTCGACCGGCAGTTGGGCCAAAGAGGACAACATCCAAGTCTAGTAAATATTCAGCAGAGATTCCCGCTCAAGGAGACAATATTGAAGATGATATTGACCTACCAGAATATGAACCGGAGGAAGATCTCGTCTTACAACGAGCGTTGAGCAATTTGCCAAAAGGAGTTGATCAGGAGTCTGCCAAACAAATATTCAAAGAAATCGTGGTACATGGAGATGAAGTGCATTGGGACGACGTTGCTGGTCTCGAACTTGCAAAGACGGCTCTGAAAGAAGCTGTTGTGTACCCTTTCCTTCGACCAGATCTTTTCATGGGGCTTCGTGAACCAGCCAGGGGCATGCTATTGTTTGGTCCCCCGGGCACTGGAAAGACCATGATAGCCAGAGCTGTTGCTACAGAATCTCAATCCACATTTTTCTCAGTCTCGGCTTCAAGTTTAGCTTCGAAATGGCATGGGGATAGTGAGAAGCTGGTTAGAGCACTGTTTGGACTAGCTAAAGCGTTAGCCCCGTCTATCATATTCGTTGATGAGATTGATGCACTGCTCTCCTCACGATCTCGGTCTAGCGAGGCAGAAGTCTCCAGGCGTATCAAAACGGAATTCCTTATCCAATGGTCTGATCTACAACGAGCTGCCGCAGGCAGAGAACAAAATTCCAAGGACAAGAAAATGGGCGATGCATCACGAGTCTTAGTTCTCGCGGCAACAAATATGCCATGGGATATAGACGATGCAGCTCGGCGCCGGTTTGTTCGAAGGCAGTATATACCTCTTCCAGAACCTGAGGTGCGAAAGCTACAACTACAGAAGCTGCTGAGCCATCAGAAGCATGAGCTCTCAGAGGCCGATATTGATAAATTATCTAGTCTTACAGAAGGTATGACACTTCGCGTACGCCGTCTGTTTGTTGAACTTATTGGATCTGACTATTGCCTAGGTTTTTCTGGATCTGATATCACTGCTCTTGCAAAGGATGCAGCTATGGGTCCATTACGCAATTTAGGCGAGGATCTCCTTCATATCCCAATGGAAAAGATATCTCCTATTTCCTTCAAGGATTTTGAAGCTTCGCTACTTTCGATCCGCCCCAGTGTGAATCAAGACGGATTGGATCGTTATGATGAATGGGCAAAGAACTTTGGAGAAAGAGGGGGTTAACCCCCCCCCCCCCCCTCCCCCCGTCTTCTACTCTAGTCAGTTATATATTTTCTCATATTTGTTTCTCTTGTTGCATTTGCTCGCCGGAAAAACCTCTGTTTATTGTTTTGCCTTCTGGAGCCATCGAGGACGCCCTAGTGGTTCCATGTTCTCGGGAGTTGCATTGCATGAAATTTTTCTGGCGTTTTACTCCCGAGGGTCTCGAAGAGTGAGAAGAAATGGGCTTGAGTGGCATTCTGGGTTCATGTCATCTGGAGTTATTTGTGTCTCTTGAGGTTTGGCATGGTTGTCTGGATGGGGCGGTTTACAAGTGTATTGTTATGCATCGTAAAAAATATATCAAAGTCCGATGTATCTAGTTGCACGTACCGACTCATCATGGTCTCTTCACTTGAGCTGTTGTTCTCTTTTCTATCAATATAAGTAGCTTCAACTTAGGGATCTTGTAGTCACCATTAGTAGGCACAACAATACTAATCGTGATATAAATTCCTTAAATATACTACTCAGTCTGTTGAATTTACTAATGCCGCCATGCACAAAAGCAAAAGTCCACGCCGATGGAAAATAAAAAGATTAATTACCTTCGACGCAAGTATGCTGATTTTGGTCCCTCGGTGTTAATATACAATAGTCAGCTACGAATACATTGAAAATCTTCAAATACCGCCAAAACCGCCTTCTAAATGAAGCGCATAAAAATAAATATCATGGCTATCCGGTAACATGCATCCCTCACGCATTGGATTGTTTCTACCTCTCCTTCTCAGCCTCCAGTCTCTTCATAACTCGTTCCTTGAGTTTTCCCATTCTCAGCTCCCCAGTTACTTCAATATCGACGGGCTGGCCGTTCGCCATTCTTTCAAGCCTCCTGAGTCTTCTGTTCTTCCGCGCATTCAATTCCTCTTCTTTTCTCTCCGCATAAGTCATCACAGGGGGGCGGTCTTCGATGGGTGTTCCGAAAGGTACGATAATCCTTTCTACTACATGTCTAACATGTTCGCTCACACGTCGCCCACTCCAAAATTCAATCTTGTCACCTTCTCGTAGTGAATCACGGGGGTCAGAGACTAGATGAACTTTCTTTACGAGGAACCGCTTCTGGAGAGAGTTGTCGAATTTGGTGCGTATTTGTTCCACGCGAACGGTGCGTTGCATGCGGCCTGCAGAGATGACGGTGCCAAAGCCACGGCTTACACCTGGAGGGAGTGTGGAAGTCGAGGTAGGTGTTGTTGTAGACGTAGTGTCGGAAGCGGGGGTTTGAGATTGAGTTGATGTCGAGGTAGAAAATGGTGAAGAACGTGGTAGAGAGGATAGTAACTTGGAACTGGCAATGCTTCCTATTGTTTTCGTAGCTAGAGGTTGCATATGGCGGACAAGAGACGGTATTGAGGATGCAACGGGCCTAAAGGCCAAATGAGAGAAGGGTATCCCGCATAGACGGAGAAGCTGGTTGCGTGTTGAGTTCATGATCACGTCGCTTTCGTGGGCGCCGCGCCCAAAAAAAAGGGGAACCTGTCTGGCAAGGCAATGGAGAAATCAGAGGTTCTGTGGAGTCAATGCCCGGTAATATACGCAATATTCACAGGTTCAAAGGCTCCAGGGCAATTGACGGCAGGCTGGTGTATCGCTGTCCAGCTTTCTTTCCATCGTTGAAGCATCAAAAATTCCCGTCTCGAAGCCAAAAATCCATATCACGTGAGATTATAGCCCGCTTACCTAATTTTACGGATAATACATATCCCTAATTCCGCCATTGGCTAAATTTGGAACCCACATATTCCCACCCCCAACCAATCAAAAGCGATATCCCAGATAGGCAACTTCCCACTTGTACTTGTTGACGTTGAAGTTGAACTTGATAGTTGCATCTTTCGATCCTACAACACGATGTTATAGGGATGCGGGTATAAAACAGATACTATCTCCGACTAATCACTAAAAGATAGAATGGAACCGCCTCTCAATGCCAAAACTAAAGGGGAAGGGAGCCAGGATGAAGTTGCTGCCTGGGAAGTAGAAGAAGGAATACCCCAGTTTGAAGACCAGTTTATCCAAAAGTATTTACAAGGGAGGAATGCCTTGATCCAGGAGGAAAAGAAGCAGAGGCATGGTGAGTTCTAGGTTTATCAGACTCCAAATATTCTGTTCAGGGCATTATTGAATGGAAAATATATCCTAAGCGCTCGAGTTGCAAATGATCTAGAAATTTAGGCTTATATCTGACACTGTTTGCTATAGATGCTCATTTTCAAAAGTGCATGTCAGCCTCTACAAAGGAAGCATGCCGAATTATCTCACATATTCGAGACAGGGAGTTAAAGACTGTCTGGAATAAGGTGGAGGAGGAGAATCTAGCAAAGACCCAGGATACGGTGCTTTACCCAGGAATGATGTTCCGGCTAGCTAAGGATAAGATGGAAGGAACAGATTTATGGAAGATAGTTAAAAGGATGCCAAAAGGTGAGTTGCGGCACCATAGTAACCAGATCGTACACATGGGGCAGTGAAATAGCATATAGACGTCGGCTAATTCTCTGTCAAAAGGAGCTTTACTACATGGCCATCTCGAAGCAATGGTTGATTTGGATGTACTGGTAAACCAAGTGTTATCTCTCCCTGGCATTCACATTGCATCGGACCGGCCATTAATAGGAGAGAGCCTCTTACTTTCTCCACTACGATTTCAGTATTTTTCCGAAGCACAAAATGTTGCGTCTGAAACTAGCGCATCGGGCATCTGGAGTCCAACGTATAAACCACAACTGTTCGTTCCCGTTAAAGAGGCTGCCGAAACATTCCCAGATGGGGGAGTTAGGGGATTCAGCGATTGGCTTAAGGGGAGGTGTACTATTGAGAAGGAGACATCCCTGAATCATCACCATGGATGTGCAGCTATCTGGGAAGTACTTGATCAAAAATTCCAGGTAGTAGATGCGATACTCTACTATGAACCGATATTTCGAGCATGTCTCAAGCATATGCTGGCAGAGTTAAACGAAGACGGCATTCGATACGTTGAATTCCGACTAGCCTTTGGATTCGAATATCGCCGTGATAAGTGTGAGGAGCCCGACTTCAATTTTGAGTCGATATTCGAAGCGTTTGGAGAAGAGATCGAAAGGTTCAAAGCCTCAGAAGCCGGTAAGGGGTTTCACGGCGCCCGGATGATATGGACGACTATGCGAAGCCATCCAAACCGTGATATTGTGGAGAGCATGAAAGAGTGTATACTCACCAAGCTGCAGTTCCCCGAGCTCATCTGCGGCTTCGACCTGGTTGGGCGTGAAGATGATGGGAGGTCGCTGGTGGACATGATCCCTGTCCTATTCTGGTTCAAAAAACAGTGTGCTGTGGAGGGAGTCGAGATCCCTTTCATGTTCCATGCAGGAGAGTGTCTGGGAGACGGCGACGAGACAGACTCAAATCTGTACGATGCAATTCTCCTAGGCACACGCCGTATCGGCCATGCGTTCTCTCTCTACAAGCATCCTCTGCTCATAGACCTGGTAAAAGAGAAGAAGATTATGGTCGAGTGCTGTCCGATCTCGAACGAGGTGTTGCGGTTCACTAGCTCCATCATGTCACACCCGCTTCCAGCCCTGTTGGCTAGAGGCGTAGCTGTGTCACTGTGCAACGATGATCCATCGATGCTCGGCCACGGCAAAAACGGACTTACCCATGACTTCTGTCAAGTACTAAACGGCCTGGAAAACGTTGGTCTCTCGGGCCTTGCTACCATGGCCGAGAACTCGCTCAGATGGAGCTGCTTCGAGGACCAGGACAACTCGGCCTGGCTTGCAGATATCAAACGAGGTATAGCTGGAACGGGCCGGAAGAGCGAGCACATACGCAACTGGCACATCGAATTTGAGCAGTTTTGTCAGTGGGTGGTTCTCGAGTTTGGCGCCGACATTCCTCCAAGCGACGACTAGAGATTTACCATTTGCTTCTTTCATTTTTGTTGTCTTGCGACTAAAACACACTGCATAGATGAGGCTATATAGGGACCTATAACTAACTACGGAGCAGCAGCATCATCATCCATCCTCATTTGCCTTCTTCCACGTCGCCTGAGCCGGTCATCTAGCGCTGTTTGCTCTGTTTGGCTGCCCTGATCACGCCTCGCATCGCCGGTCGAGAGGGCAACGACTTAGTCAGCACCACTAGCCGCAGCCAGTCTAAGCTGCACGACGGCGTAAAAAGAGTCAACTCCGTCATATCTGAAGCGCTAGTTTGCAGTCCACGGCATCGCTCATGGCAAATCATGCCTGTAGCCTCACAGCAAGCAGCTCCAGCAGGTGGCAGACGTGGCAGCGTTTTGTTTCTCCCGTCGTTTCCGTCTCTTCTTTTAGCCAGTAGTTAAAATCCCCCATGGCAGCGCCTCTTGACTGACCCATCGTTCCCCCGGTTTATCCTTTTGTCTCTACTTTGTTCGCTGTGTCAAGTGCCTGTCTCGGGAGGCCTTTTAGCCCTTTCATCCTAATAACAGATCTCAAGCCTTGTCTTCTGTGGCTTGCTTTGACTATTCTCTTATTTTGCTTGAGCTTGCTTGATGCTGCTTGCTTGATCGCTGGGCTGTTTCTCTGTATAACTATTTATTTGTTGAGCCTCAAGGTCCGCATCTACGGCTCACATCTATTGTTGCTGCATATCTACCAGCCTATCTCCTCCTTACACCACTCACCTAGACCTACCAGACTAGTCTTTTGCGAGGGCGACGGTCGGGATATAGCTCGCTCCAGGACAGCCTGGGGACGCTCTACCCTCTTATCGAACTGTATCCCCCTCTTCTCCCTCTCTCTGTCTCTCTTCGGCAATCATGCAGACGGCCTTCTAGCAAGTGTTGTATGAGCCGTCAGCATAAGAAGGCCTCGATAGGAGAAATATTTCGGTAAAGAACCGAACTATGTCGTACTTTATCCCTTCGTTCTTCCAGAAACGCCTTCTCAGATATGCGCTTTCTCGGCTGGAGATCGTCGATACCGATGCGTTGGACTTGGACAGCCTGGGTATAACATGGGGTCAACGGAGTACCTTTGAATTAAGGGATGTTGGCTTGCGGCTAGAGGTATGTGAACAGCTGTATATTTTGGCAGTATTGCTGGGATGTGGTTGTTATCTTGGATGCCTGTGCACGATGACTGACCCGGGCATGCAATCCTTAGAATCTTGCGAAGACCTTACAGCTCCCACCGGAGTTCGAAATAACCAAAGCCTGTGTTTCGATTGCTCGTGTGACTATACCCGCGGATATCTATGCTAGCAGTATCATTATCGAGAGTGAAGGCATCCACCTTGACCTAAAACACACACCGACTAAGCCAGGTAGCAAAAGACAAGGGCGGAAGGCAAACGATGGCGACAAGGAGTCTGGTCAAGGTGACCATGAGAAAATATTGCCGTCTACCACTGATATTGCACAGTCGTTCTTGGAATCTGAACCGGTCGAAGAAACGGCTGAACTCGAGGCGGCGTTAACATCGCAGTCCTCTCACTATATCAGCCAGTCAGACGTCCTCAGTGATGATGGATCCGAGGAATCTGCTCTTGGGCTACATGATGGAGTTACATTGCCCACTTTCGTTGCTGGCTTCATCAAAGGGGTAGTAGATCGATTACGATTTAACATCAGAGATGTTTCCGTTAGAGTGATCATGGAGGTGCAGCAGGATGCCTTCCAGAAGCCTTCATCTTCCATAAAGATGAAGCCTATGACTGCTATAATGAGACTGGGCGAGGTTTCGATCGATGGCGTTGCACCGCCTGAATCGCAGGATCCTGCCCTCAAGACAGGAAAACGACTGATAGTCTTCTCCCAGCTCCATGCCTTATTGGTCTCCGATGAGACTCTATTCTCAAACTACTCTCGCTTTGCTCCTCCAGGCATGGCATCTCTTATTTCTAGAGCAAGTTTGACAAAACAAGAGTCAATGAAGAGTCAGTCGTCGCAAGCATCGAGCTTTGGGTATGACAATCCCTTGGCTCAATCTGGAGCCCTAAAGTCGTCATCCCTACTTGATGATCCCCTTGAACAGCCGGGACCTCTTGAGCAGTCACGAATTTTAGAAAAATCGGTCTCTTCATCAAATGACGGGAGATTCGACGATGCAGACACTGATGAAGAATATGAGCCGGAATACCGGATCGAACCCCATGCGCAGGCTCCGGGATTGCCTCATATACAGCTGGGAGAAGATGGAATTAATGCTTCTCTGAATGAAGCCCTCGAGTCAAGAATTTCAAATAACTTGATGGACTCAACTTCAGACACCCCTAGACTCACCGTCGATATGGCAGACTCCATAGCGGACCTCCCAGAGCAGCAATCAATACCCGATATTGGCTCTTATGAAGACGGTCTACAGGTTTCTGGCCATAATTCTTCTGCTTTGTCTATGTCAGTGTCCACACAATCATTCCATTCTTGCCAGAGTGATGACGAAGGGGAAGAGAAAGAACCATCAACACCAACTGCTGCTGTGAACCCCAACATTTTCTCAGATGACAACCAGGAGGACAATTTTATCCCACAAGAATCAGGGGCTGCCTCACCAGATCGTCGGTCTTCTACATCAAGCGCAAACGACTCAGAACTCTCGCACCGGGATGAGCTCTCCGAGTCAAAAATATTCACTCACGAAGAAGCTCGCAGTATGTACCAAAGTGCTATGAAGGATGGCGTAGAGTCCAAGTTGATCGGTCACATGCCTGGTGCTTGGAGTGACCATGGCTCAGAAAGCATCATTGAGGAAAAGAAGGTTATCATTGACGATGGCCATGAACACCTCTTTCAGGATAACGAAGACCAATCCGGTGCTACACCTACTGGAAGCACTGTCCTTAGTTCTTCGTCCGTCGGGGACGTTGGTAATAAGGACGTACCTGACATTGGCAGATCATACGCTGAACGATCTCGTCCACGTTTGGTTGATCCAGCTTCCGATGTTGTCAAGAATATCTTAGAAATTGACAAAATTATGGTCTGGTTACCCCCAATGGGCGGAGACCCGCCGCAGGAGCTATCTCCTGAGGCACGGGTTGATCCTATCCAGCGCATGCGCGAGTCAAATTTGGCTCCAGGCCAATCTTCAGTGGCTACCGGTTCTCCAAGAATACGGTTTGCTGATAGGAGTCGCCAGGACTCCGTTTCATCAAGCTCGACCGTGTCTGGGCAGCAGACCGGTGGTGCTGGCCCTGAGGATGACAGTGATATTTTGAAGAATATGCAAAAGGAGGCTGCTGTAGAAATTAGTGTATCCTCCATCCAGATCAGCTTTGATATTGCCTGTGGATGGCTCTTGGTGAAGGTAGGCCAGAATCTTGCTCAGTCGTTGAACTCCACACCTGCGCACGACAAGGCATTGGATTCCGCTACCAATGAAAGACAACTAATTCCTATTATTGTTGATGTCTCGAATTGTTCCTTGAAATTGTTAGAGCATCTTCCTGGTTGCTCTTATTTGCCATGGATATCAAACTCAGCGTCCAACACTCTAACCGACCCCGAAGATGCTTTACTCCAAGTTACTATCACAGGCATCGCATTCAGGTCACTAACTGCACCTCATATCATGAAAACACGCCTCACAGCTAATAAATTCAAGATCAGCCACTTATCTGAAGATCTTCTTTCTTTTGATGAAGGCTTGAAAATGCGGGAATCCACGCGAGACATCTTGTCTAGCTCTAGCGATATTATTATCAGCGCAGTCAAAAATTCTCAAGGTTCTCGGCTTACCATCAATACCCTTCCCTTGCATATGACTGTCAACCTCCAGAGACTGGATGAAACGCTCACTTGGCTAGGAGGCTTAAGCACCATCTTTGAACTTGGTAACTCCATCGCTTCTGCTACAACAGCCACTGGTGGGCCCCAAGAACCTGGCAGTAAGCCGCGCGCGGTTCGATTTGAGCAAACGCCTAATGCCCCTAAAGAGCCGCCTTCTACCGCCGACTCAGCTGCATGGAAGCTGGATTCACGAATCGGCGGGGTTGTCATCCACGTTCTTGGAGAGCAATGTAGAGCGAAGTTGGAAACCTCAGCGGTGAAATTAGTCAAAAGGTCGGAGGGTATTGCAGTTCAAGTTGACAGGGTTAGGGCAACTGGCCCTCATTTTTACCATTATAACATTAACATTCAGAACTGCTCGCCTGCTCTTGTGGCGCTGGATAATGTCCGCTTTGAGTTCCTGTTTACCCCGAAAGAATCAGACCTAGATCGACTATTGACTCTTTTAGCCCCGTCTAAGAGTAAGTACGACGAAGAGGACGATATCATGATTGATACATTGCTTCGACAACGTAGGCAAGGGTCAGTTCTTCGTTTAACTGTTGGGGGATTAACTGCCAACGTTTACTCCCTTTCTGCCTTGCGGCCTTTATCATCACTTGCAGAGGACGCATCGAAACTTGCCAGAGTTGCCAAATACCTCCCCGAAGACGATAGGCCTGGTATGCTTGCCTTAGCACTGGTCAGAGAGCTTGAGGTGAATATTACTGTTGGTGGCAAGGTTGGTAAATTCAGACTTCAGTCACACAATGCAGAAGTTGGGTATGTCAGCTTTCCGTCTTTGATTGCTTCCCGGGTTTCGACCGCAACCGTTTTGCGGAACGAAATGGAGGAGCTCCTCGGACCAGCTGTTCTCCGTAAGCCTGGGGAAAGGAAATCTGAGAGCGAGCTGCCCATGTTTATGGTGAGATATATAGCGGATGAACTAGAGCCCGCTATCAAGCTGAAACTTTTCAATACTCGTGTTGAATACATAGCTGAGTCCATCATGACCCTAATGGATCTTCAAGAGGATGAAGCAACCACAGAGGGCATAGCAACCAACATAGCACAGTCAGTGCTCAACTTTGCCGAGTTACCAGAACAGCCTGCAACTGAACTTGAGACTTCGATGCAGGGCTCAGCTGCTGCAGATACCTCCCCTGGCACTACCTCTCCAATTCGCCTCTCCGTTACTTTGAAAGACTGTCTCATAGGCTTGACTCCTCGAAATTCTCCTGCCAAAGGCTACGTGGTGTTGACAAATGTCGAATTCTTTGGATGCATGCAGCAGGAACTTCGTTCTGAAGCCACTTTGAAAGTAGCCAAAGCGTCAATGATGATAGTGGACAAGGTAGAGTCGGAAGAAGAAACTAGATCGAACGGCCGGCGTAAGAGGTCTACCAGTTTGAGTCCTCAAGTTCAATATCTAGAGGAGAGAGGCTATGTTTCTGTTTGTGAAACTTCATCCGCTCAAATACATGTCAAAATCATGCAGCTGGCATCTGACGGTCAAAAGTCACTCGACGTGGAAGTGAGAGACGACTTACTGATACTTGAGACCTGTGCCGACTCTACTCAATCCCTTATAGCTCTTCTAAGTGGGCTATCACCACCTGCGCCTCCAAGCGAAGCTGTCAAATATAGGACAGAGGTTATGCCAATCAGCAACTTGCTACAATCATTCGCTGCGGAGACCCTGGACGCTTACAATTCGAATAAAAAGAGCGGCAGTGAAAATGACGGTCTAGAAGAGTCTGACGAAATATCGGCTGCTGAGCTAGGGTACATCAGTGACTTCTTCCCATTCCATGCTAGTGTTAAGTCAGGTAAATCAGCCGAAGAAGCTCCGGGTGAAGGATATGAGCTGTTGGCAAATAGTACGCACTCAGTAGCGCATGTCCACCCAGAACATACTGCGCTCAACTTCGATGAAGACCATTTCTCGAAGAATTCTGCGGTTGGAGGCACTGCCCATCGATGGGATGCATCTCGAAACATATACAATCTCTCAAACGAAGTCAACCTGCAAAATAGCCCTTTGAGATTAAGGGTTCGGGATGTCCATCTCATATGGAATTTATATGATGGATACGATTGGTGGCGAACTAGAGATACCATCTCTAAATCGGTGAAGAGCTTGCAAACTCGAGCTGCCGAAAGAAGGGCTAGAGCAACTAATAGACGGTTGTCGCGAGAGATGGAGGAGGAAATGGAGCCTACCATTGACGACTTCTTGTTCAACTCTGTATATATTGAAATACCCTCCAATAAGGATCCTCGGGATCTCACCGGTGACATCAATCGGAATATCGATGGTTTGAGCGAGACTGGAAGCTATGCAACCACCTCAACTATAACTGGTGCATCTACACAGGATGGGGTTTCTAGACGAGAAAAATTACGCCTAGCCCGGAGTCAACACCACAAAATGACAATTGAGCTGAAGGGTGTTTCTGCGGATGTGGTTGTTTTCCCAGCTAATTCTGGAGAGACTCAGAGCTCGATAGACGTTCGAATCCACGATCTGGAAATATTCGATCATATGCCGACTTCTACGTGGAGAAAATTTGCCACATACATGCACGATATGGGCGAGAGAGAGATCGGTACAAGCATGGTCCATGTCGAAGTTCTGAATGTGAAACCAGTAGCGGATCTCGCAGCTTCTGAGATAATATTAAAGGTAAGCGTGAATGCTGTCTATCTGTAAATGCGATTCAAGTATCTAACCTCGATATAGGCAACTGTTCTACCACTGCGCCTTCACGTTGACCATGATGCACTTGACTTTATGGCCCGGTTTTTCGACTTCAAAGACGAGTCAGCAAGCAAATCTGAGACTGCTCCTGGCGATGTGCCGTTTCTACAACGGGTAGAAATCAATCCTATACCGATACGGCTTGACTTCAAACCTAAGAGGCTTGATTATACTGCTCTTCGCTCTGGTAGAACCACAGAGCTGATGAATATTTTTGTTCTTGATGAAGCAGATATGGTCCTTCGCCACGTCATATTATATGGTATTACCGGGTTTGAAAGGCTTGGAAAGATGCTGAATGATATCTGGACACCCGATGTACGCGATAACCAACTCAGCGGCGTTCTATCTGGACTAGCACCTGTCAAGTCACTGGTAACTCTCGGCAGTGGTGTTAGAGACCTTATTTTTATTCCTATTCGGGAATACAAGAAAGACGGTCGAATTGTCAGAGGCATTCAGAAAGGCGCGGCAGCCTTTGCCAAAACCACAACAAGTGAACTTATCAAAATCGGAGCCAAGCTAGCAATTGGGACGCAAAATGTACTTCAAGGAGCAGAGGGCTACATCAACGGCCCTCCTGCCCAGCCTGCGAATCGTGCTCCATCATCTGGGGAGGATCCTGAAGACGATGAGCCCATTGATGTAGGGGCAAAGCAGCAAATATCTCTTTATGCAGACCAGCCTGTTGGTGTTATCCAAGGGTTACGTGGAGCGTATGCAGGACTTGGGCGAGATCTGAGTGTTGCACGAGATGCAATCATTGCTGTACCTGGAGAAATAATGGAGACTGAGAATGTCACTGAAGCAGCACGGGCAGCCCTCAGGAGTGCGCCCACCATTATACTTGGTCCAGCCATTAGTGCAGCTGGTGCAGTTGGGAAGACACTCTTGGGTGCTAGGAATACATTGGATCCGGAGAATAAGAGACGAGCAGATGAGGTATGAGATTTACCCCCTAGTTACTGCTTAAGTTGCAGTTACTAACGGATTACATATAGAAATATCGATCTCTCTGATACGACCTCATGTTTCCTTTTTTTATTTTATTTTTCCTATTCATCGTGCGTTTGGGTATCTATTGGCGCGATGAGAGGCAATCATTTCATTTTTAAACGAGATGTGAATGAAGACTTACGATGGAGCATCAATTTCCTTCATTATTTATCTCATATTTCCTTGTCTATCTTTTCCACTTATATTTTCTTTTCCAGAATGAATCATGCATGATGAAAGTATATGAGGGTGCCCCGGAGTTTTTGAGCCACAATTTGCCTTTATTATGTTTCCGCATATCTAGCATACGGGCTATTGCCAGAGATTGTTTTTTATTCGATGTTTAACTAATATCTTAGCCGTTTTGTTGAAATTATGTGTTTGTCTGTCCTTCGCATCTAGCATTGTATATAAGTGGAAGATTATCATTACCATGAATACACTCTTGAGTGTAAAAGGGTACCCTTGGCAGAGCTCAGATTGATCAGAATCGGACAGCCCGTACTCCGTAGATGTTTTGTACACGCCCAATTTTAGTTGAGACAAAAATATCGATGTTACATTATCATTATATGATCCTCTTCTTTCACATGTAAAAACTGTTGTTGTGGTCTTCAAGTAGCTTATCCAAATAAGCGTTTGGGATAGTTAGTATAACTACGACGCTGCAAACGGGCTGTTTACCTCTACACAGGGGAGCTATGGTTGTTTGTAAGTAGGACGGTTTCAGATGTCAAGGTGGATTCGGCATGCCCGTTAAAATGGGGGCAGTTGAGCGTAAAATAGATCGGTTAAAGGTGCCTCCTAATATGCTCAGCTCTTATAGACGGAAAGCAGATATCGACCTGCAGGGTCAGCCACATTAAGGAGCTATGGGAGTGGGTTAATGCGGCTTATCCCAGGGCGATGCACTGGAGCAACATGTACTTGTGCATATAACAAGAGGTTAGGAGTGACATATTCTCCTCATGGCCCGTACGCTTTAGTTTCTTCACATGTTTTTCCCTTCAGCTCTATTTTCTCATGGAGGGGCTAAGCCTCCCCCACGATGCGGGCTAGGCTGGGAGAAAAGTATCGAAGGCCCTCTTATCCGAGCGTCCGTGACACTAACGGTCCTGCATATAGAGGCTTAACTCGAAGCTCAGCCATTTGCTGCCGTGATGGAACAAGGCACTTTGAGTAGGCTGGCAAGATGTCGAAAAGGCTTTCCGGCTGGAAACCAGCTAAGTGCGAGGAGCCTTGAACTGTATCCTTCCCCAAAACATGGCACGAACGGCTGAGAAGACGATAGTGGCATTTGATACGGAGTACCAGCGACTCATTGGTGCCTCATATGATTGATTGCATGCATTGAGTCTGTGGGAAGGTAAATCGGTCAGCTATGGGGAATCATGATGCATCGAATGCACGGCTATCAAGGTGTGGATTGATTGACGCAAAGAAGGCGGGAGACGAAGCTTGCTGGCCATCGAATCTCGGACTTGTGCGAAGACATGCGTCAAGACCCGGTGTATATGACACTCGCCAGCGTGCTCGGGAGCGGATGATGGGTGTGTGCGAAGGAGGTCGGGAACTGATCATGAGTCGCTGGCTGGTGATGGGAGAGCATGGATATGATCAGGGGCAGGCCATGACAACTGCGGCCATGGCGAGCTTGTGGGACGTCAATCTTGGTTATCCCGCAGCGAAAGCCGCTTCTCCTGGTTCCCCTTGTGTTCCCTTTGTGATCTCTCTGCCGTCTTTTTGCTTTTCTTTGGCTTCTCTTCATCGTCGTCGGTCTTCGAGATGTAGTTAAAGAGACGACCTTGGAAGTAGGCAGGTCATGTGACCGAGATGAAACCTCAAAACTCTCCAGAAAAGACGAAAACAACGACATGGAAGGGAAAAGGGCAGAACAACCGCAAGACGAAGACGACGCAGAAGTCGACGGACAAGGAGGAGGACCCGGGAATGAGACGCCTCTCTTCTCGCGGTGCCGGTGAGGGCCAGCCGGCAGCGAGGATGGTCATGAGACGCCTGCGATCGCAATCTTGACTTCCGCCTCAGCCTCTCGACGCTGCCCATTGCCGGCTCCCCTTGTCCACCCAGAGACGAAAAGCATCATCCAGGCCTGTAAGTGGCTGCGATGCGCAGCGAGGGATTCCTCTTGGTACCAGGCAGATCGATGTTTGGGCCCATGATTGGCTAACAGTCGAGCAGGTTGTTCCCACTCGTTGCTTTTTTCGCTGCGTCTCTGGCTCTCCACTCACATCCTCAAGAGATGCCATCCAGGCCAGGCGAGTTCATACCCAACTTCCGCGCTCCATCCAGCGACTCACAGCTCTCAGACGATGGCTGTCGTACTCCCTGAGGCAAAACGAATAAGGATACCATAACAAATCCCAGAGGCCTGGCTGGTAACTCAAAGCCCACTAGGTGGGTGTCGGTTCTGGGTGGTGTGGTACCTCTCAGGTACGACACGCACAAAAGAAATTTCATCAATAAGAATGATTGATGCTACGTTAAAGGTCTAGGAAACCCCGTCCCATACATCCACTTGAGGATAGCCTCTGCTGTTCCCTTTCTGCAGAGCATCTCTGTTTTGTTTTGGTTTTTTTTTTTTTTTTTTTTTTTTTTTTTTTTTTTTTTTTAAAAATTTTTTTTTTCTCTCTTCTCCCGTGTGAGGGTGTGAAGAATCCCGGGTCTGCAGTAGAGGTTGCAGGGTCATGCTTTTGCGGGATTCGCTAGAAGCTTTAATGTCTTGTCTCTTGCGCTTCTCCTGCTGCTAACCCTGTGTATATCGATGCATTCTTCATCTTTTGCTTCCTTTCATCACTTGCTTTTCATATGAATATATCCCTGCAGTCACTATCGTTTGAACTTCTATGCAATAGTCAGCCGGATTTTTATATCAATCGTTATATTCCACATTTGGATCTAGCTGTTGGGCCATTACTATTGCAAATATATTTTACAAGAAGGGTTCAACTGTGGCTGGCCATTGTCTCCTCCCTCCTTCATTGAATCAGTAATACTTCCTTCTCCTTTCTTTGGCACTTAACCTTTGAACATACAAAACAGCATACATAGTCTGCGGCTCTTCTATTACATTCAATATTTGCTTAACCGAGTTCTATTCATTATCCTCCACCACCGAGTGAGATACCCAGGTTTGACACCTGTTGGCACAAAGGCGAAGCCAATATATCTCGAGCCAAAACCGACCCCAATTTGTGCAGCTCATACCACTGCTCGGCTACCCGGTTACTATAATTCATTTGCTATCTTTGATTTTATTCACAATATCTCTGAAACTTTCCCAGCTGGCTCTCTCGCCTCAACTCCCGGGGACAGCTGATTCATGAAACCATGGCCGGGATCGCCTTGGAGACGAATCAAATTCCCTGGGAGTCACTGCTCCTGATGGATGAACACACTGGTGGTGCTGACCTTCACCCTGCTTTGAGGAGATCTCTTGTTCCGGCTCCTCTCCGTATTGGGTCAGCATCAACGTCTCCATCTCAATATCAGTCTCCCTCGCCTCCGATTAGCCCTGCTCCGACTCTCCTGGTGTCTGTTCAAACCCATCACCACACCCGTTCTATGTCAGGGAAGCTCTCACTGCATGAGTATCGCAGGAAATTATCACATCCTGATGCTCAGGACGGAACAACTACTGTTCCGAGAAGGATGTTGAAAAGGAAGCCAAAGACTACAAACCTGAACAACAGACAAGGGAACACCATCCCCCTTTCACCACCAGCAACCCCCCCAGCATCTGCTTCTCCTTTTGAACCAAGCCGACCAGTGTCTCCTATCCTTGAGCTAGAGCATCTTACCTTTAGTTCTGGATATAACAACGCGTCTAATACTGCTACCAGCTGTGAAGTTTCGCCTATAGATGGGACTTTTCTGGATTTTGAACGCGCAACACCACAGAGTACATTGACACAAAACCATCTAGATAAAGCACCAGCAGAATACAAATCCCAATATAGGACCCTGGTAAGTAAGTCTGATCAGTATTTCTTATATATGGCTATCTAGCTTTATCTCCTGTCTTGATATATTCCTGATTACCCCCAATTTCACTAACAATGACGCGCCAGACAACCATACGCGACTCTATTCGACAGATACCAACAAGATTCACAGCACATACCAAATCAGCTTCTGAATCTGCCCTGCCTAGGACTCTTCGTCATAAGGGTGTATCGTTTGAGATATTGACACCTCGAAGGCATACGGGCTCTTCTCTGTCACCAACTTCGGCTGGGACGGGTAGCCCTAGAAAAACTGAAATGCCAACTCCAATTCCCTTAGACATGGACATCGAAATCCCCAAGGAAGCCAAATCACCGCCCCCAAGGCTTCGCCGGCGCTCTGCTTCCTTGGGCCCCGAAAGGAGGTGTACTCCTCGTGCTTTGTTTGAAGATCTTCCTACCGCTTATTCTTCAATCACTTCGGGGTCGTCTAGCAAAAATAGGCTGGCCAACCCCACGGCATATAGTGATAAGCATTTACCACAGGCTCACGATGAAACCATAGCTCAACATGACCAATTTATGGTCTCTGATGTCGAGCCTTCTTCCTCGCAAGAAATCCATATTGATCATCCAGACTCAGAGATCTCGGAGCCTACCCCAGAACAGCCCACATTAGAAGAGACCAATCCGGCTTCAGAAGCTGTAGATGAAGCTGTGGATGAAGTCGTCCGCCCATCCAATTCTCAAAGAAAGCCCAACAAACTTCTGAAGCGTCGGCTTTACGGCACAAATGACCTCCTTTCCCCTGGATCTCCTCGTCTGCGCCCGATTATCTCCACATTCCTGAATCGACGCCAACCAAACTTGCACGGTGCTCGCGGCCGCATTGAGAAACCAAAGATCATCAACGATATAATCAATAGGAGAACCAACTCGAGGCCAGGTTCAGCTCTTGATGAAGTAGAGGGCCACATTAAAGCAACATCCGCTCTAACGGTTCCGCAACCAAATTGCTCGCATCATCACTTTTCTACTGGTCATCGGGAAGTCACTACTATCCACCCTCTGGAAGCTAGTGATGAAAGCCATGAAATTGTTCCCCAAGACAACCACGATGATTCACCAGCTGTGCGGTCATCCCCGTTCTCTTTCACCGACAGCAAGCGGCTTGAGGAATGGAAATCTTTTATCCTCACAGGTACAGCCGATCAAGTTTCTTCCGAGAACCTTCCTAAGAACATGCAACGAACAAGCATATTTGGTCCCAACTTCTCTCGGCCAATGTCATCTCGTTCTCGACATCGTAAAGCTGATCATCGTGCAGAGTGTCGACCCCAAACATCAGATGCAACTTCTCCTTCCAAAATATGCCATATGGGCCTCCCAAGGCTCTCGACGTCATCTCTGCCTTACCATGGAGATAACCAGGGACAGCAGGGAATTTCCTCTATCCTGCAACGGCCGCCAAATCAAGAATTTTCTCTTTCTCAAACCGAGAGGATGGCTAATGCGGGGTCCTATCATGAGGATTTGGGCCCTGGGGGCAGCCAGAGCTCGTCAAGCAACAGACTTAGCATGAATACTTCATCGTCGATGGCATTGCGGACTCCTCAACGGCCAAAGTCTGCGGCGCCATTTGAGCCTAAAGATAAAAACAAGAGCTACCATCCCTTTTTTCATGCCCACCTTGGAAGTCCACGGCCAAATAAGAAACGAGAGCAAAGCATATCGACATTGGCAAAGCATAAAGGCAAACAGAGTATTGGCTCTGTACTTGATGGTGATAGTGATATTGAGCCAGATGAGGGAGGATCCGAAAAAGATTGGGAGACGGCTACTGAGAGCCAGATGTTTGGATCCAGGTCCCGGATCCCAATACCCAACCTGGAGTCAGGCAGTAGTTTGGCCAATTACTCCAGCGCCGGGACCTTGGCCAACAGAAGCCTGATGGATATATCCTCCCCGTCTCACCAAGGAAGCAGTGAAATGAGATTCCCATTCCGTGATAGATCCCCTAGGTTCCGCCGCCCCAGCTGGTTGCATACCACTCGCCAACGTCGATTCCCTGAAATTAGTGCCCCCAGTTTTCCCCGACACCTTTACTCGATGTCCGAATACCCTAGGGACCCCGAACTGCTGTATAGGACTGTGCCGCCTCTGATGGCATCGACTGCGCAACAGCCTGCTCCGCGAGCGGCTTCGTACTCCCAATATCACCACCCGTCCCCCCTTCGAGACACACACCCGAACCCCTTCCAATCCACTCCCCCATCCCTGAACGAGATTCATCCAAGCGAGCGGCATGCAAAGTCTGGGCGAGATTCGAAGTCTGGCTTTGTGTCTGCGATTCGCAGCAGTAAGTTGACCTTTCGAGATGATAATGACAACAATATGGACATCAACAACGCCCACCCATTCAATTCTGGTCACTATGGCTCTGGTCCCATCAGAAGCTTGCGGCCTTTGCCAGCTCGAGCATCAATGGAAGCATCAGCATGGTGGACAAAACCAGCCTTTAGCAGCATGAAGTCGCAGCACTCCTTTCACTCTGCCCCTTTTTCCTCCACTATCAGAGGTGTGAGGGACGCAACATCCCTTCACAGCCGCAACATCTCTTCCTCTTCCCATTCTCACCCTCAACCTCACCCTTATCCTTCCCATCACCATCAGTATTCAACATCCAACTCAGCAACACATGAAATCACAACAACTGACATCTTTGACAGTAAAAATTCCTTGCCTGTGACTCCCTCGTCTGCATCTCAAACAGCTCGGCCACAGACACCTTCACTTGGACCTCGGGCTTCCTGTACGACTGAGGAAGACATCGAGCTTGAGCCCCTTACGCGTGTCTGCCATCGATCAACACCCGCTCGTTCTCGTGTCAGCTCATTAAGCAGCCTTGTATCCGGCGTCACCTCGACTTCGAGAAATACCCCTGGTTCTCTGTATCTGTCTATCAGAGCTGCCCGCGACAAGGCACGGAACTACCATCACCACCGCCACAACCGCACGTTGACGAACAACTCAACCTCCACCACGGGCGAGCGTCTTCTCTCTGCCCGGCCGGACACACGAGCCTCATCTAGAGGCGAATATCGACGCGACTTCAACTCCAACATGGGCGAGCGCGAGCATCCTGCTGAGCGAGAACGGGTATCCAGTCCCAGATCTATCTTTGCCATGTCACCACCAGCTATGCGCAGCAGCCGTCCTCCAACGCGTAGCCAAAGTGCTAGCACTGCAAGAAAGCTTCGGAGCCCCAAACCAGACGACTTGCTCCGTGAACGCCTAGACCGAATTGAAACGGCTTCGGTTGTGCTCTCAAACCATTCACCATCTCTGCACGAGTCCTGTGTTCGCTCCCCATGGACAACCTGCCAGCCAGCAAAACAATTCACCGTGAATGGAGCATCGTCTTTCTTCGCTACCATCGACGAAGAAACAGGTAGCGTGCCAGACGCGTACTGTTCTACCTATGGCCGCCATGTCTTCCCGGAGCCACCGCGTCTAACACCCCAGCCCCGTCGACAGTACCAGAACCAAAACGTCGATGCTCTAGGCTCAGCAGAACAGGCCGGAGTCCACGGAGGCACCAACTTGAGTGCTCAACGACGTATTGGAAGACAGCTGATCATGATTTTTTCGCTTTTGGTACCCTTTGGATGGTTTGTGGTTGCGTATATTGGGTTTGAGGGCAAGTTGGCTGACGAGCTGATCCGCTGGCGTTCCAACGGAGCCATTACTGAGTTTCACGTCAAGGACAAGTATTGGGCTAGTCAGTTGGCCATTTATTATGGGGTATTTACTCTTATTGCACTGCTTGTGGTGTTGACCATTTGTTTAACCGCCCTTTGAGGGATAGGAGTTGGGATATGATATGTCTTGTTGAGGGACGATGATGTTGGTGCCCCTAAATTTCCATCTCTGGGCTTCTCTCCCATTTTTTTTTTTTTGTTTGTTTATTACCCCTGGATTTGTTTCCCTCTCTATCTTGTCCTTTTCTTGTTTTTTTCTTTTGTCAAATTACATTTCTTTCCTTTTTGACTGTTAGATTTCTGTTTTCTCTGCAAGCAATAGTTGATAATTCAAGATCGGATCTGGAGTTCATATCGGTTACAAAATGGCCTTGTGTAGTTCGACGGAGTCTCTTAAGACTAGGACTCGGGTATCTCCGTCTTCATGCTATGGGGGTTTATGGTGTATAGGAATTAGAGAAGAGAACTGGGTTATTCTATATAAGCACTTTTTTTCTTTTCAGTCTTGCATCCTGTTGGACTCCGCCACCTCCTGTTCAAGAACCGCCGTGACAGCGGCCAGCAGTAGACTCCTCCGCCGAAGACCATACTGCGACTTGCCGAACTTCCTACTCGGGTTGGGTGTTGATGTACCGGTGCTGCTGTGGCCGTGGCCGTGGTGCTGCGACTTCTCGACCTTCCCCTTGCTGCCAGCGCCGGAGAAGCGACTCGAGGTTGCGCACCCGCTGGCCAGAGGGGTGTGGGCATGGTTGTCATTATTAGGGTGTTTTTGCTTCAGCAGCCGTCTTCTCGAAGGTGTGCGGGACGGCGGGAGGGAGCTGGGGTGCTGATCGTCGCTGAGATAGCCCGCGGCTGCATCGCAAGACTCGCCAGGAGCTACTGATGCTGCCGCTGCTGCTGCTGCGTATGAAGATCGACGACAATCCGGGGAACAGTCGACACCACCGTCTAGTAGAAGGGCGAGACGGACAGTGTCGGCGATGGAGGAGGAGGCGCACTGCAGCATCGAGAACTTCTCACGCTGGTACCGCACGTCGCCTGGCCGGTCAGCATCTTCGATATTATTGATATTATTGATGCTATCACCATTATCGACAATGCTTGATCGGCTGTGGGGCATGGAGGGGTAGAATATCTCGGAGGATTTATCTTGATCTTGCAAAGGCAGTTTGCCATGCTCACGATCATGGCCATGGTCGATGACATGGGCGCCTCGGGGACTCGGAGGAGGCGAGGCAGTGGAGTCTAGAAGCGGAGGATAGAACGGCGACGACAACCTGACCAGGTCGTTCTCCGTTGTTGACTGAGCAGGCAGCGCATCCAGCAGGGCGAAGTTCTGATATTGGGCATCGGTCGAGCACCGTGGGGGGGTTATGGGCAGCCACCGCCCGCCGTCGTCGCTGTCGCTGCCGCCGTCGTGGCCGCTGCCGGTTTCGAGCGAGTGAGCATGCAGCTGCTTCGTCAGGGAGCCGATAGAGAACCGCTGGCTGCGCTCTGCCGAGTACTCTGCTGGAATGGACGTGGGAGCAGGGCCGAGGTGCTGCTGCTGGTGGTGATGGTGATGATGGTGATAGTGAGGGAACTGCCTCAACCGGCGGTTGAGACGAGGAAAGTCCCGCGAATTCAACGGCGACGGCAGCCGGGGCGAAGGACACCGCGACGACAGAGGTGAAACCAGGTTGCTGTCGCACTGGAACTGCAGGCTATCGATCTCGGGCTGCACCGCAGGCAGCGCAGGAGCCGGGAACGAGAAGCCCTCAAACATGCTGGTAGCGCTGCTACTGCTACTGCTGCCGGTTTCCAAGTCGATCGACCGATTGTGGTGTCGTATGGCCTTTCTCGTCCTCCTTTTTCGGTGGGTTATATCGTCTTCCTCTGCCTTTCTTATGACTTATCGGATATGGTGGGAGTTCTGTCCGGCGACGGGGAGGGGGTGTATAGATGGTTATATATCAAATCTCCGGCGCATCAGATATGGGAAAAAGACAGCCGGGCGGTGCAAACCAAGCCAGGGCAAAGGAAAAAGCAAGCAGGCCAGAGTTTCTCTAAGCCGAGACCGCGGCCGGCACCAGGGCAAGGTCAAGAAGGGCAAGGTCAAGAAGGGCAAGGTCAAGAAGGGCGCATCCAGGAGCCAGACAAGGCCCGTCCGGTGTGAGTCTCTTCTCTGCTGGCTGCGTCTGCCCTGGATCCCAGCAGCGGCAAATGGGCAGACGAAGTGGGCTCTGGGTTGTGTCCCTCTGTCCTCCGCTGTGGAGTAGGGCAGCGCGGCGTCTCGGTCGTTTTCCTCTGCTGGTCTTCGTGCCTGTCTCAACCTGCGTCTTTGTTAGCTAGCAGGAAGTGAAGCGGGCGAGACGGGGCCGCAGTCCGTCCTTATATCTCATAACGCTTCCCTTCGTCAGACGTGCCGTTGTGGCCGCCGCGGTCAAGGGGACGGCGCAGGCAGGCAGCAGGCAGCAGGCAGCCACCCTTTGATAGAGGCCGGCGCAGGCATCCGACAGGCCAGGCGGGCGACTGCGATCCCTGGTTTGGCCCTCGTTAGTCCCCGGCTAGTGTGTCTCTCGCCGTCGTCTTGTCTGTCGCCGTTGGTTGGCTCGTCCCACGGCTGGCTGGCGGTCGAGAGATGCTGGTGGAAGAAGAAGAAGAAGAAGAAGAAGCAAAAAGGAGGCCGGGGGGGGGTCAGCCTTATCGCAGGGAAGGGCCAGAATCGGATGTCCTCAAGAGCCCCAGTCACGGAGCCGTCCGTCACTCTGGCTGTCTGATTCGAAGAGGCGACGGCGGGGACGACGAAAGAGCCGGGAGTCTGCTGGCTGTTTGGCTGTTTGCTGCCCAGCAGTGGTCATCATTGCTATTTGATACTGAACGACGCTGGTGTTGGTGGTGGTGATGGTGCGGCTCTTCCCGCAGAAGTTGCTTCTCTGGCTTCTAGAAGGACGCGGGACGGCCCCTTTTGCGGAGTTGCTGGAACACTCAGAGTATGGATGAAATGCAGTCTATATTCACGCGGTCTATATGCTAGTTACTCTAAAACACAAAGGGAGAGAGACCCAGGTCGAACATCTTTGCCGGGCAGGCTGGTGACGCTCTTCTCGGTGGCTCGCTCCGTGCAGGGACAAAAATATGGACCGCCGGCGACGACGGGCCAGCATCATGCCGGAATCCAGGAAAGAAAGAAAACAGAATATTAACCAAGACAGACAAACATTAGGTGCTCCATAGCGGATTATCTCGCAGTGACAAAGGAAATAGGTTTTTTTTTTTTTTTTTTTTTTTTTTTTTTTTTTTTTTTTTTTTTTTTTTGGGGCGGTTTTCGACATGAATCATGCAACTCCCCAACTCCTCGCTAACAACTCGAAAGGAACAGTGTGGGCGTTGTTCTGCTTGAACTGTTGGTTCTCATTCTCTGGTATTTGGCTCTCGGGCTCATTCAAGTTTGGTTCTTTTTGCTCTTGATATCTTGGTTCGTCGTTGGTTCGCCAGGAAGTAGTGGCTGCCTATGCGGCTATGCCTTAGGCGTGCGAGCCATCTTCTCCTTCTCATAGACAGCCTTCAGGACATCAACTCCGATGCCGAAGCAAGGCTCGACTCCCAGGTCCTTGAGGATCGCCTTGGTCTTCCTCTGGTCCAGCGCAAACATGTTGTGGCCGACCTCGAAGTAGCTCTTGAGCACAGTCCATCGGATCTCCGCGCCTGGCTCGGTATCGATACGCTGCATTCCATCGAGCCAGTCGTCCTTGCTTAGGATCTCTGCCTTCACGTCGGGATTAGACTTGATCTCAGCCATCATGTCGACCAGCTGCGGGGTCTTGACCGGGCTTGGGTTGGTGATGTGGTGGATTGTAGCAACGTTCTCTTGACGGCTCAGCCCGTCAGACAGTGACAGAGCACGCACGCACTTGGTCATGTAGTCAATCGGGATAAAGTCAATAACAAACTCGAGGCCGCGCTGGCCGATCTTGGGGATGCCGTTGGACTCCACAATGCCGAGGACCATGCGGCGCGCAAAGCTGTCGTCTGGCTCGATTCCTCCCGTCTCCGTGCTGGCAGTGATGGCAGAGGCACGGTAGATGGTGCAGGGAATGCCTCGAGACGCAGCCTTTTCAATCAACATCTCGGACGCCCATCGTGATTTGAAGTAGCCAAAGCGACTAGTGCCTTCGGGAGTGAAATGGCTGGCACTGGTCTCTTGGGTAACCGGGCGGCCTCTTCGCTTGCGGATGGTAGTCTGCCACGATTGAATGTGCATAACAGACCAGGTAGAGAGGTGGTGGATATGAATCTTAACCCTGCCAAGGGTCGCAAGTTCAATGATATCGCGGATGGGCTCAACATTGAAGCTTCGAAGATCATCATAGGATTGTAGGAGAGAGACGTGAGAAGCGAAGTTGTAGATAGCCTGGATGGTCTGCCCGAGCTTCTTGAAGTCGGAGGTTGATAAGCCCAGGTGTGGGTGAGCCATCGCGCCAGGGACGCATTGGATGCGGGTAGTGACAGCGTCGCGGTCAGGGAAGAACTGCAGCAAATCCCACTGGTCCAACACCTTGAAGACATCCTCGGAGGTCATTGGTTCCTCAAGGCCAAGAACATGGATTGTCAGTTGGGGGCTTTCACGGAGTAGAGCAGCAAGCATGTGGATTCCGTGGAAGGACTCAACACCGGTAAGGAGAACATCGGTAACCTGAGACGGGGAAATGTCGGGAAGGCTTTGGTCTAAGGTATACTGAGGAGCGTCAATCAACTCGGTTTCTTTGTCCCAGTCGATTTCGCCATCAGTAGCATCCTTGGCTTTGCTCCAAATGGCATGAGCAATGCCCATGGGGGTTGGCTTTTCAAACATCATTGCAAGTGTTGGAGTGACTTTGAGGACACGCTTGAGCCTGGTCTGCAGCCTAAGCATAAGGATACTCTGGCCACCGAGCTCAAAGAAGCTATCATTGACTCCAATATCTTGATCCTCGGGCAGCTTCAAGATTTCCTGGAATCCTTGCAAGACGGTATTGACGAGTTTATCATCAGGCTTGTCATTCGATGCGGCTGTTTGAGATTCAATCGTCTCGGTTGCGGCGGTAGGGAAGGTTAGGGAAAGGTCGCAGTTGAGTAGACGTTGGCGATCAACTTTCCCACCAATGGTGACTGGGAGAGCATCGAGGAATTGATAACCGTTTGGAAGCATATAGTTGTTAAGATGGCGGCCTGCCTTGTTGTTCAGGTCAAACGCAAATGCTTGCTTGCTCTTCTGGTCGGTGAATGGTTTCTTGGTAACAACGAATGCAATTAGCTGGCGGTTATCAGTGATATCCTGAGAATCAGCAGCGGTGGGCGAACGGGCAACGACAGAAATATCGACAATCTGTGGCTCTCCAGATTCGTCCTTGGACTCCACAAATAGTCTCTGTTCAACTTCACCAAGATCGATACGGAAGCCTCGAAGTTTGATTTGCTTGTCACCGGCGATGCGACCGTGGAACTCCAGGCTTCCGTCTGGGCGAAATCGGCCTTTGTCACCACTTCGGAACATTCTTGTCCAGCCGGCTTGACGGTCTTCTTCAGAGCAGAAGGGATCGGCCACGAACGAGCTTCGGTTTGCCTCTGGTCGGTTAAGGTATCCAAGGCCAACTTGAGCTCCTCCAACCACTATCTCACCGATGAATCCCTCCGGCAGGGGCTGACAGTTCTTGTCAAGGATGTAGTGTCGTGTGTTTGCCATGGGGAATCCGATTGGGATGCTGACTTCATCTTCACTAGGGTATTCAACTTGTTGGATGGTGGTTTGGACCACAAGCTCACTGGGACTCCAGGTGTTCAGGACCACAGCCGGGGTTCCGAGATCGTAGAAGGCCCTGGCCACGCGGACTGGCAGTCGTTCACCAGCAAAGTAAGCAATTCGATATTTGCGGATGTTCTGGAGACTTGGCTTTGCGTTTTCAATGAGAAGGGCAAATTGAGTAGGAGTGAAATAGGTAACAGTGACCTGAGAGGATTCCATGTACTTGGAGAGAGCAACAGGGTCCTTTCGAGTAGCAGCGGTAGCAACGCAGACGCGGGCACCGCAGGTAAGTGCAGAAAAAATTTGAACAATAGATAAATCAAAACAAATAGAAGAATGATGAAGGAAACGGTCTTTGGCGGTAAATTTATAGTCGTGATGCAGGGTGCTGAGCATCTGTTGAGTGTTTGATTGGCTCAAGACTACACCTTTTGGAGTGCCTGTGCTTCCCTTTGAATACATTAAAATCAAATTTCTCTCTCGAATAATATTCTTGACTCAAAGTGGTATTCCTCATCGGAGGGTTGTGTAGAGGAGAAGAAACTTACCGAGGTGTAGATCATGTAGAATGGGTCATTATTCGCTGTTTTGAGTGGCCCTTGAATAGGTTGTGACGACTCCGAGATGTTTTCAATCACAACGGTGTCCAACGGAGAGTTGGACTTGCTGGAAATCTCTCTGGCTCTGGCCTCGAGCTCCTTTTCAGCCAGAAGAAGCTTCATTCCAGAGTCATTGGCCATGAAAGAGAGACGCTCAGTAGCGAAGCTGGGGTCGAGGGCAACATAACCACAGCGGGCAAAGAGAGTACCGACCATTGCGGAGATTGCGTTCACTCCAGGAGTGGAGAAAACTCCAATTTTAGATCCAGAATCGATTCCCTTAGATTCGATTGCAGCAGCAACTTTCTCCGCTTTCTCAACGAGGGTCTTGTAGCTGATACTGCTTCCGTTGGAGGTCTCAATGGCTACATCGTTGGGGTATTGGCGCGCGATGTCCATGATACGGGAAGCGACAGACTGGTTCTCCCAGGTGTTCTTAGTGAAATCCATGGCGAAGAAGTTGTTCTTCAAGTGAGAAAGCTCCTTTGGGCCGACCATTGAAATTTCAGAGATTGGTTGGCGATGGTCGCGAATGGCGCTGTTCATGAAGGCGATGAAGTTGTCCAAGAAACGCTCCATTTCAGAGTTGCCGTACAAGGTGCTGGAGAACTCGAGAGAAAGCTTAAGCCCCTCATCGGGGTCCTCGGTGGCCTCGAGCTGCATTTCGCTGGCAGTGGGAACATCCTTTCCTCGGATATCAATCATATTGAAATCATCAGTAGAGTAGGTTGGGATCTTTCCATGCATCTGGTAGTTCACAACAACCTGACCGAGTGGGAAGTATGCAGGGTTTCTTGGAACACCAACTGCGTCAACGATAAGGTCGAATGGAACATTAGAATGAGACAGAGATTCAAGAATCAAACCGCTCATTTCGCGGAGGAAGCTCTCAAAGTCAGCATCGTTGTTGGTGGCGCATCTGACAGGGATAACATTGACGAAGAATCCAACAGTGTCGCTGACGGATGGGTGAGGTCTGTTTCCATCAATCATGTGGATAGTCAAGTCATCCTGCTCAGTGTAGCGGTAGATGAAAGCTCTGAATGCGGCCATGAGGAACTGGGCAGGTGTTATTCCAAGCCGAGCGCAGACTCTCTTCATTCTCTGGTGGGCTCCCTTCTTTAGCAGGCCTTGGTGTATGCTCCTCTTGTAGTCGTTAGACTCTGGTCGTTCCGCTTTTGCAAATGGGAGCAGCTTAGTAGGGCCGGGAAGATCATGGTACTTGGTCTTCCAGAAGTCGACGTCCTTTTGTTGCTCTTCAGACTGAAGACGCTCGTTGTGCCACATAGTGAATTCGGAGTATGAAGCCGCGGGTTGTTTGACGCCATCCAAGTCGTCACCGTTGCGTAGGCAGTTGTATAGGTTGCAAACTTGGTCTAGAAGAGACTCACTGCTACCACGATCGAAGGAGATGTGGTGAGCAATGGTGACCACCGTGAACTCCTCTTCTCCAGTTTGAATGAGAGTAAAGCGAATATTCTCGCCATTTTCGATGTCAAGGGGTTCATGGGTTTGCTCTTCGATGAAATCCTCGATATCGGCTTCAACATCGTGTGCATCAGTGAAATCGAGGAAGGTAAGTTCCACGGAGCAGTCATCAGTGACCATCTGCTGGGCGAAGGACTCTCCTTCAAAGTAAGCAGTGCGAAGAACATCATTTCGTCGCTTGAGTTCCTCAAGAGCCATTTGGAAGACTTGGATGTCAGGCTTGCCCTTAATAGTGGCGCATAGAGGCAAGTTCAAGAAGGACTTGTCTTCAATCAGGTTATGAATGAACCACAACCTTCTCTGGAAAGTTGACATAGGAACCTCATCTCCAGGAGAAACCTTGAAGGATTTTTCACCAAGTGGATGGTCCCCAGCATTCTTGGTGCTGGATGATCGAGCAGTGCGCGAGGAGGTTTGCTGCTTGGAGGTATCCTCGGTCTCGGCCTCTTCCAAGACAACTGCCTCGGAAACCTTTTCAACCAAGCCACGAATGCTTGAGCTTCCAAGGACGTCGAATAGGGCGAGTTCAACACCAACAGTCTTGAAGAACCATTTACGAATTTCAATGGCGACAATACTGTCAAGACCGTAATCTGCAAGACTACGGCTAGGTTGGACGTTTTCAATATCGATAGACAGGATGAGGGCAATCTTCTCGATGAAGGCCTCAATCAGAATATTGAGTCTATCATCAGCGGTGTCTGCGGCGCGAAGAAGGGCCATAACACTCTTCTGAGCCTTGCCGAGATTTCCGGAAGAAGTGAAGTCATGGTTCTGGTAGATATTCTTCATGCGTGGGCCGGAAGTCCAGTAGTAGTCAGGGCGTCTCATGTTAAGACCTGTTATTGTTTGATGAGCATCGAAGCCATTGCTATCGAGAGTCTTGTACTGGTCCCAAGAAACGGAGGTCTCGATTTGATGGAACAACTCTTCTTCATTGACTGGGTCATAGCCAACTCTCTCCATAACAGCTTGAAGCTGGGCATCCTCAGACACAGCACCGATACCAACAACCATACCAATATCCATGGTAGTGGCAGGCAGGCCGTTCTCTCGTCGGTATCGGCAAATGGAATCAATATAAGAGTTTGCGGCAGCATAATTTCCTTGTCCCTTAGTTCCAACAGCTCCAGAAAGGGAAGAGAAACAAACGAAGAAATCGAGAGAAATATCAAGGGTAGCCTTGTGAAGGTTATGTGTTCCCATAACTTTGGGCGTGGTGCAAATTCTCCATTGATCGAACGACATCTTGTCAAAGGGCGAATCTTGAAGAACCATCGCAGCCTGGAAGACACCCGCAAGGTTATCCTTGATGGCCTTGACGCAGTTGTTGACTCCATCGAAGTTGGATACATCGGCTTTGAACACTCGAACGTTGACATTTCTGTCTTCAAGCCATTGGACAACAGCCTTGGCTTCAGGCTTGTCCGCGCCAGATCGAGAAAGGAATGCCAGTCTCCGGGCTCCTCGGCGGTAAAGCCATTCAGCAAGTTTCTGGCCGAGACCACCCAGACCACCAACAAGGAGGTATGTCTTGTCAGACTTGAGAGTTGCCTTGCTATCATTGGTGTTTGGCTGTACAAGGACTTGGTTATCATCTCCAGGAACGAGAACAACTTTACCAGCAACATTACCTAGCTGGAGCATGCGGAATGCTTTCTCGCACTCGGCATATTCGAGCTCAACGGTAGGGATGGAGCGAATCTTTCCTTGCTGGAAGAGTTCACAGCATTCCTTGAACAATTTTGTAGCAATTGATCGGTTCTTCAGGTTAAACATAGTAACCAAGTCGACACTGGCGAAAGTAGCATTCTTTCTGAATGGGTCCATGTCGATCCTGCTGTTCTGGTGGATATCTCGCTTACCGATTTCAATGAATCGACCGAATGGAGCCAGACAGGTCCATGTGGCATGGAGAAGCTTTCCAGCGAGGGAGTTAAGCACAACGTCCACACCCCACCCGTTGGTAAGGCGGTGGACACCCTCAACGAATGAGTCGTCACGGGAGTTGAGGATTTGGTCATCAGTAAGGCCATAAGTGTTCTTAAGGAGATCCCTCTTGGATTGAGAGCCAACGGTGGCAATGATCTTGGCTCCAACCAATTGAGCTACCTGGATGGCCATCTGTCCAACACCTCCAGCAGCTGCGTGGATGAGAACAGTCTCGCCCTCCTTGAGCCTCGCGGCCTCAACAAGAGAGAAATACGCAGTAGATAGAACCAGAGGGTAGGCTGCAGCCTGTGCAAAGGTTAGAGAACCAATCTTGGCGCAGTAACAGGCTGGGTTCCGAGCAATAGTCCGGTGAGCACCCTCACCAGGGCGGAGTGCGACAACACGGTCACCAATCTGGAACTCTTCGTCCGAAACCTTGGATCCCTTGCGAATGACGATACCAGCACATTCATCTCCAAGTTTGTAATCTTCAATAATGCCCATGCTAAGGGCAATGTCACGGAAGTTGATAGCTGATGCCTTAACAGCGATTTCAAGCTCGTCGTCTTTGAGAGGTTCATCGGTAATCTCAGTGTCATCAGCAAATGACAGGGTTTCCAAGAGGCCAGGTCGTCCAATAACGAGCTTGAGTGGCCTATTCTTCTGGTGAAGTGGTTGCATTGTGGCCTGGTGATTGTAGCCTCCAGCAATCTTAGAGTTCAACTCATCATTTGCGTGCAATCGGGAGACATGGATTTGGCCATTTCGAAGCGCGATTTCTTCTTCGTGGAGGGTTGGGTTGAGGATGCGGAAAATGAGATCGGCAGAGAGATCAGCTTTAGCAGACTTAGTGATATCAAGAATTGCAATTCTCAAGTCTTCAGTTTCATGACGAACAGAGCGAGCAAGGCCAGGGAACATGGCTTGCTCTGGGCAGGGGCAATCCATGAAGGTACCCTGGCTAAGCCAAACAATGTTGCGGTTTGCATCGCTCGTGAGGGACTGGACCGCCTTGAATTCGTTCAAAGCCTTGGATGGCTCATCATAGAAGATGTTTACATCGAGGGCGTAGAGGGAAATAACATTGTCGTCCATTCGTGTGCCATTTCTGAGAGACAGGAAGTCTTTTCTAGTAACCTTTGCTGAGGTGGTCGATTCAATTCTTTGGGCGAGAGCTTCAGTCTCTGCAGATGGATTAGATGGCATGAGAATGGTAAGAGTCTCAGGAGTGAACACTGATTCATCACCGCCCTTCAAGACGGTCACATCAGAAGTGGACCATAATTGTCTAAGGTTTTCGGCAGTGGGGGCCTTTGCAGGATGGGATATAACAAGGCCGTTCTCATTGAGCTTCTCGATGGAAGCAGCTTCAGCCGAAGCGGAGATTATGATCACATCGAACTTCTCCTCATCAAGAGGGGCCTCAAGCGAAACAAGGCCATTCCAGCGTTCAACAAGGGGAGAGAAGCTTGCCTCCTCCGCTGAACCAACTGGCACCACAGTCATTTTGCCGAATTTGCGTCTCTCTCCATTAGAGCCACCAAGATGGTTCAGTATGTCCAAGGTAGAGGTATGGGAGTCAGAGTAGTGAAGGAAGTGCAAATTAGGGTTTTGGTGGACGTAGAGGTCAACAATCTCAGGGACGCTGAGGTTCTGGGCTTGAGCAGGAGTCAGGAACTCGAAAGCCGGCTTCCACTGGATGCCGAAGAAAAGAGTTCTCTTCTGTTGGTCATCAGCATCGCTTCCAAGACTGGTGAGTTCTAGACCTTCAATATCCGCAAGAAGCTGGCCATCCTTGGACTCAATACCGATATTGCTAATGGCAACACGGGGTCCGTGCATCCAGCTGTCGACAGCGACGTTGGCCTTGAATCCATCGCATTTATACTCCTTACGGTTAAGGTGACCAGAAATTTTCAAAGAACGCATGAAAGTAGGGATAAAGGATTCCGTGATACTGTGGCCCATGAGGCCTTCCACTGCAGCGAAGATTGGGTGGAGCGAGGAATCCAAGAAGGTAGGATGAAGGACACTGGCGCTGGAGTCATCGCCAGTAGAAACTCTCTTCGGCTCCCAGGTGATTTCTCCAGTTGCGAAGCCCTTACCACACTCCACATTCCCGCTAAGGCACTGGAAAGCCGGTCCATAGTGAAGGCCAATGGTTGCAAGTCGTTGGTAATATTTCGTGTGGGCCAAGGTTCTGTTGCTGCTGGCTCGAAGCTCTGAAGCAGGGGCTCGCTGCTTAATGCGATGGACGGGACGTTCTTCACCCATCTCAACTTGAATCAGCCCAGTACAGTGCTCCCTCATGGAGTCACCATCAAAGGAGAAAATGGCGAATTCTTTCCAGGTTGAGTAAACAGTCTTAGCTGATTCTGTAGCTGGACGAAGTTCCAGCAAAACTTCGGTGCCTAAGTCACTGTTGCTGACCATGAGAGCGGACTTTATGGCAATGTCACGAAGGTGAATCTCTTTGATCGGGTCTTCAGGGTTACCAAGGCGGATAGCAGCCTCAATAGCCATGGTAATGTATCCAGCTCCAGGGAAGACAACTTTTCCAGAAACAGCATGATCCACCAACCAGGGCATCTCAGCCAGACGGAGATAGTTTCGCCATCTAGGGCGGTCTTCGAGGCATCCCGGCATCTGAGCACCGAGAATTTGATGTCTGAATTTGCGAAGACGGTGGCTCTTGATGACACGGGTTTCGGACCAGTACCTCTGGTGATCCCAAGCATAACTAGGGAAGTCAAGAAGTTTGTTACCACTGTCGACGGTAACAAGATTATTGTTGGCATCGATGTATTTGTCCTGGTTAACAGCAGGGATGTCAACAGGGTATCCCATAGCAAATAGCTGACCGGCAGCGCTAAGGATGCTATCGTAAGCAGCGACCTTACGGTCAAGAACTCCGATGTATGGAAGTTTGATGTTTAGAGAGTTAAGAGTCTGGTTGGACGGTCCCTTGAGAGCAGGATGAGGGCCGACTTCAACCAAAACATCAATGTTTTGCTCATCATCCTCATTGAGCACAATTCCGGTAAGAGCGTCAGAAAACTTGACTTGACCAGTCATGTTGGCGGCATAATAAGCTGGTCCCATGGTCTGATAGTCGGCAACTCGGGCAGTGACACTGGAGAACATGCGAGCAGTTGGAGGTTGAGGAGCAAATCCAGGGTGATGTTTCAAGGCACGCTCATATCCAGGGGCAAGCGGAAGCATGTGGTGACTGTGGAAAGCTTGGCCGACCTGGAGACGACGAGCGAAGACTTTGCGCTCAGAGAGTTTAGCTTGAAGTTCAACAACGGCATCTTCGTCTCCGGACACAGTGAAACTGGTAGGACTGTTCATGGCAGCAACTGCAATGCGACCAGCGTATGGCTTGAGCTCATTGGTAACTTCAGATTCAGTGAGACCAACGGCCATCATAGCACCAGGGACGCTATCAGAGCTGGCAGCTGCATTGCCCATGTAGAGACCACGGTAGTAGGCGGCAACCATGGCATTAGAAAAGGACAATATGCCAGCAGCATAAGTAGCAGCCAACTCACCACTGGAATGTCCGACAACAGCAGTTGGGCGTATTCCCCAGGAAGCAAGGAGGTTAATCAAAGCAAGCTGAAGAGCAGTGCAAATTGGCTGAGAGAATCGAGTCTCACCCAAGCGAGAATCTTCCTGAGATCGAAGAAGCTCGCCGACAACAGTCCAATCAGGCTTATCAGGAAGAGCTTGGAGAACTTCGTCACACTTCTCCAAGGATTGGCGGAAGAGTGGGCTCATTTCAATAAGCTGACGGCCCATTCCCCACCACTGAGCACCTTGTCCGGTGAAGACAAAGCCAAGTCGGGGAGCAGAAGTCATCTTGCTGGCCCAGGCAGCGACTGGTAGGGGTTCCTTGAGGCTGCTGACGACAGCTTCATTAGTTGCTCCGTAAGCAAAAGAACGGAAATCATGCATGCTTCGCTCAGTGCTAAGGGTAGTGGCAAAGTCCGCAATGCTGATATCGGGGTTTGTCTCCAAGTAAGCCGCAAGTTTATCAGCCATCAGCTTTCCAGCTTTGTCGGAGTGGGAAGTAATTGGTGCAAGATAAGGGCGACCCTTGGTCATCTCAGCGTAAGGTTCTGGGAGAGCAAGCTTAGCGGAAGATGGGCGGTTGTATTCCTCTAGGATAATATGGGCGTTGGTGCCTCCATATCCGAAACTGTTAATGGAGACACGTCTAGCGACACCCTCGCGGACCGTCCACTCAACAGGTTCAGTAGGGATGCGCAGCTTCCATCCTTTGAAGTCGACCTCAGGGTTGGGAGTGTTGAAATGCATGTTTGGCGGGATTTGGTGTTTTTCCAAAGCCATTGTTGCCTTCATGATACCCGCCAACCCAGAGGCGCCCTCAAGATGACCGATATTTGTCTTGACAGAACCAATCCAGAGGGGCTCGTCACGGGTAGAAGCGAAAACAGAGCTGAGGGCACGAAGTTCTCGGGGGTCTCCAGCTGCGGTACCAGTACCGTGGCATTCGACATACTGAGTATCGGCAGGGCTGAGGCCAGCCTCTTTGTAAGTTCTTTCAATCAAGGCCGCCTGGGCCTGAGCCGATGGGAGAGTGATTCCCTGCTTCTTTCCGTCATGGTTTGCACCAGATGCCCTGATGATAGAGCGGATTCGATTTCCTTCGACCTCAGCACGAGATTGTCGCTTCAAAACAACCGCGGTGATACCCTCACCACGAACGTAACCGCTACCAGCCTTATCTCCGTGACGGCAGCGGCCGTCAACGGAAAGCATACCAAGATCAGTCATGGTCACGAAGATGTTTGAGTCAAAATGAAGAGCAGACCCGACAATAATAGACAAATCTGATTCACCACTGCGAAGAGATTGGTTTCCAAGGTGCAGAGCAACGAGAGAAGAGGAGCAAGCGGTGTCAATAGTAACGCTAGAGGGAGTTTATCAGTTAACAGGAGCAGATGCAAGCGCTTGCTTCAATGAAACTTTACCTAGGACCGTGCAAATCATAAAAGTAGGAGATACGGTTAGAAAGAATTGCATCACCAGTTCCGGTCACAGTGTACTTGGGATAGTACTCCAAATCCTTGGTAATCATCGAATTGTAGTCGTTGGTGAAACAACCACAATAAACAGAAGTTTGGGTGCCCCGGATTTCATCAAGAGTAATTCCGGCTATTATAGTTAGTTAGGATATTCAGAGAACAGGATATAAATCTTACCATTTTCCAACGCTTCATAGACAACCTCAAGCAAGAGGCGCTGCTGAGGGTCCATAGCCTCAGCTTCCTTGCCAGAGATGTGGAAGAAACCAGCATCGAAAAGACCGAGATCCTGGTCAAGGAAATAACCATATTTGGCATTGGTCTACAGTAAAGTTAGAATCAACCCGTGGTGTGTCTGTGTGATAGAGGCTGAAAATCAACATACGGTTCCCTTGTTGGTTCCATCAGGGTGGTAGTAAGCGTCGACATTGAAGCGGTCAGAAGGCATCTTCTTCTGAACATCGCGCTGGGTCATAATGTTCTCCCATAGTTTGGAAGGAGAAGAAGCGCCTGGAACACGGCAGGCCATGCCGATCACAGCGCTGAAATCATCGCGAGGAGTTGGCGCAGTAGTAGCGCTTGAAACGGTCTCGTTGTCAGAGACGTAAGGGGTGTTAACACCTGAGGTACTAGTCATGGTGTCCATTGCTGCGTAGTTTGTTTGAAAGTTAGTATCAAGAAGAGGAGCGGGGATTTAACCTGAAGTTGTGAATATGTCCAGATGCTTTTCAGAATTGGAATCCAAGGCGGAGGACAATCGGTTGGTGCGTATTAGTTACTAAGTATGTATTTTGAATATACAATATCCAGATAATCGATATCGAACCGCTGGATGGTTGGTAGAGCACTGAGGCGAAGAAAAAAAAACAGATTCTATAAGGAATCCCCAATTTGTATATTGAGGTGGATAGAAGTGAAACGGATGGTCCCAGAAGCAGAGTGCTTGGTGGGAGTAAGTGGATGCAAGTAACTATCAAGAAGAACACAGAGAAAGAACCAAATCAGCCCGGCAATGATTTAATTCTAGAAAGAAATTTTGAAGCTATCTCGGGGTCAGAAAGGGTATTTGACTTGTTCTCAACATCTCAGCCATCTCAGCCATCTTGAAATCTGACTAAAGCTTTCATGGTAGGAACAGTCGAAGTCGCCGTGCAGAAAAGGATAACGGGCAATTTCCAGATCCCTATGCAGGCTGCCTATTGGTCAGACGAGCTTTGTGCTGAAAGAAGGTAAAGCGAGTCTTCGAGGCCAAAGCTTCTCTCTGTCGGCCAACTCGGGGAGCGTGGCCGTCACGATACCAGGGCTGATGTATCCAGCCCCTTGCAGGCTCACATTTGAATAGATTAGATGCCATTAGTTCGAGAGAAGAGGGCCCCATAGACCAGGGGCCCGAAGCTAAGCTGACATTCTTTTCCTCCCTGCAGGGAGAAGTTAATATGCATCAAGTCCTAGTCTCGCGTGGCTTATCCCCTGCAAGAGGATGCGGGACTCCATATCATGGTATGGAAGGCCCGCTGTGCTGGCACATGGCATGAAGGCTGAAACCGCTTAACGCGAGGCTGGAGGAACAATGCATCCTTGGTGGTAAATCCTCCGCGTGGGCTCGGGGGGCGAATACCGAGTTCTGCCCCGTTTTGTACTGTTACTACAGCCCAGGGCAGCTAAATATGGACTCCGCGCAAAGTAGACCCTTGTAAGTGCTTAGTGTAATTGTATAGATTTGATGAGATAGTTAGTCCACGATTCATTCACCAGGCACAGGTGGACCTTTCGAGATCGGCCGAATGGCAACAGCGAGGATGCAGAGGCCCGGAAGACTGTTGATACATTTCAATGGGCCCATTCTGAGCTGACTGGCAGCTTGATGCATGGACATGAGAACAGAGCCCGTTATGCAAAGGCTGAGGATGAAGAGATGAGGTTGGTTGACGTTGAGGTTTGGGAAGTTCAAGTTGGACATCGCAAGTTGATGTTTATGCTGACTAAGCAACTAGAAACATCGAAACTTCGACTTCGACTTCAACTTCGATATCAACAACTAGCAAACAAGGAAACAAGAAAACTGCCGGTTAACAAGCCATTTCCAGCGCTGCTATGCTTCATGTTTCCTTCTGCTTGCCTATCTGCCGCTCTCCCATGTGGTAACCGTCTCGGCGCATGCTGAAGGCCCGACACAGTATTGCTTACTGCTAAAGTCTAGACGGCCCTCTCGTATCGCTTTACCTCCGGAATCTTATGGCGTCGTGGCAGTCAGATCTCCGCAGAAAGAAGGCGAGGAGACTGGAAACATCTCTCCATTGCTCTATCTCAGCATGTGTAGCATAGGCTAACACTGGATTCCCTCCTATGTGACTCTTCAGGCATGACAAGCGACGTTGGCTCCTTGCAGTCAGCTAGTTGAGCTTCATAACTAGCTAGTTAACTAGCCAGCCTATTATCAATAACTAATGGCGTCTATACCTAATGTGTCTGTATGGAATCACCACAGCAACATTACTGAGGACGCCCTCCTGCTCGATATCAATCCTCTCGTCTATGCATAAAGTACATACGACCATAGGAAGTGGAAAACAGAGCTTCCCGTCCGCTCAGCTGTACTTAAGCCACTTGCTGGTCGGTTAGTAGTTGGGTGGGTGACCACCAGCGAATCCCGACTGTCGTATGTATTTTTTCTTGTTTTTTATTCATGCTATTTTTCGTTTTCACCGTCTGCAATATCTTTCACGTATATATTAGTCGTTATTTATTGTTGTTGGTGGGGGGAGAATTTGTGCTGGAATATGCAGCCAGTTTGCCAGAAAACTACTGTATCTCAGTCCATGCTCTTAGTTACGCTTGTAACTGTTTAACGCGAGAACTAACTCTGCATAAAAGACTTATTATTTTTCTTTCTCGCATGATTTGCATGCCAGTCAACCACAGCACAAGAAACAAGGCTACTAATAATGATCCGTTACGCTTCGGGTGCTCGATACGTCCACACATTCCTCGTTACCAGAAGGAAAGAAACGGGACTCTTCTATGGGCGAGTTTCAGTGGCTGGTTGTCCGCCACTTTTCTACCTACGGAGCTTTTTATCAAACCCGTCACCCCTGCTGATATGGCAGTCATGAACTTATATAGACGACCTCTGCTCTATGCTATGCAAGTTGCCCGTTGTCTACACTGTCTGGAATCCGGTCAACTCCTACAGGCCGCTCTGTTCATCTTATCTCGCCATTGCGTGACATCTTTTCAGTACCTCTATCAGGTGCTATATACTCGTTTGCTCATATCTTAATAATTCTACCTTTCCAGAATCAGCTGTCATCATGTTCGTTGACTACATCCGGGCGGCCTTGACACAGCCAATCAACATAATACCGGCTATCATCATTCTCTTCATTATCTTCAAAGTCCGAGCGTGGTCCAAGGACGATGGCATCCCGTCTGTTAAATCAAATATTCCAATTGTTGGAAACCTCCTCGACTATGCTAAGGATATGGAAAAATATGTCCGTGAGTCCGGGAAGAAATACGGACAGGTCTTTCAGATCAACCTCCTCCTTACGAACACAATCTGGCTTAACAGCCCTGCCTTAAATAAAGAATATCTTTTTGCCCGCGAGGTAGGTGATCTTTGTCCCTCCCAATAAACAGACTCGTCTAACTATTCATCAGGACGTTTGGTCATTTGGTGACGGCATGGGAGTGTTCCTAAACAAGGTCGTTGTCCCAAACTTCTTCGACCAGCTTCGTGTTCTTGTTGGATCACTTAGCAGAGGAATTTCCAACAATGCAGCTATCTCGCATTATACAAATTTAGCTGGCATCGAAACCGAGAAGGCAATTTCCAACTGGGCCAACCGCAAGGAGCCTTTGAACCTTTTCAAGGACACCTCTTACATCGTACACAAAATTATTGTCCAGTGCATGATGGGTCCAGACTTCTACGATGCCGCTGATGAGCTTTTTGACCTTCTTCATGTCATGGAAGCGAATCTTGGTAGCATCTGGAACTTCATTCTCCCTGAATGGCTCCCTCATCCAGCCGCTAAGAAGCTATGGGCTGCCCGTGACCGTACGAAGGAGATATTCAATGTCCGTCTTGCTGCTCGTGAAAAGGAGCCGGAGAAATGGAAGAAAGAACTGGACTACATTTCATACACCCTCCGTGACCCTGTCACTGCTCATCTAAAGGACAAATACAGTGCCCTTCACACAGTTCTCATGTTTGCTGCCCACACAAGCACTGTTGCCGGCGTTGCCTGGACTATCATTGAGGTGAGAATCCCCATGCTCTCTTCCAGTGGTTTAAATTGCTAACTAGGCTTAGCTTCTCAAAAACCCTCAATATATCGAGCGTCTTCGCAAAGAACTAGCTGCCAACCCGAACCCAGAGGAATCCGAGTTCCTCAGTGCCCTGATGAAAGAAACTGTCCGCCATTACGTGGCATTCAACGATCTCCGCTTCACCCGCCAACCTAAGACTCTTACTAACACAAATTCCAAGAAGCCGATTACTATCCCCGCTGGTACCATGGTATCTATCTCTCCTTATATCACCCATCATGACCCAAGCATCTGGGAAAATCCCAACGAGTATCTTCCTGAGCGTTGGATTGATGAGCCAAACCTCCAGAAAAAGATGAACGAGGGCAACAACATCCGCTATCTACCATTTGGTGCAGGGAGTCATCGTTGTCCTGGAGAGAAGATGGCGTTGATGATGATGAGGACTATTGTTGCCAAGATTGTTATGACCTGTGATATGGATTGGCCCGCTGGCGAGGCTAACCAAAACACCACTGACTTGGACTTCGCTAAGATTGGAAGCCCATGGCTCAAGGGTGACATTCGCGTTAAAATCCAACCCAAGAGGAAGTAGATTCTTCTTCCCATTCCTTTATCAAGGAGGCGAGCGATGGGGAAAAAAAATAGATATCTCTAATTTTATTTACGAAGTATTGACATTGGTTGTTATTTTTCTGCATTTAATGTTATACATATATTTAGTCACGTTATTCAATCACCTCTCTCTACTCGTCCAACTGTTCTTAATAAAGCTTTGTATGGATATTTTCGATTATTGAGTACTATTAGCCTGAAACATCGATAGTCCATAGTTTCTAATGCAATGTAATACAACCGAATTCCCGCCACTTTCCTCCTCTCGCGTATATTAAAAACTAGAAATGAAATACTATATAGGTTTTCTATATTTAAGTGAAATGAGAAAAAATGTATCTCCCCTCCTTTTCCCAGGATTTAATTTGTCTAGACCGGAATCATAGACCGGATGGATCCATATGTAAGAGTTCAATAATGACAGTATTGAGAACGTGGCCCTAGGCTCGTATACTTAAATCCCAGAGTAGTTAATTGTTTAGTTAAGCAGTTATCTCGTATTCTAGTTCATGCATTTCAGTTCTGGAAGGCCTACCGGTACTGATTTCCCAAAACGAGCAGTGATGGAACTCTCCTCTGTCGGCCGGAATACCTAGTTATATGAAAGCAACAGGCAATATTTGAAAAACGGCTAGTGGCATAGAATGAAGCTCAAGGGGTGTATCCAATCGCGAGGTTAATACCAAGCATACTCGTTATCGAACTACCGATTTACATGCAAATCACCTAGTCGCAACAAGCCATGCATATCGACCGACTAGATGGCTGCATCCAAAGGAATAGTGTTTCCACCCACGGGTGAAGTTTCCAGTGCCAGATTTTAGGCTAATGTTAGTGGAGCAACGTATGAGTGATTAAGGAGTGAAGAGGCAAAAATGTTGAGTTATAGAATTAGAGCTATGTTCACTATCAACTTTACAATGTTGTGGTATATAAAAGATGTGCAGGGTGAAAACCTCGGCTGGACCAGCAAGCTGGAGACAAAGATATTAGTCTATAGTAAAGGTAGATTTCAAGTCAAACATAAGAGATGATTGTTGGGAAAAAACTTAATCGCGAAAATCAGCGAGGCCAACTCTGTTCTTCTCGAAGTCAAAGAGGATAACCTTGTCCTTAGCGAAGTTCTCACCAAGATTTCCGATAACAAAGTTCTCCCCTTGGCCAATAACACGAACGTTAAGGACACAGACATCCTTGCCATCCATGGTCTTAGCTTTGGAGATGTAGTGTCTGGACTCGATGCTCCAGACTCGGCGCCATTTGCCGAACTGGTACTTCACAGCTGGGAAAGTATCAACCCGGTCACAGTCAACAGAGTAAAATTTTTGCTTTCCATTGTTAGGAAGGGTAGCCATCGTAAGGTTAGCAGGCTGGGCATTGGTAATGGAAACAAGTCGCCTGTAACTGGCAACAGACATGGCGGCACCGCGTCCGTAACTAGCATGGTCAAAGACTACTGCAGAGCCTGTGGTAGTATTGAGAGCCTGCTCTTCATTACCGATAAAGTGTTTTGTGACTGGGATAGACCAATAGTTATAGAAAGCCGGGTTATAGATGAAGTCGATGTCATTCACAATGGGAAAGACGATAGTGTCGATCCACTCGATTCCACGCCATCCGATATCCCTGTGATGGTATCCACCAAGAGTTTGAATGCCGTCGTTTCCGTTGCACCGTTCTTTTAGTGGTGACTTATAGCCTGGCTCATCGCTATAGCAATAAATGAACGACGTTAGACCAGAATGGAACTTATTCTGTTGGAACATCTGGTGGAATGGAGCTTGGATGGACATGTTGTCTGGCTTAAAAACGGGAGACATCCCAAAAATTCCGCTGAATGGGTAGGGGAACGAAGCCTTCCAATTCAACTGGGACAGCTGGAGGGTAATTCGAGATTCTCGGTCACCAACGCGATAAATGTCGGAAGCAAATACTGCGGTAAGATCCTTGTCCATGAAGAAATGGTTGGGGTTCCATGTTCGAGTTGGATATAGGTTGGTCTGATTGACGAGGGAAGTAGATTGTGTCTCATTAAAGAGCTTCTGGCCAGGAGCAAGGCATCCATAAGCATTATTGGTATGGTTGCATTTAGTAGAGACGGTGTATGCGCCTATCCAGGTCCAATCAACGAAAAGTCTGGTAGCCTGAGCTGGTGTTCCGATAGTGACTAGGTCCGTATTGAAACCATTCTGGTACAGCTTCAAGGGTAGATCAATCATGCTCTGTTGTCTATCATTGGGAGCGGCGCTTGCTTGCGGGATAGTCGCCGCCCCCAGAGCGACAAGGGTGAGGATGCCACGCATGATGTTAGGTCAAGGTGGTCACTGTTGGAGTAGAGGGAAAGGAGGGTGAAACAAAGCAGGAGGTCTCGTAAGCCAGCACGAAACTTGGTGAGAATTAGCGATTGAGATAGATATAGATATTCAAGTACTCAGTGTACTTTTATCATCCGGAAACAATTGATGAAGATCGAAGGATGCTTCATCATAGTTATATTGTCTCAAATGTCGAACAGCGACCGTTAACGCCATAAGCCATTCATAGAATGGTCTCCAATAGAAGACTCCGTGCGGAGAGAAGCCATATCTCGAGTGCTTTCGGCACGGATGCTAAGCAAGAAATGTCCGCTGTGTCTCGGCCTTAGGATGCGCAAAGCCGCTGCGTTGCTGAAAGTTGATGTTGCCAGAAAGTTTCGGTACTTTTTCCTGTGCCTATTTTTAGGCGCTGACTAAGTATAAACACATTAGTAATCAGGCTCCACGTGACCTCGCTCGGCACTTCCCCCCCTTTTTTGCGCTCTTCGAATATCGCGACGACGACATCAAAATATCAACCGCAACGACAGCATGCTAACTCACGAATCAACAAAGCTAGATGCATCATGATCCTTTGAGATACCATTCAACGAGACAAGGATAACGAAAGACGTGCTAGTCGAAGAGAGATCCCTGTACCATCATCTTCTAGAATACCATTCTCGTGGCAGCATCGCGTGGGCTCCGGGAAATCTTACTCAAACTGTGTGATTCCTAACTTTCAAGCCTCGTCCTTCGTGCTTCAATGCCACACGATGTCCACGTGTAGGAGCTGTAACGAGAGTGCCCCTTGCTAGCCACTGTACCCCCTGTGCCTTAGTTCTGGCCACTGGCGGTACTTTCTACCTATCGCCTACTCTTCCTCGCCAACCATGGTCGACTTGGAAAGCGATATCGCTAGGGCAAAGCTTGTCGCAGAAGCTGTCCCACTGCCCCCAGAGCTGATACCTGTGTAGATATTTTGTCCAAAACAACCGACATGCTTCTATTTCAAAGCAGCATGACTCTGAGAAGGATTTACATAGAAAATAGGCCAAATTTATCGAGCAGAGGAGCTCTGTCCAAGTCTTCTATTAATTTAGGCACCCTCCCGCATTTCCAAGGACCGGACCGGCTCTAAACTAAATCCAATATACATTCATTTTCTTTCCCAGAATACAACGCAGGATTGAATCATTGCGTCCATATTTTATAGTCAGCTTTTGTTCAGAGCCAAGCAAAAGTAATCTATCCTCTTCACTAGACTTCCTTCGATTCGGGCCGCCCATTTCACTGAGGAACTATGGATACCATTACTCTCCTTCAGGGTGACCCTGACTCCAACCTCACTCCTCTAATTCTCGTGCACGCCATATCTGGCCTTGCACTGCCATATTTTGCTCTCGGCCCCCTCTCCGAGATCGAAGAAGATCGCCCCGTATATGGCATCTCCTCACCAATGTTCACATCAACCTTGGCAAATCCACCGGGTGATACCTTGTCGCAGATGGCAGAGGAATATGTTACAACTGTCCGTCGTGAGATCCAGCCATTTGGGCCCTATCTTCTAGGGGGCTGGTCTATGGGTGGCATGATCGCAATGGAGATGGCAGCAATACTCCAGGCACAAGGCGACGAAGTACCACACGTTATACTGATTGATTCAGTAAATCCAAGGTACTTTCCAGCATTTCAAGACAAGAAACAACACGATATACAGGCGGCATTAACATACAATGCTATTGCTACTCGAATGAATGCCCCTGCGATTCCATTATTTCAATGCGGCCTGTTTGAAGATGACTATTATAGCAGCAGCGGTGACGAGAGCAACAACGACAGCGATACCGAAGAGTTTGCGGAAGACTTGTCCGTACCCGAAATGTTAGGAAGGATGAGGAAACATATCCACCAGGGACTTGGTGTTTTGGCCTCCCAAAAGAGCAGAGTGGATGAGTTCGATTTTAGTGAAACGGAAGTCACGTTGATCAGATGCACAGTCCGCGAGAGCATAGATTCTCTAGTCAACGACCGGCGCAAAATACTCGCACAGAAGCGATCTCAGGACAATACGCTACTATGGCCGGCTGAAAATTTTAAGTCGTTCAAGACCCTTACTATTGACGCTACACACGACGGTTGTTTCGACGCTGAACATGCTGATGAACTGACGTTCCTTGTCAAGGACGTGTTGGACAATCTTGAGTATTGAGACTTGAAGCGCATCGTGCGCAACATCAACCCATTTCACGCTTATTCAGATCTTTTTAACGTTTGGTTAACCTCAACTATATCTTGTTATCAAGAACAGACTCAGGAGTCTCTACTATCGTTTTTACTCGGCAAAACGGTGTTTTTTGGAGGTTCTATGCACACCGCAGCCAAAAGTGCATACTGGAAACATTATATCGATTGGCAGGAAACCAAAGGAGGGTCCCACACAATATGGGTTGAGCCACCCTCTGTTCAACGTTCTTTTTCAATCATATTTACTGGCTAGATAATCTCCCTCTTTCTTGTTATCTTTACTTATTTCTTCTCCCTCGCTTGTAAGGTGGTTAATGTTTTTAGAATAGATGGAACAGATATTTTTGCACACAATCCACACTCTTGCTATCATGTCCAGCTATTCGTACCACAAATTCTGTAGCCGGCTCGTTCGAGCACTGGCCGCTCGTATCTAACCATCCCGACAGCCTCCGGAACGGAGTTAAGAGGTTAAAGAGCTGATTTTAATCCCGTCTCTAGATCTTCTCATCAATTCAGCAAATAAACCGGCACACGCCACATATGCAGCAGTATCAAGCTGACTAGCTAGCTGCGTAGGAAGGCGACTACTGAAATAAGGGACCAAAAGACGGGGATATATTTTCCGACCAAACCACCACATAGAATCGAGCTTCTCAGCCCTGCAGCTGAAGAGGTAGGTCTTTCGGTCTAGATCAGCGCAAGCATGCGCCGAATGTACCCAGCTCCGTATCCCACGTTGGAAGCCAGGACTATGTCGTATCCATACAAGAGAAGGAGAAAAGGTGTAACTTAGCGATCAGGATGTTCCATGTTCTCTCAGGCCACGTTTTCCCTGGATCAAGCTATTTTCTTTTCCTCTTGCCTTCCCATGCCTGTCCTGGGCGACAGAGGGATGGCAGGGGTTGGTTTTCAGGTTGTGAAGATTTTACGCTCGAATGATGAGTTAGTTAAGTTGCTCATCAGGGCGTGGAAGTCGAACGCATCGCAGATCCAGGCGAACAGGCCGGCCAGGAAGAAGAGCCAGTTGCTTGCCGACAGCTGGGCAACCATGGAGAAGGATCATACCTGCTAAGTAGTCATACTTACTTTCCTATTGGCGAGAAGGAATGCATAACACCCGATAGTCAGTGAATATCATTTTGTAAAGAGAATACCACCTTCACTGGAAAAGAATTATCCGTGGTAAATACTCACGGTAGATTGCCATTAGGCTCCGAAAACATGCATACCTTGAACTTGCCCTTCCGGTGGATAACGGGGTTATCCCGAATATGCGCCTGAACATGGAGATACTCGATGTGTTTCAGCCTTCTTGAGCACACAACAATGAGGAACAAGCTTAAACTTGGCCTATTAGTCGACTTTTGCAGCGGAACATTATCTTTCAGGTGGCATATTTAGGGGCTATCAGAGCCTGAAGGCCTTCCTATAACTTATCGGTCACCTCCAGTTTGTTGTCGCCCAGCTCCTTTACCTCCAGCTACACTTTTGCTTATTTTCCAACAATCAAGAAGCAGATAGGAGTCGAGAAAATTTACGCTCGTGGATACAAATTCTTATCCTCAAAAGGTCCAGTGCAGTACCAGAGACACCTCAATAGTCGTTACTTCAATCGCGGGAAAAAATGACCGAAGCCAAACCACACACCCCAGAGCGTGTCCGTGTTGCCATCTGTGGAGGCGGCATTGGCGGTCTTACCATGGCTGCTGTCCTTCGCCGGCTCGATATATCCTACGTCGTACTGGAGCGATATGCACAGATTACTCCCCAAGGAGCTGGAATATCACTTGCCCCCAACTGTTTGCGGGCTTTAGATCAGCTCGGCATTTTTGAGAAGCTGGCTAAGCATTCGCAGGCGCTGCGTGAAGTCCACATTTATAAGAACAACGAGTTCTGGGGTTCCCAGAAATTCGGAATGACCAACGAAGCATTTGGATATTATGTGCATAAAATTGAGAGACACCAGTTTCACCACCTGTTGCTGGAGGCAGCAGGCGGTACTGATGTCGTTCGATTAGGCTTCAACGTGAATGATGTTGTCGATGAGGAAGACGCTCCTTATGCTATTGTCAGAGCTGAGGATGGCCGAGAAGTTCACGCCGACATCATTGTTGGCGCTGACGGAATTCGCAGCTATACTCGTCGAGTAGTAAGTTATCTCCCTTCCCCCCTCCCGCACACACCAGAGGTTGATCATCAGAGAACTAATGATGGTGTCTGAAATCAATTAGCTGGCCGAGAAGAGCGGAATGAAGGCAACAAACAACATCCGCTTCACTGGAAGAGTCCATATGTCCGGATACACAAATCCCTTGACACACTTAACTACTAAGGATGAGGGCGTTGCCCACTGGATGTTGTATGACGACGCCATTCTCACTACCTGGCCATGCAAGGACAACAGACAGTGGTTTATCGGTGTTGCGGTTCGTTGATTTTCACTGGTGAAAAGCAACCATTACAGCAAACTAACGTCCAGTGTAGGCGGCAAAGCTGAAGCCAGGCGAGCAGCCTGATCGATCAGTGTGGAAGGGCGCCACTAAGGACACAATCAACGAGGTCTACGGTGAACGGTTCCATCCATTTGGTGAGGAATCTAAAATGAAGTCGAGTAAGTATTTACTCTTTGCTATACATAAGAAGGTGAGCACCACTTACTGATGGTCAACAAAGTTGTCGATGCTTCTGAGCGCGTTATTGCCAGCAACGTGTTCATGGAGCTTGACGTCCCACACATGGTGAAGGGGAGGATCATGCTTGTTGGTGATGGTTCGTGTCCCCTTTTATCTGCTTTTTAAAATTAAAGTGATGACTAATGCTCTTGGCAGCGGCCCATTCCATGACATCATTTTTTGGCCAGGTAAATTAAGCTTAATTTCTTCAAACTTTCCCTCTCTCCCCACCCACATCCACAATGGAACTAACACTAAGTCTGATAGGGTGGATGTCAAGCCATCGAGGACGCCGTAGAGCTCGGTAACGCCTTGTACGAGCATTTCCATCTTGATGACCCCACTGCCTTCAACAGATATTCCGAGATCCGTCAGAAGAGAGCAAGGGACCTTGTCCAGTTCTCTGATAACTTTGCAAAGGTCCATACAGCCCGACTTCCATATGGGCTTGGACCTTTGGTGAGAAAAATTCTTTACAAATATGTTCCCACCAGTATATGGGTATGGTATTTCGGCTGGCTCTTTAACTACCAGCCAGTCATCAAGTACCCGCTGTTAGATCTTCCTGCTGGTCGGGCAACTTCCGCCTAATAGCATGTTGCATTCCCATGCCAGGCGAGGACCACCTTAGCTTACTACTACCGATATGAAATAATGGCGATCACAGATACTCTCCCTTTACCCAATTTCCTAGTTCTTTTTTCTTTTACATTTTATAGCATTTGACACCTTGGGACACCATATTCTACTAGTGATCATGTTTGTTATAGACCTTGACTTTACTTCTGTTTAACTAGTTATTCAATGGCAGACATAGGGTTACTTTTCTTATCAAAAGTAGACGACAAAATCAACAGCATATGTTTCAGTCATTTCAGTGCGATCCTACAAATGAAATATCAACAAGAACACTGTCGAGAGTTGATATAATACTGCTTCATGTGCAATTATAATATAGCTGTGTAAATCGACCTTAAACCCCCTTCTGGATCACAAATAAAGGACCCGTTACTTAGCCTGTTACTTGTTAAAGGCCAAGTAAAAAATTTTCCAGAACAATTCCCAACGCTTATACTCGAGACGCCAAAGTTATTATACCTTTCAGCTACGTGTTGTGACTCTACGTACGTATACCCCAGTCCTGATTCTCAGTATGGGATATATAGCAATATATTGTCTCGATTCTTCAGATATCATTATTTTCACCATTCTACAAGACAGCCGTGTTGAAATCTTTCGTCCAGGTACCAGGGTATTAGGTTTAAATTTTCCGGTCATAGTTCAACTTGAATCACAGTATTTGATTGTTTCTGTTCCCTCATTGATACTCAATTTGCTTGTTCTCCCTCCCACCCACCATGGAGCTTGTCGGCTAAGGTAATAATACAAAGTGTTATTATGCCATCCAAATTCGAAACTACAGACAAATAATAACACTAAATCTTGCAGAAGATACATTGACATATATCTCAATTTAATATGTATTACGTATATTGCAGGTAGCAAAAAGTCACTTAGTTGCTTTTCAGGTGATCATGAGTTAGATATAAATTAAGTTAGGAATTATTCAACTTTTAATTGCAGTTAAACTTACATGTGATTCAGATATATTGAATATCCTACTTGATTTTCATAGCGGTAGGTTTTCTGAACTACAAATACTCCGTGATAGCCTAGATGTTGCCTTGACCGACGATTTCATTTCCTCTTATAGAATTTTCATGCGTACGAATGCTCGCTTTTAGGCCCAACACATCATGTAAATACTTCATCTACCTGAGCACCACACGGGGCTCCAGGATTGCATGTTGCGTTAGGAGTTACGCACTGCCATATAAATTTACGTTCGATACCACGTCTATGCTTATTCCCCGCTCTTGACAGAACAGCAACTACTAAAATTCCTGAAAGAATGATGACGTGCGTATTCGCTACCCACATAACCTTTAATTATATAGCACTTTATAAGGCGCCGGATACATCTAACTGCGTTGGATGCGTCATACGAAATAATCTGGCTTATGTCTTGCTTATGCCTTTGGGAAAAGAGATGATAATGCAATAATAGAATTCAAAATTGACCGTTTAACGAAGGCCATCTGTGTACTGAGATCCTCTATATCCGATAAATCTTACGGTTCGTATATTTCACCATTTGGGTCGGTACTGCTGAGCCTGATTGAGCCGTCCTTCATGAAAAGACATACTTGCTTATCTTGATCCGTCTAGCTTCAGGAGCGAGCAATATTTGCGTGTCTGAAAAGGAAGCTCACCCCTTCAGTATGATAGGTTTACGCTTCGAATGTTTGCTCAGTATGGGGTACTTACACATGAATGTAAGCTTGGGCAAGCCTACGGCGTTGATCTGACATCAGATTAAGTCACAGCTGGATGTACTACCGATCCTGAATATGAGGCCCACCGAAGCATGAAACAGAAGCGGGAAATTGAGTGCCGAGTGCAAGATCCAACTGCTATCGTGATGACATAAAGTATGACTTCCTTTAAACGAGTGAACGAAGTTGTAGGCTTCCAAAGTAAAAGTTGAAGTTTCCTCGCGTGGTTGAGGACCTCCTATATCTTGGCATTTTCCACGCGGCGGGCCGAGCTCCGAGCGGGCTCAAGCGCTGGACCAATGAAACGTCTTCGCTATGATCGAAACGGAAAGGTGGATTTAGCCGTAACTTTAAATATATTGAAGAGTTTAACTTCGCCACTGTCCTTGGAACTCCTTCGCGTCGAGCAGCGAGCCACTTCCTCCCTCCTTCAGCGCTAAGAGAGTCGCGCGGCCAGGGTGCGAGCCATACAGAAAAAGACAGGCTTAATATCCGGCCGAGATATATTTTCTTAGTTCGGCCAGTTCGCTGGCGATCGATCCGTGGATCGGTTACACAGTGGGAGTTCGATTCCAGGCTTAAAATTATCATCGAAATAGTTGGGGCACATATCTCGAAACTGTCGATGAAAACCTTCGTGCACGTGGACTTAATATATATCAAACGTTCTATTGAAATTCCCCGTGAAGATCAAATAAAAGCTGTTGAATATTCCGGAACTCCTATCCCCAGTTTCAGATCATCTGTGAGTTAAGTCTTTTTGACCATATACCACAATGCGCAGACAAAATATCCATCATCACGTGGTACTCAGTTGTTAGTTATGGGAATCCAGCTATCTTACAAGGCACCGTCTATGAGACATAGTAAGAACCTGTAGATTAAGAGCATCCAATTACTAACTGGGAAGAAAAGGTGTGATATGGTGCTACTCCCATACATGATATTGTTTACGCAGCGAGGCACATCTATAGCTGTGAGAGGGTATCCCTGACCTTCGACGCACGAGAGTCTCCCTGCATTCGACGGATGCTGATAATCAGTGAAGAATTCCGCTTTCGTCTTCCTCGTGGTATTGCTAAATTCTCGGAGCCGAAATCCATAAAACATGGGAAACAGGGAGCTGGTAAGTCCATGCACGGGAAGGATGGCATCCCTGCGTCACCAGTGCTGCGCTTTTGTCATATTGACCACTCCGATTTGGCAAACGCTCCACTTAGATGCCGTTCGCATTGGCAAAAGAGGATGCGCTTTTTCTTCCACGCTAACTAGAAGAAAACGTGGCAGCAAAACACGCTGTATTATTTTTTTTTTATTTTTTTTTCTTTCCCCTTCTTTTCTCGCTTCGACCCGCTGGTGATTATGTATGATATTAAAGTTTTTGCCCTATACAGCAAAAAACGCGAAGCAGCGGCTGGTGAGGCTGGCTGGCTATGCTTGACTCACGTTCTGAGGTTCTGAGTAACATCAAGACGAGAATAGATAGGGCTCATAAGCGAAAGTTCTTGGTATTGAATGAAAGCTGACCACCACACCGATGAAATGGGTAAAGTGTAGTTACTGTATGAGCCATGGCTACCGGGTTCCACGGTTTCCCACAAGGCAGTTGGAGGAGATATCTCACTGCATTCTGGGCATGTTTTTCTGGATTTTTTTCTTTTTTTTCCTACTTCCTCCCTGCTCTTCCTTCTCTTCTGCTGCCAAAAGCGTAAAGACACGGAACAGAATAAGGAAAGAGATGACAAAAAGGGGTGTATCTTATCGGAGGATTAGACAGCCAGCTGATGTCTGCGAGCCCTATGAGCTGAGCTGCCGGGTTCGGTTCATCCCTTGCGATGGCAGAGCAGTAAACACAGGTAGCCCTGTATGAGGTAGATGAAAAGAGAGCGCTGGGACTACCATAGCTAACTAGCTACCGCTCAGCCCCTAGAGAATGGAGACTGCTTGGCCCCTGATCTACAAAAGCTGTAACAGCACCACCAGCCTTGCGGGCGTGCTGCTTGGTGACCATCGAGCAAGTGATTAATGTTAGTTGCCCGCGAGAAGGCGTGCAGCGCCCCGTGGTTGTTTTGAAAGAATTCCTTGCACGAAACTATGCTGCTAGGGCATACCTAATCTCAGATAGGAGCAACGCTAGGGTGGTAGAGATTTAGTTGACTGGATGTTCCGTTCTCTCTAGCGTCGCTATAGATTTCCTCTTTTCTGGAAATGAATCTGTTACAACAAAGCTTTTCGCCATGTTTTTTTTTTTTTTTTTTTTTTTTTTTTTTATTTTTTTGCGGTGCTCCCTCTTCTCTTTTTCCACTCTCCCATCGTATGCGTCCAGCCGCACTGGTAGTTGGCTATCTGCAGGGATTGTCCGGGCCCTGTCTGCTCTGTTGTACAGGTTACTGGTTGCTTTTGCCTCATCCTCCTGCCCTTCCTTGCTTTTTCCCCTTTTTCTTATTTGGATTTGTCACAGAAAATACAGTTAAGGATTCTCTCTTTTGTTTTTTACCTCATTTCTTTTTTTATTTTAATTTTTGTCACCGTCCTTTTTTTTCAAACCCAAACAACCTTACATCGCGTGGGCAAAGCTGGGGTGGATGCAGCATCGGACCGGGGAGAAGGGGACGAGATGCTGGTATAAAGGTTTACCAGGCGGGAGAAAAGCCCCTTGCCGATCCTCTCATCGCAGTCGAGAAAGGATCACTGCAGCAAGGGATTCAGCATTTTCGAGATACACATAAATCAACCTATATATTTACCCTACCCGTCCTGCATAACTGAAGCCTCCTCAGAAGGTCATCATCATCATCATATATAACGATTTATCTTGCATTGTGCCACTTTTCCCACTCCTATCATTCTCAATACACCGTCGACTTCTTTTTCTCAACCCTGACGTCAACAACACCCATCTACCTGGAGTTAGCCATTGACTGGCATCTGGGATCGAACATCTCTATAGAAGGCAACTAATAACCATAATCCTAATATATAATCGCTACTGGTTACCCTCTCCTCTGGAAGGACAGAAACTCCTCGCTGCTCAGCACAACATTACATTTGGTTATTGAGACAATTCATAATGAGTTCATCATCACACAGTCAGTACCCTTTGCTATAGTCATACGTCAACATTTACAAGATTAGCTGACATTATGCTGCTGAAGGAGCTCCTGTGCTGAGAAAGAGTTGCCATTTTTGCCGAAGCCGAAAGATCAGATGCTCGGGGCAGAGTATCTGTGAAGCTTGCCAGGAGCGAAACATAGACTGTGTCTATGACCTTGAGGCAGCAAAAGGCCGGCCAAAGCGTAAGCATGTCGAGTCAAAGGACTCAAAGCTAGGCTCTGACCATGGCCATGCTGCCAAAGGAGTTGGCTCCCCGGACGGGAAATCTGCTGGACAATGGGATCCCAGCCTCCAGGGACCCCTGATGGGCGATGACTTAAAAGCAATGTTCCACCAATGCTTCATTAGCAAAGTCGGTATGCGAGCGACGATCTTCCAGGGTGCTATAGCAGCTGGCCATGAGCGTCTAAAGCAGACTGGAGGCAATTCTGCGTCTCAAGAAACGCCGCAGAGAATAAGCTACGACGGATTGATGAGTTCCATGACCCGAGAAATCGTCGAAATGATATCCCTTCGCTTCGGAGACTTGAACTGCGAAGTGGAAGACAACTTCCCTCGACGCTACTGCATCACCAGCCTCGCTCGCGATACAACCCAGGAGATGTTCGACAACACCGTCCCAAGGAAGAACCCACTGAAGTCCTATTCTTCTCACCGTATTCTCCAACTAATTGACTTGTGGTTTTCTGTTCACCCCCTGTCCTCCTTGATTTCGAAAACACTTTTGCTCAGCTCCCTCAAAAACAGCACCTACGACGAGGCTCTCCTGGCAACCATCCTCTCTGATGCCTGTCTCGTTCATGAAAATGGCCAAAATTATGACACCGAGGGACAACTCCTCTTCGAGTTTGCAACTTATCAAATCCAAAACCGAAGCATATTGAACCGAGATATTGCTTCCTCTCAAGCCTTGATTCTCATGGCCTGGAGAGAGATATGCATGGGGAACGCCCGAAGAGGTTCATGCCTAACGGCGTATGCCTGTCGCATTGTTTCGGACCTACACAGAGGTCTGAACCAGGGTGTATCTTCTAACGGAACAAAGTTGAACGGCATAGATGTTCGATATGTGGACGGTGAACTAATCCGGAATATATACTGGGTGTGCTGGTCAACTACAGTATGGTCCTTGATGCAAATTGACCAGCCATACAACCTTCTCCTGCCGGAACAAACCCCTTCACAATTCCCATTTGTTGACGAATCAACCTCCATGACAATTAGCCTTGACTTGGCGTCAGACAATGTCTCAACGTTGAGAGCACAGTCGAGGGCCTTACAAGAGCTGTGGCCACTGAGCCAGGTAGCAAGCACAGCAGCTCACATATATGCCCTTTGTCCAAGCCCTGACATAAAAGATACCCTAGAGACAGTCGAATGGCAAGCGAGGCACATCCATCAACTCCGCCGTCTCCTTAGTTTTCAACTAGAACTTCCTACTCTCTGCGGTAAAATCCGACACATCCTCCTCGAGGCCATCAGACAGGTGGAACTTGAAGTTGCCCCTGGCTCCACACAAGCAGTGGTACTTATTGCATATCATACTATGATCGTTCACATGCTATTTCCCCAGCGACAGACCTCAGACAGCGTCATTATCATGACGCCGGAGCGCATTAACGAGTTCTGCCAATCTGCCAATGCCTTGGTTGCTATTTCACACTCCGTTATCTCCCCACAAACCACTAGCCTTCTCCCTGGCCCTGGGCTTAGAACCAAAAACGTTTCCGATATCTTTGCCCTTGGTCTCGACGCCTGCAGCCGAGCACTTGCATATATACATAGCCGTGCAAACTGTGGCCGTGATGAATACCAGACAATAATGGCCAAAAATAGGCAGCTGTTTTACCTTGCACAGCAATTGCACGATATCAGCCGAGGAGAACTATCTAGGGCATCAGCAACTATGCGAACCATAAAGAAGCGGCTAAAGTTTGCCAAGGTTGTGTTCTCTTCTATCAACGAGTCTACACCACCCCTTGTGCATAGTGATCCCTCTCCTATTGCGCAATTCCGCTCAAGAATTCAGAACCTTTCTCAGAGCAGCAATACAAGCGTATCAGGAGGCCTGTCACAGCCAGGGTCTCCCATTCCGGATGACGCATCCTACCTGTCATCAATTCCCAACCAACTACCTCTTGATATGTTCCTCGGGTCAGATACCTCTCCAGTATCCAGCCAAGATGGGTTTGATACGCTGCATATGCACACGTCTGGCCCCCCGCTTGCAACCTTAGACCACAGTGGGATGACTTCGCCTTTCACTCCCTCTGGTATGTCACCACTACAGCCACCCAGAAAGATACGGCGGACTGTTAGTCCGCCTTCCTTTGAGAGTCATGGGAAAGCTAACATGTTTGAGCTTTCAGAGCCGATCATGTCCTCCAAACCGGAGCATATTCCACGCAGCAGTGGATCTCCTTCCTTGAATAATGGCTCCATGTTCCGCAATGGAGGAGGGATGGGATTGATGGGGCTTGACATAACGCCAAATGATGGCCACAAAAAGTTTCATGGGGAACCAATGAACTTCTCTCAACAGCTGTTTATGTCTTCGGAAAACGATCCTGACTTCGGATCTGGGCCTCTTCTCTTTGGAAGCCCCCTGGACACCAATGGCCATGGAGATTTCAATGGCATGCCAGATCTAACTTGCATAGAAGGCGAGAACGGTTTCATGCCCCTAGATCTCGGCTATCTTAGTTAAGCTGGGCAATTTTGACGACGATTACGGCAAATCATCCTACACAAAATAGATCATATCCCAGCACGGGCACATCCGGTTTTACGTTTTACTGGCGTTCACCTTGCATCCTTATTTCATTATGTCCTCCCTTTACTGTCCTATTTAGCGTTTCAAGGTGTCGGCATTTTCTTTTCTAATTTCCACCTAGATTTCTTTCCTTTACCAAAATACATTCAAGTTACCCATTGCATTTGAGATATTGCTAGCAGGTTTAAAATTGCATCATATGCATTGTATCTAGGCCATCACTCATACGAAGTTAGTCAATCATACAATCCTTTTCGCAGGAAAGCCACCTAGGGGCAAACGTATATCAAGTGTCGGTTGTATTGCCTTTCCCGAGATACTCCGTCAGAATCAGGAGATATGGATGTGAAAATGCTCATCGTAGTGGAATATTTTGCGATGTGCGGCAAGCGGCGTCTGTTATTTTCCGTATCTAAACGAGAACATAGGGAGCATCTGTAGTCAGAGTGTCTGTTAATTGTGAAATCAAAAGTAGAGCAAAGACCGTGGAGAAGATAGGTGCATAGAACAGATCCCGCGGTCAGTAATTGGGCTAACAACAGAACAAGGCAGAAAAACTAGGTGCAGACACAAGGATCGAACTAGTCTAATAACGGCCTCGTGGGCTTGGTATACTTGCATGAGAAGGAAACTGAATTATGTGTAGATCCGAGTACTGTAGTCTTCAAGCAGTTACTCAGCAGCCTCTGGGGTACAGTATGATGATCGTCAATCAGAGGTCCAGATCTCATAGCTGCTAGCTACTATCCAAGGGAAGTGCACTCAGTGTGCACAAGCTCTGCTCAGACCTATTAAGAAATATCCGGACGTATGATAGAGAGGTCGTGACTCAGGGCTATCAGCAAAATGGGAATAGTCCCTAACAACAGATGTATTCTAGAGGATTATCTCCGTAAGGAGCTCACAAGGTGAAGGATATTTCTGGTAGGAACGAGTGTTCGCGTTTGATATTAGCTAGCGTGTAAATTGTGCTGCTGTCTGGTATCATGAGCCATCCATAACGTGATAACTAATTCGTAAATATTTGGCAGGTTGTTTTGTAATCACAAATATCATTATTTAAAGGAAAAAAAGGAAAGAGAAAAGAAAAGAGCAAGGAGTGGAAATGAAGTGAACCCTCAGGGTCTAAGAGCATGACTCTAGAAAATTCGACCACGATTAAAGGCACACTGAGCAACGAGGATGTTCAGGGTCATATGCCGGTTCCCAGGGAGGAACCTTGTCCGGATGCCCTAAAAGGATTAATATGAGCAACGCCCAGATACAGGATAGATTCGCACGGTGTTGGTAGCCCTTGTATCAAGGCAGACTACAACTAAGCCTGCCATTTAACTAATAGGAGGCGGGAGTTTTAGCCCGGGGGATTCACATCCCTGTCAGATATCATGAAAGCAGGGTCATTAACCTTGCAGTCCTCGAATGGGAGTGAAAATGGGAGGCAAAAAAGAAAAAGTGAACAAAAAAGGTGTAAGTGCAGACCTTACTGTCCACTTTCTCAGCCCAAAAAAAAAAAATTTCCAAGATTGAGCTGAAAGGGCCCTGTGCATGGAGGTTGAACTCCGTATGAGGAGCTTTATTTGAAATTGAAAAATGAAAAAGAAGAAAGAAGAAAGAAAGAAAAAGAAAACCATTCATCCCACGAGGATGAAAAATTTAAGCTGGGCCGAACGCAGCTTGGACCGTGTTGCCTCGGGCGTTGACTCGCGTGGCCGCCCAATTTCAATTTGTAAATCAATTTGGGGACGTAACATAAGACTTTACGGCCGGTTGATGCATTAGATGCGGTGAACGGGCCATACCATATAAAATAAGTCTCAATATGTCTCTAGTTCCATCAGCATAAGATCCGCTGAGTGAAAGATCGTAAATCCAGGCCTGACTCATGCTCATAAACATCCATCATCCTAGGGAGATGATACTCATTAAGGGGTGATAAAGACAGTATACCCGCAGATTAACACGGTTGGCCGAGAAACCTGCTGGTTCCTTGCGCAGGTAGGTCGTCGTCTCACGAATAAGGATGAGTTCGTATCGTATTATTAGCATACGCGCGAAAGGGCACAGCAGCCCTACAATCCCATAATGCCGGTACTAAAAACCAACGTAATCCTGCATCACGCATTGATATTAGAACATCATGCTTTTCGTAGCTGATGATGATTCGATGGTCAGGCGGGTTTCAGTCCAAATTGGATTCTCTTCTCTCTGGCTTTACCACATTATAACATCCAGCCCGCGGAAAAGCATCATGCTGCTGACATGAACGGAGCTATCTCACCGAGTTTTACGGTGTATATATGAATCCACAAAAAACAAGTCGAACAGTTTGTGTCCAGGCGGAGCACTCGTTAATCTCAAACACCGAATACTGCGCATTAGCTCATCTAGGTGTTTTTTTTTTTTTTTTTTTTTTTTTTTTTTTTTTTTTTGGGCGTCATAGCGGTAAGTCCTGCAGCCCTTATCCAAGCCTCTAGTCGAATCATGCCCACAGCACCGATCTTGATATATTCATGTCAGTCTTGGTTTCGAGTCGATGCTGCAAGGCTGCAGGCTCAACATGAACTTTCCGTTCGAAGCGGAAGGACAAAACAATCCCATTGCGTGACGTACTTGGGTGTGTGTAGTATATTTTTGACTCTAAATAAGATATCTTGCCAGTTAGTATTGATCAATAATCATTCTAGCCGTCTCGTTAGTCGTCGTTAAGAATCTTGATGCTTTTGTTGCTGATGATCTATAATTAGCTGCTGCTTTCGTTGTTGTCGTCGGCAAAAGCTAAATGGCTTAGTAATCAGACCCCGCGGTCAGAATGCCGAATAACCATCATCGCGGAGAAGTTGAAGCCTGAAGTAAAGGTGATGAATCGACTGTTGCAAGTAAACGCCATCGAGAGCACTCCACACTGCAACGATATCATGGCGTCACTTCTTAAAAAGCCATTGAAGATTGCATTGGTGCAGCTGGCTTCGGGTAAGTTTTGGGAGCTGAAGCGCGCCACAAAAATTCAACATGAGTCTGAATATGGGCTGATTATCTGTATTTTCTTAGGAGCTGACAAGGCCGTTAATCTTGCACATGCGCGATCGAAGGTATTAGAGGCTGCGCGAGCTGGGGCTTCGCTGGTAGTCCTGCCCGAGTGCTTTAATTCACCCTATGGCACGCAATACTTCTCCAAATACGCAGAAACCCTTCTTCCGTCTCCCCCATCCCAAGAACAATCCCCATCTTTCCATGCGTTATCCTCTATCGCCAAAGAGGCCAAAGCATACCTTGTCGGCGGGAGTATCCCGGAATTCGCCCCAGAGAGCAAGAAATACTATAATACCTCTCTTGTATTCTCACCTACTGGTTGCTTGATTGCTTCTCACCGGAAGACTCATCTCTTTGATATTGATATACCTGGGAAAATAAGATTCAAGGAGAGTGAAGTTCTTTCTGCGGGTAATAAAGTCACTATTGTCGATTTACCAGATTACGGTAAATTAGGACTGGCCATTTGCTATGATATTCGTTTCCCGGAAACTGCTATGATTGCCGCCCGGAAAGGCTGCTTTCTGTTGGTTTACCCAGGCGCATTCAACTTGACCACAGGGCCTTTACATTGGTCGTTACTGGGTCGTGCTCGTGCCATGGATAATGAGGTATATGTCGCTCTCTGCAGCCCTGCCAGAGATCTTGATGCCACATACCATGCTTGGGGCCACAGTTTGGTTGCAAATCCCAAAGCAGAGGTCATAGCAGAGGCCGCCGAGAAGGAGGAGATTGTATATGCTGACCTGGAGCCGCAAACTATCGAAGACATTCGGAAAGGAATCCCCATATATGAGCAAAGGCGCTTCGATGTATATCCTGATGTAAGTAAGGGAAAAATCAGATTCGAGGAGTAAAACGGAGGGGACTCTATACAAACGATTCAGCGATCTCTTCCTCCTTAATTACTCTTCAATGACACCTACTCTCAATCAAAAAACTCGAGAGCTTGCTGCCTCTATCAATTTTCTTGTACTCCTAACCCCTGGATTACATAAGTAGCCAAGTGCTGACCAGAAGCTTGGCATCCAACACTCTTTAATCACGTGTGTGTAGAAAATATTACATAATAAGCGAAACACACCAACTTTTGTAAAATGGAAAAAAGGCAATCGAACTTTGTGATTTCTGCTCGATTTCGACTTCAACAACATCCCCTTCGACACAGAGATTTCACAGCTGTCTCTGCAACTCACAGTATGTTGAACCACGCCGCCTGCATATATATATATATATATATACAAATACAACTAACAGCTTCCTGCGCCATAGAATCATAATGTCGAGCGCACAAGCCGGAAAGAAGGGCCGCTCGGCCATCTCTGATGTTGTCACCCGAGAGTACACCATCCACCTCCACAAGAGAGTACGTTGAATCAAATCAATTATACCGTTAGCAATCCGATTGCATACGCGTATTTTCCCCCAAGTTCAAGAGTGGCCGCGGAAAAGGCAACATATGCTTCAGTCAGGTGATGATGACGGACATCATACACTGGAATCTCGGGCCTTGTTTGTTCAAGGCCTACGATTACAGTCGCAAACTTGACTCATTGTTGTGGTATCCTTCGTCAGGCTGTACAACGTTGCTAGGATTTCATACACACTGCCTTAAGCTATGACTGCAGTTGGCGGTTGTTATTACAACGTCATTTCAAGAGCGAGAGGGAGAATTCGAAAAGGAAATGAGAATTAGTTTTATGAAGTCCACCGCTATGGCCCCGGAAGCAAATGCTATCCTTGTCGCTGAACATTAAATACGGGCATTTTGGACGGAAGACTGATTTGTATTTTCTTGTTGTGGGTATAGGTTCATGGCGTATCTTTCAAGAAGAGAGCTCCACGAGCTGTCAAGGAGATCCGTGCTTTTGCCGAACAGGCTATGGTAAGTCTACCTTTTATTCTTACACATGAATGTCAAGCACTAGCTAACCCTCTTTTCCGTCAAAATAGGGCACCAAGGATGTCCGCCTCGACCCCCAATTGAACAAGAAGGTCTGGGAATCTGGTATTAAGGGTGTCCCATTCAGACTCCGCGTCCGCATCAGCCGTAAGCGTAACGACGAGGAGGGTGCCAAGGAGAAGCTCTACTCTTACGTCCAGGCTGTCAACGTCAAGGACCCCAAGGGTCTCCAGACCACTGTCATTGAGGATGCTTAAATGACTACTTAGTATCCCAAGACTGAGGGACTAGTTCGGAGATACCAAAAAATAATTTCAAAAATAATACGGCCGAATGTGCTGTTGAAGCTCTTTTTTCCGTATCACTCATGAAATATGAAGCATTGTGACGTCAAATGTCGATGGGATGGATCACTTCATGTACTTACTGGGCTGGCAGGTTGGCGTTCTCCCGTAATCCCTGCTATTTCAATTTTTTCAAATCTATAAAAATTCGAAAATAAGTACAGATCCATTTGTCTTTGTGCTAGATGTTATCTCACCGTAAACACTTTGTTTCCTAGAGTATTTCACAGTTTTTTCACAGTTTTTTTTTTTTTTTTTTATTTATTTATTTATTTATTTATTTATTTATTATTATTATTTTGGGGATAGGGGTTCATATGATTGAACATGTATGTATTTGGTTAGGCACGGCTAGAAGGCAGCACGTGTGCCTTTTTAACTACTAACGCAAAGTACAATGGAAAGGGGCAGAAAATCTCCGATGTCTGTCTATGATGGTTCCCAGTATCATGCAGAAGAACTAGATTTGGTTCTTTATTAAAATGTAGGCCGGAATGTGGGTGTGGGATTTGGGAAGTAAAAGGGTAAACGCTATGCTTGTAAATCGAGACCCGGGGTCCGAGGAGTAAACTGATTGGTGAAACTGAAGGGGGATGGAGTATGTGGGAGGCATTCGAAGGGAAAGGGAAGATCAGGGGGACTAACATTCAGAGTAAAGGGGCGAGGAAACTTTTCTGAAAAGGCCCAACCATCATGATTGAAGAAAGTGAAGAAAAGGGACGGGGGGAAAATGCACGGATAAGGCGTGGAACCCATCACATCATATGTATTCCTTGCGTCAAATTGGACTGCACAGCGAACATGGGTCAAACGTGGGATAGAAGAAATGAACAAGCAAACAGGGGGTAACAAGTTCGATTGATGTCGTTCAGGTCAATAGTACATGCAAAAATACAGAGGTAGGGTGAAAGTAGGGCATCAGTAGCAAAGGGAACCAGATAAACCACGTTAGCATAACCAGAGACTCCAGGGAGATATCAAACTGAATAGATTGGTTTAATCTCTCTTCTTGTGCTGTTCCATGGAATTTTTTAACTCGCAGGCGCCTTCAGAGGTCTTCACACGAAGCAACCAATGCTGGAAGCCAGACTCGGAAGGAACAATAAACTGGACACCAGTGCCATTCTGCTGGTATTCAATTTCAGGCATCAAGTTGGTGTTGAGGAGAACAGAACCACTGGGGTCGGCACGGAGTAGAATTCGAGATTTCTTGTTTGTGCGATGTTTGAGGATGCGGAGAACACCGAGGCCTTTGACCTCCCATTGACCGTTGATGTGCTGATAGGCACGAGAGCGGCATTCGAAAACTGCATCCTCATCCTCTTCACCAGGACCGCTGCGAGTGAAGTCGACTTGTGTATGCTTCTCCACCTCATCACTTGGGTCATTGGTGGCGTCTGTATCAGACTGAGCTGGGCTGGGGTCGACAGATGTAGCTGCGGACAGTGGGAATGGAGACAAGCCTGGCTGAGCGGAGGAATTGCCAGGCTTCAGGTGGCCAAATATGTTGGTTGTCGGTGGTGCGAGAGAGCTGTTGCTGGTCGGAGTTGGGGCGGATGATGGGGTTGCAAAGACGCTAGTCTGTGCAGGCGCAGAGGTAGATGGAGGTGCGCCAAAAATATTAGATGGTGGCGGAGTGGACGTAGGGGATGGAGCAGCGAAGATGCTGGTGGCTGGAGCAGAGCCGCTAGTTGCAGAGCTCGTGGCAGATGATGGCGGTGCGCCAAAAATGTTTGAGGTTGTAGTTGGCTTGGACCCGCCGGCAGAGGATGTAGATGTGAAAGAATTGCTGGCACCGAAGATATTAGATGACCCGCTAGGAGCAAGATTGGCGAAGATGGATGGTGTAGATGTCTTGGCCTTTGGTGGATCAGTGGGAGATGGAGAACGAGTACTATCCAGACCATTTGTTGAACCGGTGAGCGGTGTTAACGATCCAGCGTTGAAAGGAGAACCGGTTCTCGAACCTCCCAGGACAGAAGAAGCAAGTTCGTTAGCCTCGTTGGCTAAAGATTTAGCCTCCTCGTTAAGTTCATCAGCCTGGACCTGGCGGATAGGCTGACCGTTCTCGTCTCGCTGAATTCTGTCGAAAAGGCTGCGTCCACCGCCATTAGAAGTTGAAGGAGGAGAAACAGAAGGAGTAGTGGTCTTTTCCTCCTGCTTTTCAGTGTCAGTCGACTCCTCCTCTTCATTGGATTCTCCGCTTTCCTCGGAGCTAGCACCATCAGCATCAGATTCAGCATCAGCTTCATCATCGCCATCCGCAGCCGAAGCACGAGATTTTTGAGCAACAAAGGAGTTGGCAAAGAGGGAGAGTGTTTTGGATGGAGTAGCTTCGCCAGCCTCGTCAGCTTTATCGCCGCTATGCTTTGCTTTGTCTGCATCGAACTTGGCCCGCTTGCCAGTCTTGTCAGATGAAATAGACTCCTCTTCCGCAGCATCAGATGCTTTTCTCTTATGTGACACACCAGAGGGTCCAGGAGGAGCTGCATCACCATTCGACACAGAATTTTCAGCACCTGCCTGGGCACGCTCTCTCTCATACTCCGCATCGTAATCCGAGAAAGGGGGTAGTGGTTTGCACGGAAGCTTACTACCCGGGGTAGTTGGAATATATTGAGTCACAATTGGATGCGGGTGACCAATTAACTTGCGAAGCATGACATAGCGACCGATGATAGGATCAAGGTCTTGACTCCAACAGTTCACAGAGGCAATCTCTTCTTGGAAGCTGGCATTGAGGGCAGAGAGACGCCAGAGACGAAGGAATTGCTCACGAACTTCTGGCGTAGCGTTTGGCGGGTATTCAGCTTCTGTAGGACGGAAGTTCACCATGGTAACTGAAGCTTCAAAGACGGTCTCAGTGGAAGCGTCTACATATTTTGGTTTTGGTGGAGCAGGAGCTTCAACTGGAGCAGCTGGAGCAGGAACAGGAGAGGCCCCAAAGGTTGGTGAGAACGGCTTAGCAGCACCTGAGGTTCCAGCATTCACAGAGCTGGTGAACATTGGCTTTGGCTGAGTAACTGGAGGGATGTTGGTAGAAGCAGCGAACATTGGAGACTGGGCAGGGGTTTTGTTTTCGGTCTGAGTTGCAGTAGGCTGTTGCTGAGCTTGAAAGATAGAGTTTGAGGAAGGGATGGGAAAGATGGAAGGAGTCTGGCCTCCAGTGGTAGCCGAAGCAGGCTTTGGACTCTCAGTTGGCTTGGTTGTCTGCCCGAAAAAGGAGAAGGCAGGCTGGGTGGGAGGCTGAGCTGTAGCCGTTGATGGTGCACCAAACAGAGGTTTGGAAGTGCTGGGAGCGGAAAACAAAGGAGGGGATTCCTTTGCTGGGGAAGTGACGGTTTCGGCCTTTGGTTGAGCAAGGTGACCAAAGATTGAACCGGTTTCTTTTGCTGGAGCAGGCGCAGCATCTGTCTTTGGCTGAGCTAGGTGGCCAAAGAGAGAGTTGGTTTCCTTCGTAGGGGAGGGAGTAGCATCAGGCTTCGGCTGACCCAGGTTGCTGAAAATCGAGGAGGTTCCATTTGCGGCAGAAGCAGAAGCCGCTGCATTATTCGGCTGAGCTAGATGACTGAACAGCGAGCCACCCGAAGGAGCAGTAGAGAAAGATGTATTTGCCCCAAAAATGCTGGATGGTTTGGTGGTAGAGGTAGTGGTGGCTGGAGCAGCGGTGGTAGTGGTGGCCTGGGGAGCCTCAGCTGGCTTCTGCTGTCCAAACAAAGGAGTGGAAGCGGGAGTAGAAGCAGAAGCACCGAACATGAAATTACCAGAGCTGACAGCGGGAGCAGCCTTTGATTCCTCGGGCTTAGAAGCACCAAACAAGATAGAACCACCAGAAGATGCGGGCGGGGCAGAGGCGCTAGCAGTTGGCTTGAAGGAGAATGCTGGGGTTGCAGCAGATGTGGTTGCGGTGGCTCCTCCCATATTGAAGATAGACCCAGTGGAAGGGGTTGAGAAGGTAGGTTTGAAGATAGGAGGGGCCGGAGCAGAGACATTAAACATGGCTTGACCAGCCGTGGACTTTGGACCATCTGGAGACATTTGCATTGCCTCGCCGCCAGTGGACTTGGTAGGACTAGGCATTGTAGCAGAGCCAAAGATATTGGTAGGAGGGTTGTTGTTGTTGCTCTGTCCGAACATGTTCGGGCCAGCAGATGAGCTGAAAAGAGACGCAGACGTGGTTGGCGTAGCACCAAAGAGAGGAGCACTGGTCTGCGCAGGAGCCTGTCCAAAGAAACCACCACTACCGTTTTGCTGGTTTTCAGGCTTCTTGTTCTCAGGCTGAGAAGCTCCTGGGATATTGAACATGCTTCCTTTGAAGCCCTGGAAACCGGTGTTCTGGTTTGAGCTCATGTTGCTGAACGGGTTGCTTACTTGCTGAGCGTTGTTTGATGAGAAATCGAATGAGGGTGGTGCGGAAGTAGTCTGGCTACCGAATAGTTTGAAAGTTCCGGGAGCGTTGCTTTGATTGTTGTCAAAGCTAGAGGACGCGGACGGTATGTTGTTTGAGGTTCCTGTGGCTGTAGCAGGCCGTGAGAAACCCTGAGACTGTCCGAAAGTGAATCCGTTTGACGGAGCTGTGAAAGCAGATGCAGAAGCTGTATCTGTACCAACGGAGCTGAATGGATTTGCCGCCGGCTGTGGAAGGCTGGGGGAACCGACTCGAGTTCTTCGTTCTCTGGCAGCCTTAATTCTAAGGTGACGTTAACTTGCTGGTTCGGAGAATAACGAAGATATTAAGACGACTTGTGAACGAAGATGGAAACGGGCTGATGTTGAACTTGAGCTTGGACTTGAGCTTTGAGACAGCTGGTGAAAGGGCAGTTCTTTGGCAGATGTCAAGGACAAGGAGTTTGATATCGGCGCAAGCAGCAGGTAAAATATATAGACCCAGCCTGCAACACAGGACGAGGACACAGGACGAGGACAGAGACTTCATCGAGGGGGCTGGATAGGACAGCGGATACAAAGAGAAGGGAACAGACAATACAAAGCTTTGTTGTCTCTCCATCTTCATTGTGTGATGGTTGCTGGTGATATTGAAGCCGAGTGTGTGTTGATTGGTATCAATAGCAGCAGAGTCTTCACCCAGCCACCTCAGCAGCGGAGAAACGTCATAAAAGAGACAGAAAGACACTATGAAAAATACAGAAGATACATTCTACTTACTTTCTGTTGGCTATCTGGGCAGCTGTCGCCCGCTTGGGCGCATCGTTGGAAGACATTTCTGGCTCGAAACCTCTTTCCGGTCCCCCTTGTGTCGTCGGAGCTCGTTTCATTGAATCTATAGCGACCAAGCAAGCAAGCAAGCTAGATAGCCAGACTCTCTAGCGAGTTCTCTCACCGGCGGGTCCTTCTAACACAGCAGCGTCATGAACCGCCGTCACCGCGAAGGGGTATGGTGTGTCTCGTGTATTTATCCCAACCTCTTCAGGCGCAGGGTGTCTCCCAGCCAACGACTTTTATTTCACTTTTTTTTTATTAACGCGAGCGAGGATGCGCAACGAGAACGGCAGGACAAGGAGAATCGACGATATCTCGGGCGTGAACAGGTGTTTTCCTCGATGTTGAGCTGGTCAAACCGCGACAGGGCGAGAAATCGGCGCATCGACGGCGGCGCGGACGAGAGCGAGTGCAGTTTTCGTGCAGTTTTCTCTTTTTTCTACCAGTCGCAAGCGCCGTACCCAGAGAGGAAAGGATTAGTCATCCGCTGATCAGCACAACTACTTTGTACGTTAGAACGTTAGAGAGAAACAAGAATATATATAAGAGTCCCAGGACTGTGTAGATTTATTTTATCGGAGAGTATTTGCACGCACTGTGGTTATTCAATTATTACTATTATTCTTTTGTATTTTTTATCCTTTTTTTTTTTCAGTCATGTCAGAAGAAAGACGATGCAGGGAGGATAAAAGCTAAAGACACGACGGTGAGGTCAGGGTGAAGGAGTTTGCGAAAGTGTTATACAGCGTGGTAGAGAACAAAGATAGAGACACAGGATATAAATGTCTCTGGTAGCAGAGACAGAGGAGAAACAAGTCTAAGATGGATATCATATTGATGATAATGTACAGAGAGGAAGAACTCCCGGCTCAGGAGGATATACACAGCCTATAATATCCACCAACACATCACATTTTGTCGTCTATAGAACAGATTCTCCTCTCCAGCATGGGTCCTCCGCTCCGGAGTAGTATTGCTGACATTGCCTGGGGTGTGTCATCCTCCCCAGTCCTCAAGCTATATCGCCCATTTTTATCGTTCGTCGTGAAATATAAAAAACAAAGCAGGTCGGAAAACACCAGGAAGAGTATTTACAACTTGGCCTTGACGCCGGTGTTGGCCTTGGCCTTGCTGAGGATAGGCTCGATCTTCATGGCCTTCATGGCGTTGCCGCGGATCTTGAGCTTGCCGCCCATGAAGAGACGCTGGGCGTTGGCGGTGCCAGCGACGAGGCCGGCAAAGTCCTGCTCGGACAGGACGAGGGTGACTGCAGGCTTGTTAGCACTTGGGGGACTTCCGATTCTGGCGTGTATGCGCAAAATTTCAGCTTACCATCAGCCTTGCCGCCGTCGGGAGCAGCGCTCTTGCAGGCGACGCCGTCCTTCTTGAAGTCGAGGTACCAGCTCTCAGTGGCACCAGCCTCGTTGGTGAGGGTGAAGGCGAAGATGCCCTGAGCAGCCTTGATAGCAGCCTCGCGCTCCTTGGGGTTAGCCGCGAGCGTCTCGTTGATCAGGTCAAAGGCAGCGGAAGAAGGGAAAGCGTCTGGCGGGTTCCTCGTCAGTATGATGAGCTTCAGCCGGGCAGGGTCATCCATCCAGGCATAAACTTACCGATCTTGACAGACATGCTGACGGTAGCTGGTAGATGCTTTTTGGGATAGAAGAGTCCTGGGTCTGTACGGTCGAGAGCTGGAGCTGTGGGAGATGTCGAAAGGAGACGAGGAGAGAAGGCGGAGGAAGCATCTTATAGTTATGGGGTCTCCGTCGTATTTCCCCGTAACAGCAAAAGGCCCGAGGAGATCGCGTGCATGTGAAAGCCGTGAAAGTCGATCTTCCTCTCCTTATACTGGTGTCTCTCCATGTCGCATGTTCGTTTCTTCTCGCCGAGGGAAAATATACACATAAGACGAGAGATTCTGCATGTTGGTCTCTGTGGTCAGTTGCCCAATAGCTATCATCATTTAACTGGCTGGAGCTCAAGTCTACTACTCCTTGGTTGTGAGTTAGTTACCCGTGGCTGCAATGAACAAATATAAAAGCACACAAAGAGAATAAAGATGTAATAATAACTAAATAACCCGATATAGATAAATAGATTTAACATTCATGCTCAAAAATATAAAGATGGTCAGCCCTCCTCGTCGTCGTTGATAGTTACTCCAAATTTTCCCCTTTTTCCCATTTTCCACCCCCAAGAAAAACAGCCGAGGTTCCCCAGACACTCTCGAGATGCTGCACCTCCCACCACACCAGAAGCTACAAGGTACCTCAGTGGAACCATAAGAAAGAGTCGTAAAGAGTGGCCGTTACAGATATGAAAGAAAAAGAAGAAGTGTGGCAGGAGAGTAAGAAGAAAGAAAAGAATGAAAGACAGAAGAAGGGCCTAGAAAGCCCTGACACGCAGGACTGAAGCCCTCAGCAGCCGTCTCATATGCTCTGGTCCGCACCCCAACAGCTCTCTTGTTCGGTCTGTAGCCTTCTGCAGCTGAACCTGACCATACCCGATCTTGGAGCCCCTTCCAGTTCCTGAGCTAGCCGAGACCGTCGATCCCGGTCCAACAGTCGATATGGCCTTGCCTCTTCCCCACAGGCGGATGCTGCTGCCAGTCTTGTTTCGACGGCCTTTCTTGCGTCGTCCAGCTTCTTCGAGGACAAGTCGTTGTAGCTGCTTTATTTCCATACCAGCTGCGCTCAAGACAAGAGGGACATCCATCACTTCGACTTCCTTAGTTACCGCGCTCTTCTGGCCCAGGGGTGGTGGCGGTGACGGCTTTGCCTTCTTTGGTGACGGGGCCAGCGGCGCCAGAGCATCATCCCACGTCCCTGAGCGTAGCGTTGTGGCTTCAAAGTTGATGTCGCGCAGAGCATCGCGGTGGCTGCGAATAAAGGATGACACCTGGGATGCATCAACGTGGACGTTCTCGATCTCCAGCCTATGCAGGGATGAAAAGATAAGTGGCTTGACCCGTTTTGGCCGCGCAGATGAGAATTGGTTCTGCTTATTTGTCGTCAGACATGGCTCTGTCGACAGAGACAGTGGTGATGGGCCCCTTGCGCCAAGCCAGCGGAACTTAAGCCTCTTCAGCAGCGGGAAGCACTGGAGGTATGAATCTAGAAATTTCAGATGATCTGCTGGTTCACCTCCACTGTACGGAAAGGCATCCATCTCAATGTGAAGGTCGGTTATCCGTCTCCAGCGTTTGCATGAGGCAGGTGATGTACCAATTCCTACAGCGGTTGGTCGCAAATAGAGCAAAGCCCCTGGATGCATGGGAAGAAGAGTCAAAGATGTCAGGCATGGTAGTGGGCTGTGCTCCACTGCGCAGCGTATAGAGATCAGTGCATAGTCTACCACACTACGACGGTAACGGTGGGGGGCAGACTGGTTCGGGCAGGACAGGGTAAGCTTGGTAAGGCCATCCAGTGCCTTGAATGCGCGTATAAAAGAGCCGATGTTCGTGGCTGCATGGAAGAGTGGAGGGTACTGCTTCGTCAGTAGATCAGTCATTTCCCATGTCCCATACTTCGGTCCACTCAGTCGTGATGAAAATGGCGATGAAGGGTAGACCTGCGGCGTATAGACAAATGTCTGCTCTTCTCCAGTATTAGGATCTAGGAGTGGCGGCAGGAAAGTTGATGGTGAGTGTGAGATAGTCAGTTTCAAAGATTTAACATGTCTTCCAATGCGCTCCAGGGCAGCCATGCGAGCTGGTCGGGTAAATGTGCTACTTCGAAAGGAGACACTGAGCTCAGAGAATAGGATTGGTTCAACATGGAAGCTGAAGTCATGGCAGACCAGCCGCAGGTTGGTGAGATCCTCCTTCGACATCTGGGATAAGAATGCATGTCTAGTCAAGTCTGTAGACCAGAAGCGAATAAAAGATGCACTTGGTAGCATTTTTCTTTATGTATTTCCTTTCTTTCCTTTCACTGGCAGACTCTCTGTTTGCGGTTTAAAAATTAATGCAATTACCGTTGGCTGTAATTCACCTTCGAACACGTCAGTTGCATGCGGTTCCTGGCGAGGGATCAGGCGCAAAAGCACCTACCTCTTGGACCTGCAGGTATCAAGCCAAAGTAAATATAGTCCCGTTGCTCCTCGATCGTAAATCCTCAGCGTTTAAATGTCATGACAGTCATTAGATTCATATATAAAAAGTATGCCAGATACTCCTTTGCCATCGATATAGATTTAGTATCATATATCAAACAAATTCGGAAAAGGAGAAGGAAAAAGAGGGAAAAAAGGGAAAATGTTTCGAATATGCAACGAAACATCTTTCCGAGGGCGGGGAAGGGGGAGAAGCACAGGCGGGCCCATCCGGCATGCACTGTCTGCATATTCTGCACTTGGCCTGGTCCAGTTGCCCTGGAGCAACGCGCCCATGGTTGGTCTAGCGATCAGCAAAGCTACACTGGTTGCCAGGGCGAAGGTTCGAGGTGCAGCAGAAGCACGAGAATATCGCGAGCACAGAACGACGGTGAAACGTCTATTGGCGCTTATTGGTCGAGCCGTATACGAGGCGCGGTTGAGAGAGTTTGGAGAAGGACTTTGGTGTTCGAGGCAAGGGCGGAATAGACGCGAGACCGCGTTAAGTGGTTGCAGCCTTAACGCGGATGAACACGACCGAGCATCGCGCCGACGAGAAGCATGCAATCTATCGCTGCTCCGTCTTGATAAGGTGTAGATAGTAGTGCTGAGCATTGTGCCCGACCTTATACGGAATATCGTATCGTTATCATATGATTGAGCTGGCCTGGTTCAACAGCGGTGATCGTAACAGTCAGTCCTACATAATAGGTCTTGCTGTTCTTCACGCGATCGACGGTTCCACCAGTGGGGGTGTCCCGTAAGCCTCATCAAGGAATAAAATCAGGAAATTCCAACATCCAGCCATCCACGGTTGTACAGCCCTCGTTCCATCTGCCTCAAGCAAGAATAACATGAATCATGTCGTTAAACGCGACAAAATCTTTGATGTTGTCTTCTTTTCCCTTTTGGGATGAGATATTGGAAGGACGCGGTGGGGCAAACTTTAATAATAACACGTGATTTTGTTACGCTTTAATATTATTCCGTAATATTACTAATTAATTACTAAGCACGAGGTTTACCCCTGAGAAACCTTCTTGAGATTTTTTTTTTTCATAGATAAAACAATCAAACAATTCACGCTTGGTTCAAAGGTAACTGGACATGTCGTTGGGTTGGATATGCTGGGTAGGTGGCCACTTTGAAGTTTGAGTATGATTATTATTCATATCTAGTAGAACTTGAGGTCTGAATGGTGACATAATTTGCTCTATTCAATATCTTAGTCTATTCGAACGACGGTGTAAATTCCTCCATTTATAAGTGTTCAACGAAAGATAGTAACATGAAAAATAATAATTTCCTTTCCCTGGTATGTAAAGTCTCGAAGAATATATATAGATATATATCTTTGCTTTAATAAGCACTTGCATCCGCTATAGTAGTGGCTTGTGCAGTATGATTTATTATCACTTGTTACTACCCTGTCGAAGAGTCAGCATTAGACAACTAAATCATCACTTCTGCTATCCATTAGTTATTCCATAATATTGATACAAAGTAGCCACCGCAGCCATTTAAAGTCTCAAAAGGTGTCTAAAAGTGCCAAACTTGCTACGAGGAACAGTGTGTTGCTTAGTCATCTTACGTCGTTTCAACGCCCGCCAGACATTTTGAAGATTTCGAGCCAGAAACCAAAGAAATCCAACGCAAGAAAAAGAAAAGAAAAATGAAAAAGAAAAAAATCCAAAAAAAAAAAAAAAAAAATTAAACAAAAATAATAAATCTTAAAAAAGATTTCATCATCGATGATGAGCTGACGATGTCATTTTATGACAGGCCAGCGGGTTTGTGAGGGTCAGCCACACATATACTCCGGACATTCCAAAGGTTTGGCCTGAAACACGCTGGATAGTCAATCTCCTGTGCGCGAAATCATCTAACTGTTCATCGTGTCTAGGACCCGAGCTAAGTGACGGCTGGTCCAGTAAGTCGCACGCTTGATACGCTGATAACCAACACCGGAATTTGAGCCGCATATAACCCTGTGGTGTGTATGGCTGAGACGATACGTCGGAAAGAGGCGCATAAAGGAATCAGGATCTCTGACTGCTTGCAGCTGAGATAAGATCTCGCGTTACGGAGTCCAGTCCAACAGATGGACTCAGGCGAGATTGAAAAAATGCTTTCATGGTCGGACTCCGAGGACAAGGCCACTTTCAGCTACAACAACACCCCGGCTGGAAGCCGTCGAGCGCTGTCCCCGCTGCCACCGACTACCAAAACCACAACCCAGCACAGGACGCCACCTCAGGCGTCTTCCTCGTCTTCCTCCTCTTCATCCCACCTGCCTGCGCCCGCCATGGAAGCTGGTCCTTCACGAAAACGGCCTCGAGCGCCCTCGTCGCCCAACACTTCGTCTGCTCTACTCCACGACTCGAAAACTCGTCGACACGCCTCTTCTCAACGAAACACTGGCCCTTCTAACCAGCCTGCTTCCGCTACTGCTCCCGACCCTGATCTGCTTGGTTTTTTTGGCATAGACGAAGATGATGAATTCATCGCACTAGAGGAGGAGCAGCGTAAAGCTGAGGCCTGGCTTAAAGAACGGCGAGAACAAGAGCGCAGAGACGAAGAGTTTGCTCGCACTTTGCAGGAGACCTGGGATGAGACGTTACATAATTCGTCAAGATCTGATGAACAGGATGAGATTGTATATCGACCTCCTCCACCTCCTGCTCCGACAGCGATGCTTCAGCGGCAAAACCCAACACCAATTCAGGAATATACTCAGCCGCATTTCACTCCACGGCCACAACTAGGAAGACATGCATCAACACTTAGTCCAATGAGCGAACAGGCGAGGCCTATGCTTCCTCCGCTTGGGCCTGTGTCAGCATCCAGATCGTCCTCTGGTTTCCCAGTTCCTTCGCGAAGCAGCGTTTTTGAGAGAAAAGACGCCAGCAATTCCACAAGCTCCTGGCAGAAGACCGGCTTTGGTGGCCGCTCATTTGGATCCGGATTCTCACAAAATAATGGGTCAAGAACTGAAGAACCCTGGCGTGCCACTCCAAATAATTATATCGAGTTGAGCAGTGATAGTGATGTAGAGGATTCATCGAATTCATTACCGAACAGGGCTCCGTCCGCGGCAGTCGGCAACAGTCCTAGGGCCATGTATATTGCCCCAACTTACAAGGGAAATCCATACGGAAATTCGAGTGTTGCGGGATCTAGCGAACGGCTCCCTGGAGTTCACAGACTTGGACAGATGTTTGGTCAGGGCCTAAGAACCTTTGACTTTAATAGAAGTCTGGAAGAGTTAAACTATCCACCTTCTATGCGACCATTTATGACCAACCAATGCCCACCAGGCTGCCTCTGTGGAAGAGAAGCATCACATGCCTATTTATCGGCAAGATCACGGATCGATAGCTTACGGTAAGTAATATTGTAACAATCTAGCATGCTACTATGGCTAATGACGATAGGGAAATGTATGCCGTTGACGGACTGACTCCCGACGAAATGAAAAAGGAGCTCAAGTCTCTCCTCGAGAACATTCGTCCAGACCAAGAACTCGACCTCAACCGTGAAGGGACTCCAGAAGCGCTCAAATTCCCACTTATGGAGCACCAGAAACTGGGGCTAGCCTGGATGAGATCAATGGAAGAAGGCTCAAACAAGGGAGGAATTCTCGCGGATGACATGGGCCTCGGGAAGACGATCCAGGCACTAGCCTTGATGGTCTCTAGGCCCAGTACCGACCCTGCGCGCAAGACAAACCTTATCATCGCCCCGGTTGCTTTAATTCAACAGTGGAAGCGCGAAATTAACCGCATGTTGAAACCAGGTTCTCAAAACCAGCTCTCCATCTTCATCCTACACGGAGAGCGCCGTTCAATCAAATTTCAGGACTTGCGGCGTTACGACGTTGTGTTGACTACATTTGGCACTTTAGCATCTGAACTCAAACGCAAGGAGCAGTGGATGAAATTCAAAAAGGACAACCCAACCGCTTATCAAAATCTCTCTATTACACCCCTGGATGATATGCCACTACTAGGTGAAATTAGCAAGTGGTACCGAATCATCATCGATGAAGCACAGTGTATTAAGAACCGCGGTACCAAGAGTGCTCAGGCATGCTATGAACTCCAATCGATCTATAGGTGGTGTATGAGTGGCACTCCAATGATGAATAATGTGCAAGAGCTCTACTCCTTGATATGTTTCCTCCGAATTGGACCGTACAACAAGCTCGAGCGGTTCAATAGCACATTTACAAGACCCCTGAAAAATGATACAAACGCAGTCCAAAGTACGGCTATGAAGAAACTCCAGGCTCTTCTCAAAGCAATCCTTCTCCGCCGCACCAAATCGTCCAAAATAGATGGAAAACCGATTCTTCAACTTCCTCCTCGTGTCACTGAAAAAGTGCATACCATCTTCAGCTCAGATGAGCAAGAATTCTACAAGGCTCTTGAAACCCAGTCACAACTTCAGTTCAATAGATATCTCCAGGCTGGCACTGTTGGGAGAAATTATTCGAATGTGCTTGTTTTACTATTGCGATTGCGCCAGGCTTGCTGCCATCCGCATCTAATTAATGATTTCGCAGTCAATCTTGTCACCAATTCAGGAGAAATTGACCTCATTGCTAACGCCAAAAAGCTTGACAATACTGTCGTTGAACGACTCAAGGCGCAAGAGGCCTTGGAATGTCCAGTTTGCATAGACGTGGCTGAAAACGCAGTTATCTTCTTTCCTTGTGGTCACAGCACCTGTGCAGAATGCTTTGCAAGGATCTCAGATCCCGCGCAAGGATTGATGCAGGGCAATGATGGGACAATAGAGGTTAAATGTCCTTCCTGTCGGGCCAAGATTGACCCCAAGAAGGTTACAGACCATGCATCCTTCCAGAAAGTCCATGTCTCGGGTGAAAACACAACTGCTGAAGATGGAAAGTCTGTTGGACAAGCTGATGATACGGCGGATAGCGACAGCGACAGCGACGATGATAACAGGGGCACGCTCAATGGCTTTATCGTCCGGGATAGAGACGAAGAAAGAAGCAAAAAGGGCAAAGGGAAAGCCAAACCGAAGAAAACTCTTGCTGAGCTAAAAAAGGACGCCCAGCGTAACGTCAAGGCCAAACGCAAATACCTTCGCACCCTTGATAAACGGTGGGAAACCAGTGCCAAAGTCGATAAGACAATTGAAATTCTACAATCACTACGTGATTCAGGGGACGAGAAGACTATCATATTCAGCCAGTTTACTTCCCTTCTTGACCTTATCGAAGTTCCTATCAACCGACGAGGCTGGAACTACAGGCGTTATGACGGCAGTATGAAACCAGCAGACCGCAACGACTCCGTCCTCGACTTTACCGATAACCCAGACTGCCGTATCATGCTTGTCTCGCTCAAAGCTGGTAACTCCGGCCTCAATCTCGTTGCTGCCTCGCAAGTTATTATTCTTGATCCTTTCTGGAACCCATATATTGAGGACCAGGCCATTGATCGTGCTCATCGTATTGGGCAATTAAGACCTGTTATGGTTCATAGACTTTTGATTGAAAACACAGTCGAAGATCGAATTATTGCTCTCCAAGATAAGAAGAGACAGATTATAGAGGGCGCTTTAGATGAGAAAGCAAGCTCTAACGTTGGCAGACTGGGTGTCCAGGAATTGAACTTCCTATTCGTAAGTTCATTCCCTGTTTGTGCTAACCTCATATTTCTCCCGCTAACGGTTTCGTCCATTTCTAGAACGGCCATCAGTAGCCCTTTCTTTCTCTCTTTTTCTTTCTTTCTTTTTTTAATCCTCGATATTGTATTCAATATCTTGCACCTCCGGTTGGGAGAAGTGTTGGTATCAATAGGAGGATACTACTGAACTTCAGTTTCAGTTCATTCTCTTGTTTTTCACCTTATGAACACCACACAGCACTTCCTCATGTTCACATTTCTTTTTATATCTCGGTACATCCGCTGCTTTGTCTTCTCCCTTTCTTTCATACATCATGATATCTTGTACAGGTTTGGTGGGCGGTACATTTTCTCCTTGGTAAAAGGTGTTGTTTGATATCCCCTTTCTTATCTTCTTTTTGCCTTCATTTATTTTTGGTCTTGGCTGCGGGTATATATACTCCCCCAACATACCACCAGATCCATAGACATATACCCTAGGTAGATTCTTTTGAGTGTCTTAGGAAGTATTTATTTTCTTTGTACCTACCTCCCTCGTCGTCCAAGACTCCGTTATACAACGATCTCGAGAATTCGCCTATAGAATAGAAAGCAGTCTCGAAGTATCGCAGGAAACGGTTATACTCTCTTACCTTTTTGATGTTGCTTCATTGAGAGGATGCAGTCTACTCTTGAATAGTTGTTTCCCAAGTAATATGATTTGAAATGTACTAGGGTATCAATATTTGTATCAAACTCAGTCCTACGAAAGGCATAGGACACTTTATGTAACCTATAGGGCTAGAAGCTTGACTGTCAGCCTGCTTACTCTAGCTCGACGAAAAACCCTGTAGTCTTTCCAAATTCGCTGCGTAGTTTAAATATTAAGGAGTTATATGGTTGTGTTTCCTTAAGTAAGGATATTACTAAAAGGGTATTGTATTATGTAAATTTTGCCTGGTAACCTTGACGTTAAAGTTAATGCTTGCCGTCATTCTAAGATATCACCCATGCTGGACATGCTGTTTATGCTTGTTGTCGATTGGTTTGTGTTGTTGTATGCGGTGCGGAAACTGATTTCTTTGTTTCAGATATTTTGTTGAGACTTTTTTTTTTCTTCTTTTAATTCTTCTTTCTCCTATTCGTGCTCATCGTCAATTGTTTCTGTATTACATCCCGTTCCAAACCAAATCGTATCCACGTATCCTTGCACCTGGCCTGATCAATTTTGGAAAAGGCGAGCGAGCAATCGTCCAGCTGATTTTTTCAACGATCCAGTTTACAGATCGGCATCCTCCTCGTCTGGCAGAGGCATGCTGGCAGCCTCCTTCATTTCCTGTTCCTGTTTCTGGAGCTCAGCGAGGTCAACGTTGACCTCTGGAGGAGCAAGAGCAATGCCGGCGGCGAATTCCTGTTCCAATGTTAGTTCGTAGATAGAAGGTGCGAAAAAAGGAAGTGGTATGGATAAGACTGACCAAACCCTGGTTTCCAACAAGTTTTCTGGCCAACCACAAGAATGGCTTCTCGAAGTTGTAGTTGGATTTGGCGGAGATGTCGTAGTACTGAAGGTTCTTCTTGCGGTGGAAAGTGATGGTCTTGGCCTTTACCTTACGTTCCTTGACATCGACCTTGTTTCCACAGAGGACAATTGGGACATTCTCACAGACACGGACAAGGTCACCTTATCGTGTTTCCTGGAGTTAGCTTGATGATTATATCACACAAATATCAAGAAAATAGATGGGATTCCACTTACGGTGCCAGGATGGGACGTTCTTGTAGGTGATACGGGAAGTGACATCAAACATGATGATACCGCACTGGCCGTTGATGTAGTATCCATCTCGGAGTCCACCAAACTTTTCTTGACCGGCAGTATCCCAGACATCAAACTTAATCGGACCCAAGTTCTGATGATTGTAGGGTTAGTAAGAGGCTGAAGTCCTTTTCCACAAAGGCTTGTCTTTGTAGCCTAAACCTGGAGGAGAGGGCATGGAGACGTACGGTCTGGAACTTCAGTGGGTGAACTTCGACACCGAGAGTGGCAATGTATTTCTTCTCGAATTCGCCAGTAAGATGACGCTTAACGAAGGTGGTCTACATTAAACAGATGGTTAGCTGATCAACTTCCCAATGAACACCGTGAAATATCGTTCATTTAGATGCTCGTTCGGCCGCAGAAAGTATTACGCATCGCCACAAGCTGCGCGGGGACAAAGGCTCACCTTTCCAGTACCACCGTCACCGACAAGGACGAGCTTGAAGGTGGGTATGTTCTCTTCAGGCACAGCAGCCATTTTTATGCTGGGAGGGGTTGTTGGCGAGATGGAGGGGCAGGGACAGCCTTAGATAAGACCTGAGAAGGCGAAATCGAGCAGTAGATGCTATCTGTCGCTGGCGAGGAGGACAGACAGGCTAGTCTGATGCCGGTAGTTGGGTATCGAAGGAAAAGCAGAAGTCGTTAAAAAGGCGACGATATCAACTCAAGAAAAAAACAAGCCCGAAACGGAACAGATGGTTGGGTTGAAATTTATGTAGGCACGTGACTAGTCCTTGCCACACGGAGGGGGCTGACTAATTAAGTGACGGTTGCGGCTCATTAAAGTAAAGGTGGAAGAAGCAAAACGGGTTGCATTTGATATTCAATATTAAAAGTCGAAGGTACTCAGAGTATCATGACTAGGCTGTTGACCAACCGGCTTTGGTATTATCAGGAACGTTCAAACGCCATTTAGCTATAGAATAAAATAGCTTAAAGAACAATACCTCTTTAATGTTATGTTGTACTAGCTATCGTAAGAGTGACTTTCGATCTCACTGGTTTTGTTAGTAAATGGTTCTTGATTCGTCCTTCGGTGTATATATTTGTACAATGCAGTAGCTGTGGTTACTCAGGGCAAGATGGCCTCGTCAGAAGATCAGACAACCTAATCCCTCTCAAGCCATGAAGGAATCAAATTCAAATCAGCTGATAAACAACCGTGCCCTTTCAATATGGCAATGGGTTATTTTCACTTTCGTGCGGCGAAAGGTACAGTGTACAGTACTTCACAATGGCACTAAATGACAACCCAACAGCCCCCGACCGCCCCAGCTGTGACTTGGAGTGAGCCGCAAGGTAAGTGGCGAGTTTTCTCCATCGGAATCTCTCATTATTTTGACAAGGATAGGAAGCTAATCAAACCAAATAAGGGTCAGCGAAGTGAAGCTAGGGTAAATAAGCTTTTTTTCAATCCGGGGAGCATCTACCTCTACGTTATTTGTGACAACGGCTGCAATCTTCGTCAGGTTTTCATGGTTAGCCCAGGTTATGTTACCAAAGTTGCAGACCTTGTCTCCAGCCTTCAGGCCAGCTTTGGCTGCAGGACTCCCGTCCGCCACACTGTTGACCTTGGCAAATGGCATGTCGAGAGTGTCCACCTGGGCTGTAGGAACTCCCTCTACATTTCGAGATGTTGCTGAGGGCCGGATAGACGGAGTAGCGGAAATATTCCCGTCTTTATCTTTTGTGCTAGCAAAATACGCAGCTAATCCATCTTCAACTTTCAGCATGACGGCCTTATAATCATTTCGTAAACGTATTATCCGCGCTCTCGTAGTCCGAACTATCCACCACAGGCAAGTTAGGAGAAGAAATCACGAAGAATTAAGGTAAGAGTAAGCCACTGTACTTTGTGCAATATCCAGATCTGCCCTTGGAAAGCCGTCTTCAGTAAGAAGATTCGTGTTCATGTCAACGCCATGCTATAGAAATTCGTTAGATCCCCATTAGTATAAGACAGGCTGGATAGGATAGACATCAGCATACAGATACGAGCACGTCGCTAAGTATTTTCAACTCTGCCTCTAGCTTCTCCTTTTCATCAAAGAGCTGCGTCAGACCCGCCTTTGAGAGATCCGTGCTTGTAGAGCCTGCACCCGAAACGGGCCCAGCAGGCACCGTAGGAGTATGGATGTCGTTCATCGGAATGCCCATGATACTCTCACATTTGATTAGAAGTCCATGGCTTCGGCCGTGTACCTCTGGGGTTGAAGCAGGTGAGATGTCGCTTTTTGTCGAGGGTCCCAGCTTCCATGTTGGGTTTCCCCATCTTATCGCCGAGTGCAAACTGTTCAAACCTGCCAAGAACGAAGATTCGGCTTAGTCATCCTCATTCATTTTAAAAAGCGTCCAGATCAAAAAATCGCGGGATAGCATTTCATTTCTCATACACAAAGCTATGCATCTATCCACCTACCTTTTTGCCGTCTATGTCTCTATGAAAGAGAGAAATTTTATGGGCTGCTACACTAATATCAATATATAATTCCATATATTATGTTTATACCCCTTTGAGCCCTTGGCTTGATCATTATAAAGCCGCATTATTGCCCATGATAGCACATAGAAGTAGTTTGAACTACTATTTATTGTGGGTGATATAAACCCCTCCCCCCTTTAATCTTTTTGGATATCTATATAGTTGGATATCTCTCCCTTTCCTGCATATGTCTCTGTATAGGAGGATTTATCTACCAATGCAGGCCAGATTCCAGATAATGCAGGAGCTGGCTGATTTATCAACATTAATATATGCTGTGAATACGTCAGCCTACACACTGCATATCTTAAACTCTCATCTGTCTGTTCATTGTGTATAGTCTCCCTCTATACTACAGTGCTTACCCCTTGCTTAGTCGTAGTGCGGCTTTGGATGCTACGGTTCTCTGTTGCCCCTTCCCCAAAATGGAAGAAAGGACGCCTGGTGAAAATTTTTCTCACCACAACCCAACCTCTCTTCCATTCCACTACATGTTTCCCTCATTTTCATTCCTTAGACCTTCATATTGTATGCCATTCCTTCGTTTTGTTTTACTGTCTATGCTCGCTGTGCTTTTGTCCTTCATTTTTACACGTCAATATTACGCGAAAAGCCATGGAATCCAGGGAATCCCTCGATGCCGTGGTGGAATTTCCACTAGACATTGACTGTGCATTGTCTGAATTGTTTCAAAATGACCCTGAAAATGAACTGCAGGGCGAATCCCCAACTGAGGCGGACAGTAGACGACGTTCGACGGAATCCAATGATTCTGTGGCTCCCGTTAGCCAGGATGGCTATAGCTTCAAAAAATGGATGAGGAGTGTCCGTAATAACGGAACTGATGTACAGATCCCTCGAAACTTTGTCCTAAACTGGCCGAACGGGAATACGGAAGAGCAAAGCTATATCAAATATCCCGACAACGAACCAGATTGCCCCCCAGATGAGGGTTCTGACTGCTCGTCTGGCCTTATAAACAACATAGAAACTGCAAGCTTTAGTCAGGCAACATTGAGTGTAGCTAACGGAGCACGTACAAACACGGTAACTAGTACCATGTATAGCACCAGCGTGTTCTCTAGTTCCGAAGCAGCAAGAGCGTCTCTTGAGAGCAACCGGTTGACTACCTCAGTCTCTCGCGATGAGGCTGCTTGGAACCGTGCTGTCCAGAGACGTCAAATTCTTCAAGAATTGCTAGGCACTGAAGCCGTCTACGTGTCCGGATTACGAGCCCTGGGAGATGTAAGTGATTTCACAATACTCATACTCTATGTACTCTAGCTGAACATGCCCGCCTACAGGTAGTAATAGCCCCGATAAAGACTCAGACTGGACTCGGACGATGCGTGGGAACATTGCTGAGGTTGCACAGCACATTTCTAGACGCACTTCGAGCTGCCATCCCACGTGTCCCCACCGCTGCCTTTGCAGCATCTATGAAATGGATGGCGAAAAAGAAAACGTCAAAAAAGTCTAGCACTGATGTCCATCGCAAATCAGTGACCAGTCGGAGGATGCGTGAATCTGTCGAGCACCGGATTAAGTCATCCAGGAACATTGCTGCTGAGCCTAGCGAAGTCCAGAGGGTAGCTGAAATTTTGATGTCAAAGGTAAGCTAGATTTAAAAGAATAATTCCTGGGTTGCTAAACTTGTTTGGAACTAATCCATCATTCAACTAGCTCCCAAAGTTCAAAGTTTACGAGGAATATGGCATCAAGTACCCTTTGGTGTTGCAGGAAGTTGAGAAGCTCCGAAAAACCGTTGACTTTCAGGTCTGGGACAATGGCACTGAAGCGCTCTCTCGATCATTGGCACCCATAGAGTGCAAGGAGCTGAGCCCAAATCAAGCACTTACCATCGGTGACCTGCTTGCCAAGGTGAGAACAACTTCAAACCCATAACTCACGAGAATAGTCAGATCTAACTAGCTCTGGTGATAGCCAATTCAAAGGGTGTGCAAGTACCAATTGTTCCTATCAGATTTACTGAAATGCACGCCATCCTCAGATTGCCCAGCAGCTCACGAAGCTCTTGAGAAGGTTCACCAATGCATGATTGATACAGTCCAGGAGATCAATCGAGCAACTGGGGACCCCGTAGCCAAGGATCGCCTGGCAAAAACGTTACTCCTTCGTAACAAGCTTGACTTCACAGGTTTTGTAAGTTAATCACCTACTTCCATTTAACTACCAAACTAACATTACCTTAGGGTAGAGAGAGGGATATTCTTCGTGATTTTGGGCCTCTAAAAGCCTGCGGTGTTCTGCATATTACATACGAGACCACGGAGTCGATTGTAGGGGAGTATATGGCTTGCGCTCTCTTTGCTTCACATATCATCCTAGCTGTTCCTCGAGCCGAAACTCGTAAATTCGGCGTACTGGCCGTCATCGCTACAACCCGGGCAAAGGTCGAGAATGTCAATGAGAAACCAGGTTTGCTCATCCCGTGCTCCAAAACCTACCTAAAAAAGCACGATGCTAATCATTGGCCTGAGCAGGTTTGCAATGTACAAGAACACCTCATTCCTGGAAACTGCTATATGTTGTCAGCGGCGATACCTTTGAGCTCGTCATGACCGCGTGCTCTCCAAAGGAGGCTGATCAGTGGAAGGACCAGCTCCTGCTGAACATGGCCCCGGAAATCACGGTGGACACCCCTAGGATTGGAACGAGAGTTATGTTTCCAATTAAAAGACGACCCGTGATAACGATCAACGAAGCTGGTAATATGGTTCAGCCCATCTGCAGACTAGTTCGTATCAAAGGGACAGAGGCCGCACCGCGACGAGATCAAACCCCGAGCGTGTCACCGTCACGGCCCCAAGCCATCCTGGTGACCCCAATGGAAACTTTAACTCCGAACCGTCAGACCAGAGCGCGCATGGAGAGGTGGCTGTCTGAGATCTGGACTTGTGATATTATCCCATACCCAGGAATGCCAGGCCGCGGTGGACAATCTATCCGATCTCAGGCTGGCTCGTTCTTTCGGAGCCTCAGCAGCCGCCGCCCATTCTCCCGCCGTGGAAGCAGCATTGCATCTGTTACGACCCAGTCAATTACCTCTAACTCAAAAAGCGGTGCTGCTGATGAGACGAGCACGACGGCACCCACCAGTCCTATCTCCAAGCATAGCACTCGGGAGTTCGATGATACAATCGAAGCCAATGTAGAATCAAGAAGCTCTTCACCAGGATGCACGGCCTTGCCACAGATCAAGTCTGATGCTGATGAGATGGTGCAGCACGAAGCTCTCGAGAAACGCGCTAAATATTTCAAGGAGAGGACCAAGATGGACAAACGTACCAGATGGGGTGTCTCGATTTTTACCGCTCCCGGCCGCTCTCGTCGTAACAGACCAGTTGAAGTGTAGGTATCATCATTCCCCTTGCCGGACGCAAGGAGACGAAGGATCTGGAGGAGCTCCTTTGCGCGTTCTTCTCCATAGCTAGCATGCTTCTTTGTAACTAGTCCCTACTCCGTACTAGGTAGATGGTTCCAGAGACGTCTTCTTAGCTTTAGCTATATCAACAATGCAAGCTGCAGTTCCGCTCGTTGCCGCCTATAATACTCCCTTATCGACTCCGTTTCTGTGCCTCGTGGAGCTGAGTGACGCTACCTCCCGTGCAGATCAAGAAGACTCCGAAGGTGATGGAAGGACTGCAAGCCAAAAAAGGGAAGGAGAGACGTGACGTCACACGTGACCAGGGATAAACGCCAAGACCCAGGGCCCGCTATGACGTCGGTCGAAGCAGTGACAAGCAACACAGGCGGGAAGCTGGACGGCGACGATGTACATCCGATTAATTGCAGCGCATAGCACGAGCAGGAGCCGGCGATGGGGACACGCAAGAGAATTGTGGGCTGTCTCGGACATAAATAGAGACGCTGCTGCACTCCGTAGCAGTACAGCGTCACTCAGTCTTTGTTCAATTGACTATATAACCGTTCGTCAAAACACCTGCGTCTATCTACATCTACATATACATACCACCTGGCAAACCTGATATCTAGACCCTTATACTTTCAGCAACCAGCCACACACGCGCTTTGCCTTCTCAGCCTTCTACCCCGCCAATCTATAACTACTTAAGTTCCCTGCTTGGCCATTAAAGCGATTCCAGGCTTATTTATTGAATCAGAAGGACGCACGGCACAGACACAATATTGCAATCATGGCTCGCGGAAACGTCGGAGTTTACAAGGTCTTCTACAAGGGAGAGACGGATGATTTCGTCGTCTACGTCGATGATGTTGCCAGCGTAAAGCAGTGGAGGAAAGACAAGACAGTTCCTCTAGCTCAAGTGGTCAGTGGATGGAAGATATTCATTACTCACAGGTATGTTGTGTTGTATCTCCCGGTTATTGATATGATGCCTGCTTCTTGATACCTAACTTCTCTATTTTAGACATGGTGCACAAGGAATTCATGACGGAGCTAGCAAGGCAACACTGTCGAATGAGTTCGGAACATCGGATGAGGTGGAATGTATTACCAAGATACTAGAGAAGGGAGACCTGCAGGAATCAGAGGTATGGTGTCCTTGCTACCTGTTCCTCGTTCATGTTGTACAGCTACTAACTTGGCCGTTGTAATAGAACACGGAAAGGAACGGCTCAACGAACGACTCTAAAGGCGGCTTGTTGGGTCGATAGATGGAGCTAGCTCTATGACTGGCCAAGCTGCGGGAACCTCGATCGAGGACGCAGCTTCGGATGATAAACAATGTATTAAACTACTGTAGGGTCTGGTTATCTTTACGGCACCTGTTTAGGGTCTGGTTCGGGCATGTTTCATTCGTATATGGAAGGAAAGTCGGACTAGCATGGCTCTAATTGTTACTATCAATACGTAACGAGGTGCTCTTACGTCTGAAATATTATCACATTTTAGGCAACAGCTTACGACAGGCCTTATGACTGAAAGAAAAGAATCGGGTATACATTCAGTAAGATAAAAGCGCTAAAATCCATAAAAGCTGTAAAAAATACCGCACGGCAAGACAGAAAACGCAAACAAAGGCATTCAGGCCGGGGTTCAAAATTTATACTCTAACTAGTAGTAACGGAAGTCAAAAAAGTCTTACATGTGTATGTAGACGGTGTGGGTATATCAGAGTGTATATTTGGTAAAAGAAAGAGGCAAGCAAGCCAGAGCTAGAAGTGTTCTTTCCAGAACTTGAACTTGACTTCTTTGCTTGTACATTCCTTCGCTGCCTTTTTAACCTGCTTGGCCGCCTGGTTCGGACCGCAGAAGTAGACTCCAACATCAGCGCGACGCGTTGCCTCAAGGTTGGACATATATGTACGATCCATGATACTAGAACGCAACGCACCGAAGAACCGGGCAAAGTCCGGACGGCCGAATTTGGTGCCTGTTCTTAGTTCAGTAAGAGGATCAAGTTCCTGACCTACGGAGTTCAGGTAGATGTTGGCAGCTGTGTCTTGGTCGAATCGTTGGGTAAGGTAAGTGTGTATGCGAAGGAATTCCTGGCCAGAACGAGCTTCTTCAGCAGATTGAGCTTCCAGGGAAGAGAGAAGTGCTTGGAACCATTCAAATGAGCTGGTATCTTTGCAAATCCAGATGAATTCGACTCGGCGGAGACGGGTTGGAGGGTTAGGTCCGGCTCGGTAGTGCCAGATATCCTTTAGTATGGATGCCCAAGGGGTAACTCCGATGCCTGTGCCGATGAGAATGGCAACATCATTGCTGAACACGTCTTCTGCAGGAGCTCCGTAGGGGCCATCGATGCGGATTTGCGGCATTGTCTGGCCATTCTGCATGGCGATCTCGTACATGCCGAGAGGATCAAGGCCGTCGATGTCCTTTGCTTGCTCGGGGCCGCAACCAAGTCGGTTACCGAGTTCACGGGTGAAATCTCCTACCTGTCTGATGTGGATACTTATGTAGGGATCATGAGGGCACGACGTGATAGTGAATGGATGCCACTGTGTTCGAGAGACATCTGGTACCTGAAGGAAGAGCCATTGTCCGGGCTTGTAGCGCAGGCTGGGTTTACGGAATTGGATCTCCATGGCATCTGTTCATTAAACGTTAGTAATTCAGTATGCAAGAGGTACATGTGTATCAGTCCACTAACCGTATGGATGTCGAACAACCTTGACAATCTCAGTATCTCTCGCAGCTCTGATCTCTCGATAGAGTCTTTCAATGAGGTAGAGGCCACCACCCCAAAGTTCCCATCTCCATCCCTCATACCCAATACAATGATCCCAGAATTTCTTGCCTGCAAATGGAGAGATGGGGTCGGGTGTGTCTCGTACAAAGCATCCAGTAGCATGTGTGTATAAAGCTAGCAGGAATGGAATGAATAGATGATGCGTGTACCAGAAAGTTTCGTACGACTGTTGCCTGATTCTGTGATGCGACGTGGTATACATTAACAGCATACAGAGAAGCATTACGTGGCCGGTGATTCCACCAGCTTGGGTATAATGAATTTGAACAGCCGCTTCCGGGCGTTTCTGGTATCGCTCGATGTTGAAAAAGCTGTTTGGACATTCATTAGAACCCGACTGTGGGTGATTGTGCAGGGTTAAAAGCAACAATTGTACTTACTTTACGTAATGTGCTACTACATGTATCACACTGAAGATGAGCAGGGAGTACGCAATCTGCCGATGGAACCACTGGGCTTCATCGAGAGGAAGCCATTTCACCTTCGGTCTGACGTATCTGAGAAGTGTTCTGCACATGGGGAAAAGAATAAGTGCTGTATCTATCGAAAGCACGAACCCAGCACCCCGAGACATCCATACTGAGAAGGTGAGAGTGTTGAGGGCCGCCAGTCTTTGATCAGTAGCTTGTTTCCACCTGGTTGAATCAACGTTAGCTGAATGTGTCTCTACTTAATAACTTGACTGGTCAAAGTTAAGGTCCAGGGGAAATAAGGATAAGGTTTCTGCATACCATCCATAGGCAAAGAAACCTATCTGAATCCCGTAAAAAATGAAGTAGAAGAATAGTTTGGAAGGATTAAAATGCGACTTCCACTTGGATGAAGTCTTTTTCGTCATGATGGGTCGCTGAAGGCTGTTTGGAGTTCCGTCTGATCAGTGGAGAGTAGAGAGGAAGGGGTAAATAGAAAATGCTAAAAAGTAAATTCGTCAAAGAAAGGGGAATATGCAACGCTAGGGAGGAGAAAAAGAATCAACAGAGAAACCGAATGCCAGAGAAAGGGGTCTGGCGGAAGAAAGGTAAGAAGATTCGTTAAATGAGGTCGTTATGTATGGAATACGCCGGTTCAGGTGAAATTAGGTGGCCAGGTTCTGGTATGATCGCAGATCCAAAGGCTTAGTTTTTATTGCATCCGGAAAGTAGAACGAGCGCTTGGAGGACCAGTGGATATAGGGTATGAACCAATGGAAGCTCCGAGATATTCAGTACATGTACAACGGCAATGAACTGCCTGCGCACGACACCGCCAGGGGGCAATCGATGGCGTTGTAGTCAGATACCAGAGTGCCGCAGCCGTGCTTCTCCGTGGTGCTAGTGGACGAAGGCTCCTTTCCACGTCCTGCCCACTATAACCCTCTTGATAGAATGCTGTGCTGGTGAAACGGGCCACTCCATGAATTCCCCAGCAGCCAACGTCTGGTGGCTGCACGTCGTTATGATCCGGTTCTGACGCTAGCCACCCGCGGCCAGCGTCTAATCGGCTTTTAATCCTGCTACCTGTCTTGCCGGTTGCCTTGTGATTTCCCCTGGATGCCAAAAATAGGACGAACAATTTTCCGCTGAAAATCGATTGGGGGTTCGCAAAAATCAACGGGCAACTAGTTATCCACGATGGATTGGTTGTTGATTCACAAACGATAAGGTCTCGTCTGCCCTCTCTCACATCTCAAACATGCAGGGTTTCGGATGCGGCGTACGGAGGATGCGGAAGGTAAGGTATATGTACGGGGGCGGATGGACTGGACAGCAAGGAGGTTTTTGAGATCGATTATGGTATCCAAAGATAGTTATCTCTCGAACGGCGTCTGTTTTACGTAGAGCGAGGGTTCGATATTTGGTTCGATTTGGTGGTCCTCAAGGAGTGAGTGTGTAAGATACGCAAGCAGCAGAAGCGCCAACTGGCAGGGCGGTTAAAAGAAAAAAAATCCGATTTGGCCCCCCCTGCCCATCAGGCCATGCTGAAACACCAGAGTTGGTATAATTATCTGGTTCGGCCTGAGTTTGTTATTTGTTTCCCTCTTTGTCTGTTGGTTTATTGAGGGAAATAATCCCGTAGATGTTGTCGCTAAATGGCTTGTTGGAGGATCCTATTTTAACGCCTTGGGTCTTTTTCTGCTCCTTTAACTTATTTTCCTTTTATTTTTTGCTTTTCTTCCCAGGGACGAAGAGAAAAAGATACCGGGCGGACCGCCGCAATCGACATGTAGAAGATTCAGCCTGGCTGCTATGGGAGCAAGTAGCAAGGGGCCTGGATGCCCAGAGACGAAGGTGTTGGACGTAGCACCACTCTCTGCAGTGAGAACGGCCAAGAGGAGAAGATCAAGACCGACAGTTCCCCCCGACTGGACCTGTCTTCTACCTTATGAGGTAGCAGCTAACAAGTTGAATTCGACTACATCCATGTTGTCCCCCCTGCGCGGGGACGGCCGCCAAAGCACGCTGATAGAGAAAAGCGAGAGTCAATCCTGTGGATAACTCAAAATGATAAGCAGAAAGAGAGAGAGAGAGACAGCCCACTCGGCAGGGTTCAGAGAACATCGATCTTGAAGCGCCACAAGCCAATGAGGGTGTGAGGGTGGCTTTTGAGCGGCCTTGGTGGCCGTCTTGAGACTTCCAGAGTCTCGATGTACTGCTGGTTAATTGGCTGGCACCCGGCCTGCCGACTCGTATATCGGCAGAGAAGTCGTCCCTATCACTTCACCGTCACCGCCATCGTCATGGGCCCTCGTGGTTGATCAGTAGCGACTCTGTCAGAAGAGAGAGACAGGACTCGTTCCCATCACATCAGCATCAAGCCCAACTCGTCCTTCGGTCTCTGGGGATGCGGTGCCAGAGGATCCCCAAAGCGAGCCTATCAGGGGCATTCTGCAACCGCCCACGCTTGCCGGGGTTCATGCTTGGCCTGTTGGCAGGTCGACGGGAGCCTTTGGGCCTTGAGATATGTAGTTGACTTATTTGATTTGAGGTACACAGGGGGCGCAAGGCGTTGATGTCCCGGCGAGGTAGTGCTCCATGGGAGGCCGCGAGAGGATGTTATGCATAGCATGTAGTGCTGCCACGGAGGCTACCAACGCTCGAGGTACCGCGTCCTTTGCTGTTGACTGGCTGCTAGAGACCACAGCGACTGCTCGTAGCATTTCTGTCCTCGTCCTGTCTGTTACGCTACTCGTAGTTATTGCCATTGGCACCGCTGCCAGCGATAGTTAGTTGTATGTACGCTGCAACCGGGTGGTACGGCGCTTCGAGGTCAGCCTGATGAGGCACTCTGCGACGTCTCCTGTCTCTGGCTCCAACCCATTGAACGGTCGTCTGGGACGGCCCATCTATGCTGTCTACTCGGCGTATGTCTGTCTGTCTGTGTCTCCGTATGCTGTGGTGTCTGCAGCTGTCATGTCTACAAGCGTCGCGAGTCCCAAGTCTGTTCGGACACCGCAGGCTCATGCAAGAAAGATACATCAATCCGGGGCTTTAGCGACGGGAGGCAGCGTCAAGCCCGCCCTCCTGGAGACTGCTGAGACTCTAGTTGCAGGAGTAGGCGCCGGCCAGCGTCTTCTCTCCTGTTGGTTTCCTTACTTCCAGAAGGCCGTGTCTCAGGGGTCATCGTCACCAACTAACTACGGCCACCTATATGCTGATATAACGACAGGTACATGAGACAGCCAGCGAGGCGTAGCAAGACAGCAGCAGCAGACGAAGCAGAGAAGAGAATGCTATTATTATTATGACCCCAGCCTGGTCTTGCAGACGGCAGTGGGCACTCTATCCTGGCTGCTGGCCAATTGACAGCCCGTCCTGCACGCTGGCCGTTCCTCGTCACATCGCCCAAGGACCGCTAAGGACGTCGCCTGCATGAGATATCTCGTTTTTGCTGGCTCATGCTGGCCTGCTGGAAAAAGCAAAGAGCGCAAAAGAAGAGGCCCTGTCAAGCAGGCCATGCAAGAGGAAAAAGCAGAGTGTGATATCGGCAGCTCGCTCGCTCCGTTTTGCAGCTCATTTGCCAATTATAGATACGCCGGCGAGCAGGCCAGATGGCATATCAACCCTTCTATTGGACAGGGAGGAGGACGCTTCTGAGCATTGAATCCCCCCCGGCCGGGGCTACAAGGACTTGTCGCACTTAGCACCCAAGTTGCAGGGAGGTGGGCGGCGGCGGGAGTCCCTTCTGGCTCGCCTGAAGAGCGGTGCGGGAGGCAGGCCATCCTATCCGTACATAAGTGCGTATATACATTTAGCCGCTGGAGGAAGACACCCCTCTTGAAAGTTGCCATATTATGCCTTGACCGTCATCTCGAGCTGTCCTTTCTGCTTGCTATAACTATTCACTGGCATCTGTTTCCGTCGGCTTGGTCGATCGTCCAGGATATACATCCAGCATATACATACAGCCATCCACCCATCACAAGAGTCACAGCTGGATCTTCATTGCATATCAACCAACTCACAAGTTGAAAGGACATTGCAAGGCCCTCCCAGCTGTGCACAAGCAGAAAGACAGACACAGAGAGAGAGGAAGACATCTCGCCCATTGTGGAACTCTAACTTGCCTCCCCCATGGACAGTTCAAGGGATATGAAGCGCAGGCGATGACAGTATGACTTGACTCCACTGCAGCAAGGACGCAAGAAGAGTTACAGAGACTGACCAGCCGGGAATTGCAGCAGAGGGACATCGAATTGAACGTCGAACATTGAACATCTCTCGGTGTACACCAACATATTAACCGGCCGTTCTCACATCAGTGTGCCCACCGACTACCTAGCCAGGCCTCCCCTTCCTCGCATTATTTGCTCGAAATCTTCCACCTCCCCGTGGTTGCTGCTCAGGTCTGACCCGTGAGGTACATATTATCTCCTTGTCCCGCTCGCCCACACCAAGACGAAGACGAACACCAAGAGGGAAAGGGCCTCAAGGCCATTTCTTCCCGTCTGAACAATCATGGGCAAACTCATCAAAAACCACTGGGCTCGTCTCATTATCCTCACTGCTGCCATCTGTATGTATATCCAACCTCTGACATACCGATCTATATATATACTATGCAGATCCAGGAACTAACAGAAGTGATAGTTCAATTGGCTGCTGGCATCCATGGCTTCTTCTGGCCAAAGATATTCTGGGATTTCCTGACGAAGAACCTCGACAGTGCAGTCAAACCAGTTCCTATACTACAGATTATCAACGTCCTGCTCGGACTGCTGGGACTGGCCTGGGAATGGCCCCTGAAGCCGCTCGCAGGAACTTTGTTCCACCGCAGCATCGAGATCAGGCTCTTCATCCTCCCTCTCAGTGCGCTTGCTTCGGCTCTGCTATATCAAGGCACAAACCCTGCCATTTATTACCTTATTGGCATGGCTGTTTACTTCTGGGGGTACAGCGAAGGAGAAGTGCGTTACTCCGTCCCCCGTTCACGCGTTAACCGTACATATAACAACGAAACTGACAGCTTTGATATAGACTGTATGTCCCGAACCATGGACCTTGCCACGGCGAAGACCAATACCGATAGAGTCAAAGGTATAGCCCGTTAGTTATACTGATCTATAGACACATTGGAACGCACCTGTATATATTTTCACCATTCGTACATAATACCCCTATAATCTCGACCAACTGCTGGAAGGCTTTATCCCAGCTTAGCGGTCAATATTTGCATACACGCACACTTAATGTATATTAAAAGCACGATCTTGTTGATGCACCCTTTAGCGATCTTATGAATTAACGAATTTCCCTGTCAATATTAACCAGTTAGCCGGTCAGTGTTCTATACTTTCTGAATAACCTCATGCTTTTTCAACGTTGCCAAACTCTGGACAGAACCGTTATCCAGTTTTCTGTCAAAAAATTCATGCTTAATTTCACTGCAGGCTGATTCTTAAATTTCTTTTCTGCTCGTCTTCGATCGGCATCGACGGCTTGCCTGGCTGCTTGCCCTCTGAGCGATGTGCTGGACAAGCTCGTATTGAACAACACATTTTTGAGCCGCATCCTGCGTCAAGTCCATAAAAACGCAGACAAGGCCAGCTGCTGGTGGCTTGCAGCTTTCAAGGTAATAATAAAGTATTATTACCAGCCGGCAACTGAGAAGGATGGACGACGAAGAGGCTCCCCGGTCATTCAACGGCAGCTTGGACAAATTCATCCATTCCCCCGGTGCAACACCTAGTGCATCGCCGGTCAAGTCGCTGAAACGCAAAATCGGCATCAAAGAGGAAGACGAAGACGCCGAAGATGAGAAGAAGGTCCTGTTGGCGCCTGTGTCGCCCCGGAAGACTCGCTCGTCCAAGTCTCTGACGCAGTCGACTCTGGTATCGATGTCCAGGCCGTCCAGGCAAAGTACCCGGTCAGCTCCTCCACGAACATCCAGGAATGCCAGCAGTGACACCCCCATAAAGGCGGAAGATGATGCATCAACAGCGTCAGAATCATCCAGGGGACCTGTCTCTCGCCTCAGGGACTCTATACCGGAGAACCTCATCCTGTTGCTCATCGGCGTCAACCCGGGCATCATGACCGGCCAGACAGGATATGCATACGCTCACCCGTCGAACCTGTACTGGCGCCTCCTGCACTCTTCAGGGATAACTACCTTCCGCCATCCGCCGTCGGATACATACCGCATGCCGGAGCTCTACTGTATCGGCAACACAAACATCGTGGTGCGTCCTACGCGCGATGCAAGCCAGCTATCAAAGGAGGAGATGAACGCTGGAGTGCCCGTGCTGGAAGAGAAGATTGCGCGGTTCCGGCCTGAGGCTGTCTGTCTTGTAGGAAAGGGCATATGGGAGGCTGTCTGGCGAGTGAAGCATGGGCGGAATATCAAAAAGGAGGAGTTCAAGTACGGATGGCAGGACGAAGAGGAGAATATGGGACGGGTTAGGCCAGTGGTTGGAGGCAGCAGTCGAGATGCATGGCCCGGTGCGAGGGTGTTTGTAGCCACAACCACCAGCGGGCTGGCAGCATCGATGAGTCTGGCTGAGAAGGAGGCTATCTGGGCCGAGCTAGGGTCCTGGGTAAAGGCACGAAGAGCGGCTAGGGGGTTTGTTCTACCCACCATGAGCCAGGCGTTAGGGACTTTGGATAATTAGCTAGGTATTCGCTAGATTCCTGATGTATCAAATTATTGAAACAAATAGTTATAATTTCTCCTACTGTTCCAAATCTTTCCGACCGCCCGTTCGTTTGCCTGTACTCATGATTCATATTAATCTCTTAAGGCACTGGACACTCCACCCCACGCATCAACTGAAGCAATCGGTGCACCACATCCTCCCCCGCGAGTTTAATATCCGGTACCTTAATTGTTATCTTCGAGGGCTTTGGAGTCGTCGCCGAACCTATCTAGACCTTCATCTAGAGGCTTACTCTGCCCTTCCAGGGATGCGGCGATTGCTCTTGTACAAAACTGGTGTTTCCACCACAGGTCCTGCATATCCATTAGGAATAACGGAGAGCGGGTGGAGAGAGAAAAGAGGGAATGGAAAGAGAAAGCTTTTTGACGAGACAATTATCTCGTTTGGATTCAATGCCAACTGCAACTTGAGCTCTACTGCGTGATTGAGCTGGGGTCAAACCTCTGCCTCTTATGAATCCCTCAGTCTTAGCCCGAAAACGATCCATTGACAGGTCATATATCTAGGCAGCATTACTCCCTACTTGTAGGTTCGACCCGAGAAACTGTTGACGAGATATAGGGATATACTATGTAGATGAAGCAGTCGGGCGTGGAAAGATATCCTACTTCGAATCAGATATTACTCGATAAACAAAAAATGTGTGGATAGCATTGGATCGTGGTACCTCTGTTTGCAGCAGCTTTGTCCCACCACCATCTCTTTGGTGAACATCGATGATGCCTTTCACTCCATCGTTGGTAATTTCTGACCAATTAATTAAGACTAGCATACAGTGCTGGACTTGAAGGTTGCAAAACTAATTTAATCCTCATCTGAGCTTCTATCGTCAGGCATGGTAATCAGAGGCTTCAGCTCTACACTACTATCATGCGGCCTGATATGTGCTTCGTTCTCCTCAAGCCACTCCTCCAGGTCAACATGGACCCTCAACTCTTTCTCTACAAACACGTTGAAGACCTTTCTCAAGTCCCCAAATCTCATTGACTTTCTAAGGCTTGGCTCAGTGAACGCCAAAAGAACCAATTGTTTGGACCAAGGACATGCTCGAATCGAGCGGAAAAACACTTGACGTCCCTTCTCAGTCTCACCAAGTGTTAGCTCGAATTGAACGAATAATTTCCATAGCCCGGCACTGTGTCGGCCTGGTTGTGAAGACACGGCCGACTCAAAGGCAGCGCGGACGGAATGAGCTGTGGAGCCGGCAGAGACACCCCTGTGAAGTTCAGAGTATACTAAGAACAGGTGAGGAATAAGGGTTGCCTGTTTCTCAATAGATCGGCCACTCCCAGCTGGCTCCAGGACTTGGCGGGTGAGAAGTGAGCGAACGCGGTTTTCAATTCGGAATCGAGCTTCGTTAAAGCCGAAGAGACTCAGGAAGATTGTGTTTCGTGGGAAGAGCAAGATGCTCTTGTACAACTCATCGCGAACTTGTGAAGGCTTATATACGCGGTTTTCAATGATGTGGTGATACAGCAACCTGGCCTTTGCTTGATGGACAGGTTCCAAGAAGGTTGCTTTATCCAGATTCTGGGATTCAAGACGCTGTTCTGCGTTATCGTACGCTTCGAGGGCTTCTGAAAGCGCTTGATCTTGCGAAAGATAGAGCAACAGGGCTAAGCAGTCAGTAGCATATACAAATATGTCTGGATTGCGGAATGTAAGCCCATGAGCTTGGATATCACTCAGGTACTATCAAAGGGTTAGCAATGTTTCGATAGTGGGTTATAAGAACATAACAAATACATACTCTCCTCGCCTTTAGCAGCTCTGTCGAACTGACCACAACGCCACTAGCCCCAGTTTCCATAGAAGAATCTGGGCTGAAGGTACTTTTTGGAACCGCAACTAGTAAACGAGTAGCTTTTTTATGGTTCCGGCTGTCAAGAAATTCCCATACCCAGCTGTGCCAAAGAAGAATACAGTCAAGTGCTGCCTCCTTAGAGAAACTTTGGCTCATGGAAAGGGTGGTTGTCCAGACTTTCTCTGCAGCTGCAAGCTGACCATTCCTAGCCTCAATAAGGGCATAGGAGTTGTATAGTCTGATACTGGAAGGGCGCTGCTTCAAGAGGCTTTTCGCGTACTTTTTCGCCTCTCTGGGGTCAACACTGTACTCAAAGGCAATAATGTAGGATGCGAAGTGGTCGTTATCCGGCATTTTTGAGACTAGCATTTTCAAGGACCTCCGAACCCACTCGACATCAATCGGGCTATTTCTCCCCAGGTAAGTGGTTTTCCAAGATTGAAAGGTTGAGAACCAGTGCTTTCCATCGCCAAACAGCGTATCGAAGCCATTCCTGAAAGACGAACAGGGAAATGAAAACGGTGAATGTCCCTCTATTTCTTCGTCTTTTGAGGTGATGTAAGCGAACCATTCTGAAGGAGACCTGCGCATGTCATCTAGACTCCTGTTTGACAGAAAAGGATCTATATGCCAAGTAGACGTTCTTTCGCTACCTTCGTTCAATATTGTCGGCAGGCGACAAAATATGAGAAAAGCATCCACGAGTAAGTGGAGCATAGGAGGATCTGATAATTGAATAAGGAACTCAGAAATATCAGAAAACAGGACTACTCGATAAGGGTCATCTTCTTGCACTTCGTCCAGTGTCCTAGCTGGTAAAAATGAAGAGGATATCAAGGTTTGCTCAATATTCCCCCAAGAGCCAAAGACATCTTTGATATTGACATCTGGTACACTAAGATCTCTCTTCGGGTCTGGTGAGTCTTCAGTAGACCTGTCCCAACCTTTTGATCCCACTTCACCGATTCTGGGAGCCTCAGTCTCCCAAAACTCGGAAAATGCTGAAACAGTGGACGCTCGATTAGTTGTTGGATTGAGGTCTTGCGGGCGACAAAAGTTATATTCTAGTAAGGCTTGCCAAAGGCCAATTGAGTGCTCAATAAAGCCAGCTTCTCTCATAAACAGACTAAGACGCAGAAGGATATAAAGGCTAATTATCTGTTTCTCCGTGCTATCAGGTTGGTTTTCGTTGACTCTCAAGCACTCTAAGAATACCGATCGACACTTCTCATAGGTGAAATTGTTAAACGTGGTTTGCTGAACGTCCAAATATTTAATCCAGAGAGAGATGTAGCGCGAGTTGAACTGCAAAATAGACTTCCATTTGTCCAATAGAGTCTTTTGGTCCCAAAGTAGAGAGCCCTCTTCCATCATTCCCAGCAAAAGCCTGTCTCGTGGAACTTTGGTAGAAATAATTTTCAAAGCTTTCTCATATAATGATACCTTCATATCAGCAATACCTCTTTTCTCGGCGAGCGTATGCTTTCGATAGCCCTCTCTGTCCGTGAAACCAACCATCTTCTCTTGATGGTCGATAAGCCGGAGCCAGCCTTCCACGTTGTCCGGATTGTCATTTGCACTTGAGAATAGCCGAGCATTCTGTAGTCTAGCACCTTCGCCGTCCGACTCTAGACTCCAGTCTGACCCCACATCGGTCTCATCATCAGATTCTTGTTCGGGTTTAGCTTTTCCTTCAATCGATCGGTAGTCGGGGAGTTTCTCCTCTTCGGTTACCGTCACCGCGTAGCCAGTGTCGTAGTACCCATCTGCTACGCGCCGTCTTTTTCTACTCCCGCCTTCACTCAGTGGAAGAAAATCCCGCTCCAGTTCTGGTGTTTCAACTGGACGGGGTAGCAAGCGCCGCGGATTTGTCAATTTTGCAGCCGATTTCCAGAGCATCTTGTGATTGCGCTGCGATGTATCTTCTGCAGCCTCTCTTAGCTTTATCACTATCTTTGAATCACTGCTGAGGTCTTGATCGATGGTGTAAGCTGTGGGAAGCCCTAGAACTCTGCCTGCGCCAAAGCGATAGTATCGGGGAATGTCGTACTTATGGAGAGACCCATAGATCAAGGTATATGGATCACCTGTAGGATCAAGCACGTAGAGATTTGTCTCATCCTGCGCACCCTGGGTTTTCAATCTGTCCGCAGGTTTCTCGCGCGGAGGCCTACTGGTACGAGCCCTCGCTTCTCGTCTGCCTTCCCTTCGACGGTCATGTCTTGATGAGCTAGCGGATTCTTTAGCTCCATGCCGACTACTCGAGGCCTCTCTTGAGAACTTTTTTTCGTCTCCGCTCTGACGGTCTCGCGCTGGGGCTACGGGTCGCGGCTTGAAGCTGCCAAATTTTGGAATCTGCGCTTTTCCCTGAGTAGAGGTAACGAACAGGTCAGTCACAGCTGGCTTGAAAGAGAATCTGCCTGCCACTTACCTTCCCTCCATCAGAGTCCATGGCTCACTCTTAATCGCAACGCATCTGTGGCTTGTCTCCTGTCTTTCAGCAACTTATCCAATTGATTGATTGATCGCGTTGACGTTGAAGCGTTGATAAGAGACCGGCTAGACTTGCCTTTCCTTGGCGGCTGGGACTCGGGAAAAACTTCCCTTGGCAGCCAGAGAATTTTATGCTTTTTTCCTCGAGATTTGAAAGATTTCGCAGACGACGAAGAAACAGCTTGCAACCTGCGCACAAGAAGAGCTTTCTTGAGCCTGTCAGACGAGAGGACAGCTGCTATTATGAATTAGATACCATCTTTAACTAATAAAATTCGCTTCTCCCTGCACAATGGCGTCGTCGCTCGCCGCGCAGCTGTCGCAAGTTGCGGCCAAAGCAACCCATCAGTTCGACCTGAAAGCCCAGCGATCAGCCCACGCTCAATCGTTGATATTCGAGAAGAAGATTGCTAGCACACAGGATTTTGATACGATATACCAGCTATATTATGAAGGGTTTCAAGAACTATGCGCCCTCGATCCTCGCTTTCAGCCATTCCAGCAGAATCTTTTCAGTGAGCAGAGCAAAGTGGAAGACAGGAGCCAGATGACGGCCACACAAAATAAGGAGTTAGACGTTGTCATAGAAGACTTTCTGGCCCTGGTTGGTGGCCGTTTACTTCTCAACCCGGCCGTGAAGGCTGTGGACTGGCTTGTTCGTCGATTTCGGTATGTCAACACCCATGGCCAGTTGGAAGTTGGTTGGCCAAACCGCTTGCTAACTGATGTATCTTTCTATCTAGAGTACATGAACACAATACCCGTGCTATTATTCTTACATTTCTGCCATACCATACCACACCCTTATTCCTCAACCTTCTATCCATCCTGCCCGAGAACCTGACGTCTACCTTTAAAGTCCTACATCCATATAAGCGAAGCTTAATTTCACCTACACGGACCTCCCTTGTACACAGTGCGTCAACAAATAAGGAGTTTTTCTCTGCCTTGAATAGTTATGTTATGCAAGTCGGCAAAGCCCGAGCGCATTATCAGGGCCTAACTTCTTTCTGGGCTGGTATCATGACAGAGGCTCTTTCTACAATGCTTGACTCTGCGCAATCAGGGAGATTAGAAGTTGAACGCCGAAATAAGGAGGATGTCTTGATTCGTATTCTGCCAACACTTAGCACCGGTCTGTCATTAAAAAAATCTCCGGAGCTCGTCATTGCTTGCTACATGCTGTGTGTTGTCTTGGCCAACAAGGGGTCTCTCAGTGACGATGCTGTCGATAGCTTGATGGAGGCTGTAGCTGGATCTTGGACCCGAGATACTATTGCCTCAGGAATCACATGCCTTGCAGTGGTTTTTCAACACAAGGAACAACTATGGCTTCCGAAGCCTGTTATCAAGTCAATTCTTCGCCTGGAAGATGTGGCTGATGTCTTTGCAGGTCTTTCGTCTAATTCAATAGTCCGCCTGCTTTCTGGCTTGATGAATGTTCTTATGGAGAACGATAATGAGGAAGTTGCAGCTAATTGCGTATCTCTTGTTGGTCAGGTACTCCAGAGTGATATAATGGGCGCGGAGGACAAAACACAGACCATAATAGCGCTCCTGAAGACAATTGATGAATCTCATCGTAAAGGTTATATGTCTGAGGAAGTACGCCAGCTGTCTTCAGATACGCTTGCAGCCTTCGTGGAATCTAAGGAACTTGATATTGTGCTTCAGAGAGCAATCTCCGAATCCAACGTCGATATCAAAGCTTTAGAAATAACCCTTCAGCTCGCCATTGATAACAACTTGGAACCCGCGGAAACAGAAGACGTTGAAATGGAGGACCTACCTGAAAACAGCACTCAAGATGAGGATTTTGCAGCCGCAATTGCATGTCTTTCCCAACGACGAAGTCAACAACCAGAAAACTTCCTTGTCGAGTTTCCTTCACCTCTATTTAGCGAACTGGTTGTTTGTTTCACTCAAGCAGCAACATCCGCGAACAAGCTGGGTCAATTCCTCGGTTTACCAATCCTTCGCAGAAATACCAGATTCAAGGACTTGACTTACTTCTCTTTCCTCGTGCGATATTTTGCCGGCCCTCATCCACCTCTAGCGCGTACCAAGGCCATCAATATCGCTACAACATCTATTCTTGAATCAAATGGCAAAGCAACTGATTTGCAAGCGTTAATTCCATATGCTATATCCGCTCTATCCGATCCTTCAATTCCCGTTAGAAGAGAGGCGGCTGCGCTCCTGACATCCATCGACAACCAATATTTCATCCCTGACATGGAGGAAGCACCCTGGGGCCAGGGTATTATATATGGTGACAATGAACAGTCAAAGGCTGTCCAGTGGTTGCCTGGGAAGGACATCCATACCTTGTTTGACAAAGGGTTTATGCCTGGCTTAGAGGAGTGCATCCTTGATCCCTCACGAGTCTTTGAAACATTTGTGCAGACTGTCAAAGGAACTTCGGAGGATAGTTCAGGGCTGAGAAAATCAGTTCGCCGAGATTTCTTCTCCTTCATCTGCTCACATATCATCAATACACCTCTATTTGCTACAAAACTCAAGCTCCTGTCCATCGTCAACCGAATCAGCAAAATTGGGTCAACTCCTCGTACTCAATTCTTGTCTCCCATGCTCGAGCAATGCAGAACAATTGATTCCGAGAAGGTAAAGCGCATGAGTACGCAAGAGCATGTTTCAATTCAGGAATTGGAGCATCAAGTCCTATCTATTATCTATCCAAAAGATACGACTGCCATCTCCACCCTTCTCTCACTATTGAAGAACAGCCCTCAATCCACAAGGGCTTCATTCATCGGGGCTGTTTTTGAACGCATGAAAGATACCTGGCCATTCTTAGATGAGGAGAAAGAGCTATTCGCATCAGAGACTTTGCTCGATATGTGTCTCTCGACTAACCCCCAAACTGAAGATCTGGCGAATTCTAGTAAAGAACTTCTTCGATCTGTAGACATATCAGGTCCGGTTATCTCCAAATTCCTCGGCACAGTAACCTCGGCCTCTTTCAATATTGATTCTCAGTCACCTGCACCGAAGAGACGGAGAATGAGCCAGAGCAACACGGCTGTCATAAGCCCTGCCAGTCGGGAAGGAGCCAATATCCCTCTTCGGAGAATTTCGTTTATTCTTGAGTTAATTGATGCTTCTCAACCCGAAAGATTCCCCGAGCTGCTTGGTGGCCTATTTCAAACTCTTGCCATTGTTCACAAGTTGAAGCTCCAAGTTCGCTCAGAAATGAGCTACCTTCTCAGCCTCAACCTTGGTATCCTGCTATCTATTGTCAATAAATACAAGGTTGGTACTAGCGCATTCTTTATTGCATATTCATCTACTAACAATATCTACAGGGCTCACCAAAGAAACTTGATTCTTCTGTTATCAGAGCCGACCTTATTATCGACTGTGTTCGAACATCTGAGAGTCAGCAGGTTCAGAACACTGCTCTCCTGCTTGTTGCAGCCCTGGCGACAGTAGCTCCTGAAATTGTTCTACACAGTGTTATGCCCATCTTTACCTTCATGGGTACGAGCGTCCTCCGAAAAGACGACGAATATTCAGCCCTTGTTATTGACCAGGTAAGCATCTGTTGATAATATCTCTATAGCCTTGAAGTACTAACCTTTACTTCTCTAGACCATTGATCAAGTTATTCCTCCTCTTGTTCGCTCCCTCCGAGTCCAAAAGAGGGATGTGGTTACAGGAACATCTGAGCTACTATTGTCTTTCACCACTGCATATGAACATATTCCCTCATATCGCCGCCTTCGGCTATTCGAGTCGCTCGTGAACAAACTTGGGCAGGAGGACTTCCTCTTTGCTGTACTGGCCATGCTAGCCACCAAGTATGGCATGGATCGGGATGTTCTGGTCACTATGACTGCTCTTGCATCTAACGCGGAGGCTCAACTTCAGCTTACAGTAAGCATCTTGAAGAATATCGGACATACAGGACTTACCCGGTTACTAATGTTTTTATAGACGTACGCCCGGTACTTGAGCCTGGTTCAAGACGCACTTCAGCCAAAGCCAACCATCTCCCGCATCCTCCTTGGTATTGGAAGTGAGGATGGAAGAGAGCCCCATAAAGTTGCCGTTGATTTACTTCAAACGCTCTCTCATCTGCTCAAATTTACCTCCCTTGGTAATAAGATGGTTCAATACTTCGAGTCTGACGATACAGAAGATGCCAAAAAGGTACACAGTCTATTTTCTGGTATGCTGGAGCGTCTCCTAGCCCTAGGCGAATCTGTTCGTTCCATTAAAGCCATAAATATCGCCTGTGGTGATGCTCTTGCTACCCTGCTAGGCACTCTCTCTCTTGTTGATTTCGTCGACACGATTGAGGTTCTACTGCAGAGACCAAAGGATAACCTCCGTAGACAAGTCCTTAGGCTACTTGAGAACCGTCTTGACAATAGCAACGATAGAGATGCAGCATCCCAATCGAAGGCTCTCTCTTTCCTGTCTGTTCTTGTCGGAATTGTCGAAACATTTCCGGACATATTATTGAAACATGCGGCTGTTGCCTGTATGGAGAAAATTTCAGAGAAGTATGGGAAGAAGAATCCAGAAAAGGTCGTTGAGGCAGCGATCGTGGTCGCCGGTGACAAGTGTATGGGGCTCGCAGACAATCGCATCCGTATCATGGGTACGTTGTGTCTTGCATCTATGACGGAGGTCATTGCGGATGCAATAATCCCTGTACTTCCTGTCGCGCTCCCTCGCTCCCTGGAATTACTACAAAGCAGCATTCAGGCCAAGGAACAAAACCCAGAGCTGCATGATGCCATATACTCACTACTTTCTGCGCTATTCGTTCACATTCCTTACATGATCTCGTCGGAAGATTTGGACAAAATTCTCTGCCTTTCTTCAAGATCAGCCCACGTTAGCTTGTCAGAGGATTGTAACATCAATCGACAAGAGGCCCTTCAGCTATTGGCAAAACGTGTGGATGCGAAGGAGGTATATAATGCAGTTGAACGCAACTGGCACTTCTCAGTATCGAACGGCTCAAAGGTAAGTTTGACATATCTCCTGATAACTGATACACGGGGCTAATTATGTGTAGGCTGCCAAAGAAACCCTCGAAGTTGTCAAGCTATCGATTGAGAAACATTCTAAGTCGGATACTATCAAGAATTTTCCTGCACTCTCGAGGCTGCTGTGGAAATTATTCGACTTCCGACGAGCTCAACTCAGCTTACCCGCCAACGATAGATTTGAGGGACACCAGGTTGATGACATAGAGTCTTCCATCAACGACCTAACGATTAAAATGATATATAAGCTGAATGATACCATATTCCGTCCACTCTTCACACAACTCACCGAGTGGGCTACAGGGGAGCTAGACAAGTCTGATTTGCCTGGCAGACAAGCAAGACTGACGACATTCTACAAGTTCCTCGAGACTTTCTTTGGTACCCTCAAGGTTTGTACTTGATTTTTCGAATCGATGTATCATGTTTCTATACTAACTAAGAATGTCTACAGTCCATCGTTACCGGTTACTCCAGTTATATCATCGAAAACGTTGTCGACATACTGAAGAATGTGCGACCGAATGTAAAAGAAAACCAGGCCTTATGGACAGCTGTAATGCGAACACTCCGAAACTCATTCGAGCATGACCAGGATGGTATGTTCTCCAGACTCCTGAATTTGGATCACATAAAAAAGAATCTGTGCACTAACTAGTACATGACAGAATTCTGGCAATCACCTAGTCACCTCAGCTCAATTTCCAGCCACCTTATCAGCCAGCTCTCCATTGCTAACAGCAAAGCATCCTTCAAGTTGGTTATATCGGAAGCTACTCCAGCTATTGTCGCACTCGCGATTGCAGCGGATTCTCCCGATAACCAAAAGGAGCTGAACACACATATTATGAAATATATGCGTGCTAGTGGTGGCAATGCTGATTCTTGCAAAGGAGTAAACCCATTTACTCGGCTTGCTGCGGTCAAGTGCGAGCAAAGCCTGACAGAAGAGCTAGGCGAAGAGTGGCTTGCTTTGCTGCCTGAGATGCTACCCTTCATCAGCGAATTGATGGAGGATGATGATGAAAATGTCGAGAAAGAGGTCAGGAAATGGGTGCTTATGATCGAAGATATCCTGGGAGAGAAGTTGGATGATATGCTTGCATAATGCTGAGCGTGCTTTATATTTCGTGGTGACAGCAATCTCCCCAGGTAGGCTTATTTGGTATTTTTATTCGTGTTGGTGAATACTTCTCTTGCTTTTGGGCGAAATACCACTTTGACGTTTGCATTTGGTTAGTTACAAGGTTTCAAAGGATAGAGACTAAAAAAGAATAGCATTTGCATATAGAATGAAATTAATCATTAAAACTAATTGCATGTTGAGTTTGTTCGAGTCCAAAGTCCATGCATAGTGAGGGCTACCTACCTATTTACTGTGGAGGAGGGTTCAAATCCAGCCCTTCAACTGTCAATTTGAACGAATCGTTGCGCGAATAACTGCCAGCAACATCCAGCTCCAGTCGTCCTCTCACGCAATCCTCAAAATCAACTTCAACTACCTGCAGGCTCTCCTCATCTTCGTCCGTAACATTCCAAATCGGACCTGTCAGCACTTTTCCAGCAGGGCTGATGATACAACCCCCTCCTCCAGTGACGAAAGCATCTTCAGAGCCATTCTGGCCTTCCAGTTTGATATCATTCGTGACCCAAGAAGGCAAATGGCTGCGTTTTAGACATTGATTGACACTGAGGACGACCGTACGGCCCTCCAGGGCAATGGTTTGCATCAATGGAAGCCAGGTATCTCTTCCATCAGCTGTAGGGGCCAGGTAGAGGTTGACATTCTGCTGATATATAGCCTGCCGAAGCAAAGGCATGTAATTCTCCCAGCATATAGCCGCGGCAAGAGTAAGCTTCACACCATTGATTTCTGTAGTGACCGCTTTCAAAGTCGATGCTGGACCTTGAGCCCACACCAGCCGTTCCGTCCCAGTCTGCAGTATTAGTTAGGACAACCGCAATTTATCCATAGACCTTTAATCATGGGAGGGAGGATACTATAGCTACTTACTGGCATCACCTTCCTTCTCTTTCCTATCATGCCCTTCTTCGGATCAACGTAGACAACCGCACAGTACAAGCTGCCAGCACACCTCTCGATAGCACCTACAACAAGCAACACGCCATTATCCCTAGCCACTCGCTCAAGGAACTCTCGAGTACCATCGCCTCTATAATTCTTCCCTTCAGCAACAGGTAGCTTCCGTTCAACCCAGTCATCTCCGCTGGGGATGGGGGTATCTCCAAAGTCAACTGCGGCTTTGAAATATTCTAGATACTGGTCTCGTCCCGCATCGTTGCGAGATCCAATTGCAGCCCCGAAGTTGCAGCCTCGAGGATATCCGCCCAGATACCCCTCTGGGAAGAGAAGGATATTGGCTAAGCGGTTAGCTGCCTTGATGGTGACTTGTTCAAGGGCGTTGAGTGTCTCAGTAAGAGTATCGCGGGTGCGGCACTGCGCGATGGCAACGTTGAGTTTTTGTGACATTATATAATTAACTAGTACTTTTGACTCAGAGTGATTGATGATGGTTCTGGATGTGACGGATGGATAGATGGATTGATATTATGTAGTTGGTAGTTACTATGTTATCAACCGGACTCCCCGCTTGATGCTGGTTTTATATTCCCGAGTAATAGCCGAAACAACGAAACTAAGCATGGATTGATGATAGACGAAGGCCACAACTATAACTACGAGATGCGAGATGTACCGACGGATAAATTACGATACCCAATTCCGTGGAAAGGATCGGAAAGGACCGTACTCAAAGATCACCGGTTACATGGTTTCCTCTAGTCTCATACAATTCATCTACATCACTGGGACGAAAGACGGATGCATCCAGCTCAAGATCAGACGATTGAGATGACGCGCTGACCGAGCGAGGCAAGAGACGCGTTAATATGGAGCAAAGCTGTGACAGGATTGGATGGATGTTTTGATCATCCTCGAGTATTAAATGTATTTATATTCTGCCGAAGATGTGATTTAAGCTGCTGAAGGTGAAGACGATATACATCCCTTTGCACCATGTACCCAAGTCCGACGCCAACATGGAAGGTATTTTCATTAACGTGGTAGCGATAGTGAGGTTAGTAGGCTACTTTTGTCCTCATGTCCTGTATGATGTTAGATAAGTGGTCAATAATGTTTGCTGAAGGGGGGATAGTACGTACCGAAATCTTACGCTCGATTTCCCGAACTGATCGATCGAGCTCACCAGCTATAGCTTGCTTCTTGTCATTAGGCAGAAGCAAGAAAGTCTCACAGAGATCTCCGTCAATGACGCCCTTACATGGCGCATAGTAGCCTCTGTAGATAAGATGGTCTCGTCCAGCCAATGGAGGGTTCTGTGAGGCAAGTTGCATCTCGAGGGTTTGGAAGAAATCGACGTCATCACGGGTGATGAATGGAACAAACATCCCGACTGTACCCTGGAGGCCGGTCCAGACAAGAATGTCTCGTCCACCGGCAACCAATTGGGTCTTTTGGATGCTTGTGGGTATGTCTTGAGAGTAGAAGTGGATGACCAGGCTGAGCCTGTTCGGTGCGCCCTGGAGATATTGTCGTTCATGAATAAGATGTGCGCCGGAGCCGTCTTCGTCAGCTTCTTCAGACGCCTTTGTAGGACATCGAAGCAGCCATATGTTACCGAACTTGTCGCCGCCAGCGACGGTCTCGTAATCCACCATTGTGGTACATGTGGTCCAGCGGGGTATGATGTCGTCAGCAAAGGAGATAAGGGCGTTTTCCTGGTACTTGTAAACAACGTATGTGACGCTCTCCTGGACATCGCTGACGATAATTCGGCTTCCTTGGGTCTGAAGTCCGACAATCACGCGCGGTGTTATCTGGGCCTGACATTTTCGGAGAAGCTGCCTCATTCCGAGGTCATATATCCTTAGATCAGGACCAATGCCGGCAAGGAGACGACCTTGGAATCCGAGCAGAGCTAGTGGCGGTTGTTCAACCTTTGTTTTGTGGATGAACTCTAGCTCTTTACCTTCTTCTTGGAATCGATATATATGAATGAAACCACATGTGAAGGTGCGGGGACTGACGACCATGTCCTTGCCTGTTCCCACTACAAGGAATGTTTCGTCTTCTTGACTGGTGAATGATACCGCTGCGATACTTACAGCAGCTTCGTTGTCCTCGAGTTCGAGGCTAGACAAGACAGACTTGGTGTGGATAGGGTCCACGACTTGAATGGACGAGGCCCAGTGATTTGTCCCCCTTGGATAGCCAAAGCCCTCTGGAGGTAACTCAGCACTGTCACCATTGACTGTGGTTGATTCGCTGAGTAGTTTGGCCTTGGTAGCGGGTGAGAGAATGTTGTTATCGGATCCAATGACATAGAAAAGGGGGTATTCAGGGTGTCGGACAAAATTTCGAGGGGTATAAGCAAGAGGAATTGGCTCTTGCAGGAGGTTGTTGTCCAGTTTCTCTATGGAGAATATTCTGTCAAAACGCATTAGTCACTATCCAAATAATCAAGTGGAAGAAGAATAGATGGTGCGAAGGAGGTTTTGCTCAGTAGGAACAATTGGATAAATGAATAAAAAGTTTCATCCTCATGCCGGTGTAGGCGATAGGAGTTGGAACTCATCATGCAAAACGAAGACATAAACATAACAGTGGATGGAATGATATAAACGTACCGTAAATTCTGGCCCTGGATACCGACCATGCCCTCCACGCACTGCTCAGAGGAGAAGTTCCAGCTCCATTCTAATCCAACGTAGTTCAAGGGCGTGAGGGTAAAACTCTTTGTCTGGACATCAGAGTATCCTAGCCAGGACCGGGAGCTGAGCGCGAGGACGGCTCTCTGCTCCTTGACTGAGACACTGAACAGCTTGACCGGCTTGACGCCGAGGAAGCGGGTCCGAGTATCTGACAATTCTCCGGTCACTTCATCTAGGACAGTACGTAGGTAGATTCCAGAATAGAGTCCGATATGGAGGTATAACGTCGACCCGCCAGAGGTAGAATCTATCATTGACATGATGGATAGAGCAGATGGAGCGGATGTCAAGGCCTGGACAGATTTATTCTCCAGTGTGGAATCTGGATCAAGACTGAGGATTCGAACAGTCGAGTCGTCGCATCCAACAGCGAGGAACGAGCTTCGAACTCGTCCCTCGGGGACTTCTCCCAAGCTCAGACAGGTCACTGTGCCGGACATCTGTCTCTTTTCGTCATATTCGGCCAGTGAGCCATCGGTGTCCATTTCAAAGTAGACGATCTCACCGGAGCTCAGGGCAATGGCCACCTGTCTCTCATTTGAGGTAGCGGCAACAATGGATCTATGCTGTGGAGCCGGCCACTCGTTTACTCTCTGGTCCGCATGGATGTGTCGGATACCCTTTGGATGGACTTGGATGAGAGAGTCTTCACCCAATTGCTGCACAGCGAGAGTGGGAGCAGAGGAGAGGAAACCGGTATCTGTGACTTCTTCCACGGTCTCACCAATGCTCAAGACGAGGGTGCCATTTGAGAAGGACAGCACGATGTATGCGTCAAATTGGTCATTCCGGGACAGCTTGGTAGTCCAAACGGCTGACGGAACACTGGGAAGCTCGGACTCGACAATCTCAGATACTTCGAGGCCGTGTTTTAGCGTTCTAAAGCTACTTCTGGCACCAGTGCCGCATAGAGTGTATATTTGAGGGGCATCTTCCTCTGTGATGTTTGCAATAGAAGCAGCCATGAGCGGGTTTAGGGAGGCAATGCTCTCTACCAAATTCAAGTTTTCGGCTGGTCGAGGCCGGAAGTAGACTGGGGGCAAGGGTTCTGAGATGATGGCCGAGTAGTCATCACTGATGAATTCAATCTCGTCGTCGTCATCTCCTAGCTTTTCAAACTGGTAGAAATGCTGGTTTCCGGTTTCACTGGCTACAAACAAGAAACCACTCTTGAGAATACATAGACTAGAAGCTAGTGGAACGGTGTCAAAGTATTTGAGTTTGAGTCTCTTTACTTCTCCGGTGGCCTTTTCGTTCTCGTCTTCTACCATTTCCATGGTAACTTTGAAAAGATCGCCGTCCTCGGACTGCAGGAGGAAGAAAAAAGCACCGCGCATCTTGTGCATGACTCCAGCGGTGATGCATCGTTTCCTCTCTGGATTTTCGGTAGGCCCACGTCTGCGGGGAATAGGGACCTTGAAGGCGTCCTGGTTCGAGTGACGATAGACGATGTTGTCCTCAGCACAAACTAGCACACCACTGGGACCGTCAGCACCGCCGGGCACCTGGAAGAGCATGGAGGCCGTGCGGTCGACCGGATCAGCCCACCGTCGGACGACGTGGTTGAGCCCGAGGTCGAGTTCGTAGTAGACAAGCATCTTCTCGGTCTCCTCGTACGCCTGGCCGGTGGGGTCCTGGTCGACCTCGGTGTACTCGACCTCGAGGGCGGCAAAGATGGGGTTCTCGTAGCCCACGTCAAGCGCGGTGAGAGCAAAGACGACCGTCTGCGGCCTGTGGGCCTCCAGGGGCGAGGATATGGTGAGCTCGGCCTGCGCATTGCGGTTGAGCACGTAGACGAGCTTGTTCTTCTCAACGGAGGCGATCAGACAGGCCCTGCCCTTGGGGTCAACGGCGAGATACTGGCCCGGGACGACGCGTCTGACGCCGGACTTGCCAAACGTCTCGAGATGGATGCGATTGAAGCGGTTCTGGGCCGGCACGTACTCGACAATGGTGATTCTCCCAGAATCCGAGCCGATTATGATGTAGTCTATCAACACTCAGCACACAACACTCTCATATACACACAACACACACAATTGAGATCCACGGAATCAACACAAAAAAAGGCCGCCATTGAGACCCCGCGGGAGCTTCTTTAAGATAAAAACATCACTAACTGGCCTTAGGGAGCGGGAGAGGGAAATCACAGCGGGAGAGAGCATACCTTTGCTGCTGCCGGCGAGCCTGAACGCGGCGAGGGAGCGGATGATGCCAAAGACATCCTGCGAGAAGAGCGTCTGCACCTTGCCCTGCGACGGGTCGGTGCGGTGCAGGGTCAGCTTCGAGCCGGCCGCGGTGACGATCTGCTGCTCCTTGGTGCCTGAGAACTGCCCGAGGATGGCCTGCGTGATGGCTGTGGGCGGCTGGATGGTGAGCGAGTACATGAACATGGACGAGGTGGTCGCCATGGTGCTGGATGGACCGCGGTCAGCGCGCTTCCATCGCTTGCGTCAGCCGGTCGAAGCTATAGCCGTAGCCGTAGCCGAGCTGCAGCCGGTGGTATAACCGTGAGTGAGCTGTAGCCGTGATGTTGATGTAGCTTGCAGTTAGCTGTAGTTTGTACGTTGGTTGTCGCTGGAGGTTGGAGTTTTTTTTTCTGCGGTTGTGGAAGTTTCTTCCTTGGCTTTTCTTCTTCGGTGGCGGAGTCGGACCGTCGAGGATAAAGACATCGAGCGACCTTGAGTGGACAGCGAGACAGACAAGCAAGCAAGCAGAGAAAGACGCCAGGAATAAGGGAAGATAGCGGATAAAAGACAAAGACTGGCGAGACTAAGCAGCAGAGAAGCAGCTATAAGACTCCTGAGACGGGAGCTGGGGCCGCAGACAGCAGACAGCGAAGCCAGGAGAGACAGCGAAGACACCCCGCGAGAGCTACACCAGAAGACAGCAAAGACGAAGAAGATACTGAAAGGAAGAGAAGAGAAGAAAGACACAGGAAAATGGCAGAGGAAGACGCGCCGTTTACGTTCCACGTCAAGTCGTCCGCAGAGCCCAAGTTCAGCCTGACGCTGAAGCCGTCGTCGACCGTCGCTGAGATCAAGCAGATCCTCGCCGGCGAAGAGTACGCAAACGTCCCGCCAGAGCGCCAGCGGCTGATCTACTCGGGGCGCGTTCTCAAGGACACCGATACCCTCGCCTCGCACAAGGTCAAGGAGGGCCATACCATCCACCTGGTCAAGAGCTCTGCGCCCGCCGGCAGCAGCAGCGGCGGCAGTGGCAGCGCCAACACCACCACGGCCGGCAGCAGCAGCAACACCACAGCCAGCAATGCGGCAGGCAGAGGCACCCAGAGCACGCCGTCTGGGGCCGCTGGAGTGCCGACCAACCTCGCAGCTGGGACGGGGAACTCGATGCTGGCTGGCCTGACGGGGGCCAGGTACGCGGGCTTCTCTCAGCTGCCTGGCGCGGGCATGTTTGGCCCTGACGGAGGAGTGAGTAACCCCTATCACATATAAGACAGAAGACAGCAGCTGTGATAGCTAACAAATTCGTACAGATGGGACCTCTGCCCGATACCGACCAGATCCTGAGCATGATGGAGAACCCTCAGTTCCAGTCGACCATGAACGAAGCCCTCCAGAACCCCCAGATTATCGACATGATGATACAGCAGAACCCCATGCTACGGGATGTGCCCAACGCCCGCCAGATACTGCAGTCGCCAGAGTTCCGGCGCATGCTCACAGACCCCAATATGCTGCGGTACATGACCCAGATGCAGAGAGCCATGGGCCAGGGTGGCGGTGGTGGACAGTCTGCTTTCCCTGCCCCCGGAGTCACCAACACTACACAGCGGGAAGCCGGCAGTCAAGATAACACCAGTAACAACAACAACAACAACCAGACTCAACCTCCAATGCCTCCCTTTAACCCTTTCCTCGCCATGCCTGGTGCTGGTGGAAACCCCTTCTCGTTCCTGGCCGGCATGCAACAGCCTCCCGCTGGTGCAGCCTCAAGGGACGCAGGTACAGCTGGATCCAGCACCAATAACAACAGCGGCAGTAGCAACAACAACAACCAGCAACAACAGCAGCCGCAGCACCAGCCAAACCCCTTCGCCTCTCTGTTCAACCCAGCACTGCTCGGCCAAATGCCAAACGCAGACGGTCAGGCCGGCCAGCCGATCCCGAACCCCTTCGTGCAGAACCCGGCCCTCTTCTCTCAGCTCATGCAAGCCATGGGCGCCGGTCCTGGAACAGATGCAAACTCCAACGCCAATGCCAACGCCAACGCCAGCAATCCCCTACTACATTCTCTCTTCGGCGGGCAGCCTCCTCAGCCGCCTGACAACCGTCCGCCGGAGGAGCGGTACGCCGAGCAGCTTCGGCAGCTCAACGACATGGGCTTCTTCGAGTTTGACAGGAACATCGAGGCCCTGAGACGGTCCGGCGGCAGCGTCCAGGGAGCCATCGAGTATCTCCTCAACTCCCCGTGATCGAATTTCCGGCGTCCTCTCCCCCTTTAACGTTTTCTGCATCCTCCCATCACTGCATGCGTGTCGGTCGATATTTAACCACCACGTCCTTCTTACGACAACCCTGATGTACTTTTTTTCCTACAATAATAAATATGAAATTCCTGCATCGTCTCTGTCCTTTATCTTCTCTGCCGTATCTGCAGCCATCCCAGTCTTAGCTGGGCCGATGTAAGAGTCTCGATCGTATCCTCCACTCCCCGGGGTCCCTACCCAGGCCCGTTCCTCTTAAATATCTAGATCCATGCCGCGGCCACCGGCTTGCAATGGCCGTTTTCTACCTCTTAAATCGCATATAAACCAAGCACTTCCATCTCGTCCCGTCTTCTTGCTCCTGAACTCGCTGTGTAAATAGTTATCTAGTTAAATTCGCCAGCAACGTCCGTGTTTCATCCAGAGCTCATCATCTTCCTGGCACAGGAAAAGAAACGAAGATAATAAGAAAAAGCCCGGCTTGACTGCTCATTCGTCTTTTTCCTCTCTTTTTATATTAAGTCATACCGTCTCACTTGACCGGCAGGAGGTCATCTTGTCTTTTTGTCTTCCGAGCCTTGCGGCGGCTCTACATCCTTCGATCGCTACCATCAACTCCCCGTCTCTGTCTCACCCTCGTCCCTCGTTTGAATCACGATCAATACGTACAGACAAGAGGCAGGGGGCCTCACTGTCATCTAACCCCTACTCTTCCTCGTCTCCTTCTCCGTATCGGTTGCGTGGATGTAGGTTCGTCGTGAGCTAACTTAGGCCGAGATGGACTTGACGGCGCAGCTCGCGTATCTCCTCTCGTTTCTGCTTCTTCTTTCTCTGCCTCGAGCAACGGCCTTTTACGTGCCTGGTAAGTATCCTTCTAACGCTCTATACGGCCTTGATAGTACACGGCATATAGCCGTCTACTTTGCTGTACTCAATATGCAGGTGTTGTTCAGCGTGGTGGGCGCGGGCTGACTGACTCGCGCCAGGATACTCGATACGGACATATCAAGACGGCCAGCGCATCCCCGTCCTCGTCAACAAGATCTTCTCAGACAACTCGCAGCTTCAATATGCTTACTCGGACCTGCCCTTTGCCTGTCCGGCCACTGCAAGGGCCGGCAGCAGCCAGAACATCCCCCTCAACCTGGGCGAGGTGCTGCGCGGAGACCGCATCAGCCTGTCCGACTTCGAGCTCGAGATGGGACGGAATGTCGCCTGCAAACCGCTTTGTACCCGTCAGATCGGACGCAGAGACGTAAACTGGGCGAAGAGCTTGATCTCTGACGGCTTCGTGGCCGAGTGGATCGTGGATAACCTGCCCGGCGCAACCAGCTTCATCACCGTCGACAAAACTCAAAAGTACTACACCACCGGCTTCAAGCTAGGGTACCAGGCCGTTTCATCGACCAGCCGGCGGCCGACGCACTATATCCACAACCACTTCACCTTCGTGATTCGGTGGCGAGATGCGCCGCATGGTGGTGACGGGCAGAAAGTCATCGTCGGCTTCGAGATATACCCCAAGAGCCTCAGCCGCGACGGCAGGAAGCAGGACGGGTGCCCCAGAGATGTGCATACCATGCATCATGGCTTCGAACTGTATCTGCAGCCCAATAACACCCGTCTCGCACAGCAGTACCCAGGCTCATCTTACCTGCCGGAGAATGACGACGAGGTGGACGACGGTGCCACTCTATCCATCCCTTACACGTATTCTGTCTTCTTCAAACGAGAGGACAAGGTAGAATGGGCGAACAGATGGGATCTATACCTGTACAGCCAGCAGAGCAGTACCACCACGCACTGGCTCTCATTGTTAAATTCCCTGGTGATATGTGGTGTTTTAAGTGTTGCTGTGCTGGTCATATACCGTCGTACTGGCTATGGAGACTACAAAGGTCGAACAGACGGCTTGCTCGAGGATGGCAAGGCCAGCAGGCTTCGATCTCGAAAATCCAGCGGCTCGGCTCCGGTTGTGGACGAGAAGTCGTCTAACGGTCTACTTGATGGCGGTACCGGTGCCGTTTCGGACGACGACCTATTGTCTGAAGAGGACTTTGATGATGCTTCGTCGTGGAAGAGACTTCACGGCGACGTCCTTCGAACGCCAGCATATAGTGGTCTTCTTGCGCCGTTTGTTGGATCGGGCATGCAGCTTCTCTTCATGGCTACAGGGTTGCTATCTCTAAGCTGCCTAGGAGTGCTGAACCCCAGTTTTAGAGGCGGCTTCATCAGCGTGGGCGTCGGCCTGTTCATCTTTGCAGGTATATTCTCAGGATACTTCTCTGCTCGGCTCTACAGGACTTTAGGGGGTATGAACTGGCGGAAGAACGCGTTCATAGTAAGTCTCTTCCCTTAACCCATTCTCTTATGAAGAGATCTCTAACCAGTAATAGACTGCCCTACTATTCCCCGGACTAGTCTTCTCCCTAATCTTCGTTTTGAACCTGTTCGTATGGGCTCAGGCATCAAGTACGGCTCTTCCATTTGGCACATTGGTCGGTCTACTTGCTCTTTGGCTTCTCATCCAAGTCCCTCTCGTTTATGCAGGCAGCTGGTATGGCTACGAAAAATCCAAGCCATGGAGCCATCCCACGCGCACTAGTTCTATTCCACGACAGATACCTCCACAGCCATGGTACTCGGGATCGCTGGGAGGAACCATTCTTGCTGGTTTTGCTCCTTTCGCCGTCTTGTTTGTGGAATTGGTCTTCCTGTTCCGGAACATGCTACAGGATAAGGGCGGATATTATTACATCTTCGGCTACCTAAGCATAGTCGGGCTTCTGACTCTTCTTTCCATCGCCGAGATGGCCATTATAACTACCTACACTCTACTATGCGCAGAGGTATGGCTCTCTATCCCCTTGTCAGCACAGTTCCTCCGAGCTTGACTAATTTTCCACTCTAGAACCATCGCTGGTGGTGGCACAGCTTCATGGTCGGCGGAAGCAGCGCAGTCTGGATATTTATGTACTGCATATGGTACTTCTTCACAAAACTGCATATCCACGGATTCATCTCGAGCCTCCTGTTCTTCAGCTACAGTCTCCTGGGCTGTGCCGTATACGGCCTGTTAACGGGTACCGTAGGGTTCCTGGCAGCGTACATATTCGTACGGCGGATATACAGGTATACTTCCCCCTCTCCATTACTATCATAGCGTCCCATTCACTAATACACCGATACAGTGCTGTCAAAGCCGATTGATTATGTAGCCATCTGCTTTTTCTCCTTTCACTGTAGATGTTACAGGGGTGTTCTATTATATCTTTCATTTAATACCCCTTTGTCAGGGGATTCTATCACTCTTACTCGGCATAACATCCTTCTTTACATGCTTAATGTTCAATGCGTTCCAGCGTCCAAGTCCTATGCAACAATCAACTCCTCTTTGTGGCCTTCTTTCTCTAGCTCCCAGTTTATTGTTCTGTTCCTTTATACCTTTAGATGCATTAATCCCGTTAATCCTCTTTGCTTGGCCTTATATCTATTGCATTAAACTGCTTTCACTTTGGTCATTGTAGCAGAGTAACATATTCCATTCACCCGCTTCAACGTATTTACCGAGCAGTATAGTAATTAAAGGAAGCAATGCGGTTCAAATTCAAGTTCTAGGCTATGAAATACAATGAAATATGCAAACTCCGACCAACCAAACGCCATTGTGTACTATAAATGGGTATCCCAGAGTAGTGCCGAATGCTTGGTAAAGGTCAACAAATAAAAAAATGCCACCGTCTATTCCTTAGTCACCAGTTTTTCTGCAAAAGGGCATCGTCCATCGAGAAGGTAGTTCCGCTTGCCCATCATTGCCATTCTTTTCATAAACGTAGAAGGGAGAAGGCTACAATCCGGAAACTGCGCGGCGCAAAGAATCGTTGTACAAATTATCTCACTTCACGAGCGGCAATGGCAGCCATGTCGTTGTTTATATGGGCTGCATTCGTGGCTCGTTGATCCCGAGTATTGGTTGACTCGAATAATCTTCTCCACCAGACGGGAGGATCTAGCGGCCGCACCCCTCCATACATTTGAGGGTACACATCCGTGAAGTAATACCAGATATGTCCTACCACAGCACCACATATTTCGTCCTTAGGAATGGTTCCATGCACAATCAGGCTGAATGCCATGAGCACAAAGGGCAGGTATGGTGCTGTGAATACGAGTAATCCCAGGAAGCTCAGCCTTGTGTCTGGGTTCTTCCGGCCCCAGATGTACACCAGACTAGCGGAGAGGGAAGAGCCCAGGAATGGTAAAGATAGAAATGGCGAGGCAAGGAGTAGTATGGACGTTGCGTAGAGTAGCAACCAGGAGAAAAAGGCAGGAGAACGACCGGCAGATTCTTCCAGAAGCCGTGAGTACCGCTGGAGAAAGAAGACGTGGAACAACAGGTCTAGATTTAACGGTCCGAAATAGAGGAATGTTGTAACGAGTCGCCAGTACTTTATTTACACACCAGAGTCAGCATGTATATCCGATAGCCAAGGGGCTGCGTTCCATAGCCTGACTCACCTGTGACTTGATAAACACCGACCGGAAGCTGTAGAATAGCTGGTAAGGGGTAAGAACATGACATTGCACCAGAACCGATGTCAGCACTGTTGCAGCTGTCCACCACCTTGTGCACGGCGGCATCTCATAGAACCACTGTTCTAGCGGTAATTGTCCGCCCTGACCGGCGTTGCCCCAAATCGCCGCCATACTCGGTTCAGCACGGGCACGAATGGATGTAGTGAGCGCCTTCTCAGAAGAACAGATCCAGGTCACTGGAGACGTGTTCCTAGCATATCACGCGTAGCCGACTTTCATGAAACCAGGGTATCGAGAGAAAAGTGACTGCGAGCCCCCCGTTGGCCTGAATTGAAGCCAGCTTGTTGTTTCTTTTTGTTTCTCGACGTTCGTTTTGATAGTAGGAAACTTCAGAAATCTTATCTGGCATTATATTACATAATAACTGACGTAATAGTCACGTGTAGAGGAATAACTATTGTCCGTCAGATTCCGCTAATCCAAATACGGCCTAGCACCAATGTCGCGTGACTGACGCGTAAAGTGGCTGGGCGCGAGCTTCAACCAATCAGAGAGCTCCCTGACTTCGACGTCGCGTTTTCCACTTTGAGATGGCTGGGGAAGCAAAAAAAACGTCCCAAAGGACTTTTCGTCTTTTCGGCTCTTTGACTTCTTTCTTTTCTCCTGTAACTCGACCAGCCGGTAGACCTGTCTCTCGAAGCTCCTGAGACTCTGTTTGATTCTTTATCTCGGCCTGGATGCGGCATCCTTGTTTCTGCGACTCCTGTTTTCGAACAAATTCCGTTTTTGCGCCGTTTTATACCTACCGTTCTTCCGCGCTCAAGTCAGATACCAAGTCATTGAAGCCAACATCCTCGCACTTTTGGCGAGACATACTCAATTGAGTTGAATACCTTCCGGAATACTCCTCCAATCACTTCCCGGGAGATTCGCAGCAGCTACGATCATTTTCGAGTCTCTACCCCGCAATCCTGAGAAGCTACCTGGTAACACTGCGCGCGCATCATATTAGAGGAGATAGGACATGCCACCAAGGGCGGAAAAGGGGGCTAAGACGGTGCCCGGGTCATCCTCCACGGCAAGGAGAACAGGTGGGGGAGATAGCAGTTTGAGGGGCGGCTCTTCGTCACGCGGAGGTAGAGGGGGAGTAACGAAGTCGAAAGCCAGAGAATCGCGAACTTCAGATATACAGCGTATGTTATTTCTCCAATACATAAGTTACGATAATAATTCCTTATCTAACTTGAAAATTGTCTAGCCGGTGACCCCCTACCTGTCAAGCGGAAACACCGTTATCACCCTGGAACCGTTGCGCTAAAGGAAATCCGACGATACCAGAAATCATGGGATCTTCTTCTTCTTAAACTACCCTTCGCTCGTCTAGTCCGTGAAATTGCCATGGACCTGCTACCGTCAGAAGTCGGCCAGGAACTACGGTGGCAGTCGCAAGCAATACAAGCTCTGCAAGAAGCCGCTGAAGCGTTTCTAATCCACCTATTCGAAGATACAAACCTCTGTGCCATCCACGCTAAACGAGTCACCATCATGCAAAAGGACATACAACTAGCACGAAGGATAAGAGGCGCATGGGGCGGACTGGGCTAATCTGTCAGCCCTTTTCCTTTTTGTCTTCCTTTTTCCCTTGTTGTACAATGATTCCCCCTTTGCATGCGTTGCTGTTTTGTTTCCATTTGGCTTCAAGCCATCCTCTTTCGAGTATAGGCATATTTATTACTCTGCTTTCTGTTTTCTGGAGTTTGGTTGGGGCTTGGCTACATTAGCAAGCAAGGGACAACGCAGAAGACCTCTGCATACCCCCAAAGGAGTTGGGTTAATTGGTGGTTATTGTCGGCCCTGTTTATTTGCATTTAAATTGATGCCCTTGATTAAGGCAAACTCTGCAAACTGTATATATGCTCTGCTAGAAGGAAAGCAAAGTGATTATATTCAATCGATCATCCTCTATGTCATACGAATAACAATCAGCATTGCGTGTGTCTGTCATCCCATTATATAGAATGTAATAGAACGAACTATGCGGTGTGAGATTGCGCTCTCAAGTGCATTATTACCTCCCTCCTTAAATACGCCGTTCTCCCCATAAGGTCGACATGTTTCTAGCGCCATATTCGCTGTAATATATCACATACACATTATATCTAGACATCTTTCTTCGACGCACCACCTTTGGTGCTTAGATTTATGTTTTCAGTCCCATCAGGCCTGTTCATTTTTAACGCCGGTGGCAATGCTTCCAACTTTTTATCGGCTTTGGCCCTCAATGTCTGGGCATCGGCTGATTTTCCTTGTCTGTCCAATGTTTCAGCTAGCAAATCATCCGTAACGCTCATCCATAACTTATCATCTGCCTTTCTTGCCATGGCTCTAGCTGCCATAGCACTCTTCTCAGATTGTTCACCAATCACGCCACGGAAATATTTCCAACTCATAAACGTCAGGGCGATGCAGGTTATTTGGCAATTTTGGATTGCCGTGGCCGCTTGTAGCGCCTGGTGAAGATCACGTTTAGTCTGAATTGTAGATTCAGTATGCACGGTGGCACTTATAAGAGAATGAGCTGCCCGGATGTATTTATTGGGGCTATTCTGACAATGTGGGCCGAGAATGCTCAGTGTTTCTGAAGCAAGAGAGTGATCTGCTTTTGAAGGGTCTCTCAAAAGAAGCACAAGATTCAAGTTGGCTAGGCTTATGGTATCACGGTGAGGGTTGCTTCGTGGGATCTTGTTGGTGGCCTGGGACAGAGAAAACATGGGCTGTTGGAAGGTAGCCATGGCAGCTTCGATGTCGCCGACTGCTTGGTAGATTATGCCGCGTGCATATTCAGCCAGACACTTGATATCATCGCTTACTGAGTCTCCGAGCTCGGCCAGCGTACTCCTGACATCTTTAAGCGTCTTATTTGCCATTCGCCATTCGGTCCGAGAACAAAAGAGAAAAACCTGCTGGAGGAGCATGTTGCAATATAAGCTTCTCCTCCAGTGAATTCGAGAAGAGGAAGCTACAAGAGATTCAGATATCCCCTGGGGTGATGAGAGACCAGCTAGAAGACCCGTCAGTAATAATTTCATGAATAGGGCTACGAGTGAGTAATACGCTTACCTTTCATCATCCCCAAGCCCTCCTCGAGATATTTCTCTGCTTTATGACCATCTTGCGAATTCTTTGCACTCAATGTGACAGAGCTTAGAAAATAGCAGAGTGCATACAGATCATGTTCGGGAAGCCAGCTCATTGTTAGTTCAAATATGTGACCGTCGTGTCGAGGTTCTCGAGGTGATGCTGATTTCATAGTTCCGGCGCTCAAAGGTAGAGCGAACGACCCATCATCTTTCCACTTTGGGTTATGGATATCTTGGTCCATCGATCTTTGCATTTCTTTGAGTTTCTGGCTAGACTGGTTTGTATCGTATTCAAGGACACTGCAGCATATATCTATCATTTGGATGATGGAGTTAAGTTGGGGGATACCACGAATTTCAGGATCAAGCTGGCGACTTCGAGCTGTAGCAATGGCTCGCTGTGCATGCTCGATGGAGTCTGCGTTGGTGGACTGCTGAAGGTGGATCAATGCCTCAAGAACGGCGGCTATAACTAGGACCGCTTTATCACTGCATGATGCCGCTAACGATGATATTTTTTGAAGGTTATGCAATGCACCCACCAAGTCCTGGTGTGGCGGCGGTGAGAGTGATATCGAAGCCCTCAGTAACCGAAACGCATACTCCCAGCCAGTATGTCGATACCTACTCAAGTTAGAAGAATTTTAAGGATGCCTCAAAGTAAACTTACGTTTCTATGTCGCGAATCACTCCATCAACTGTTTTCATTGCGGCTCGCGGGTTGGATTTGGATACTATTCGGCATAGTAGTTGCTGCATACCGTATTTGAGATCAAACATCCTATTCTATATAATACCCCTGTAAGCTAAATCCATGGTTATCGTATCATCATAAACACGAACTACACACCCGTTCACATAGGTCAATCTATACAGTATTAGCATCTCAAAGACAGAGGAAACCAGAGAGCAGAAGGTCTAAGTATGGGATAGGATTATTGTGAAGCGTACCCCTTTGCTCAATATTGTCTCGGCTACAGTGTCGTTATTCGTCTCTTCATAAAGTATTTTAGCGAAGCGCAAGGTCACAAGCGCTTCTGTTTGCGGGGCCAGTCTCCAGTTCTACATATGTCAGCAAATACAGTTGCTTCTACCCTAGGCAATCCCGATAACTGCAGTCAACAGTACAGTGCGAAACAAACCTTCAGCAGTGCCTCCATACATCGCAACCCTGTGGCAATCAATTTGTAATACTGTTCTGTCTCGTGCTCATCTTGGGAAACTGCAATTAAAGTAGCTTGACTATGTGCTGCATCAAGGTATTCATCGGCAAAGGCCAGAAGCAAAACCTGATAGTCCACAGGTGTCTTTGTATTGTCATATAACCCCTGTTTCTGCTGCTGTGACAATTTTGTTCCCGTCATCTGTGGTGATGGCCGAGCTTGAGGTCGGGGAGTTGGTGTCTTAGCCGCTTTCGGTATATTGTGGTTGTTATGTATCGTCGGACTTGGTTGCGTAGGAAATTGTGAGTATCTTTGGGTGTGTGATAGACTCTGTACCTGAGGAGAAACTGGCTGGGAAACGGGCTGGGAAACTGGTCGCTGAGGTACCGGCTGAGAAGGGCGCGGAGCAAGTTGTGTTTGAGAATGGGGTGTTAGGGTCACTGGGTAGAGTGAATGTGGAGAGGCGTAGGAGTCAGGATGTCGGTTTGGCATCGCATACGGCAAGCCTGGAGCAGCGGAAACCACCCCATACTGGAAGTTCGCATGCGGCGGAGCAGGATAATGGGGTGGAACTTGCTGAGGGACGGCCGGGGTGGTGAAATCACGCGGTCGTATCGGGGGTTGTAGCAGCGGGCTTTGTGCTAATTGAGGAGGGTATGTTGGAATTACAACCTGTGGGTAGACCTGGGGAGAATGATGATAGGATTGTTGCGGAGGCGTTGCTGGAGGATAGGGCTGCCGTGGTGATTGGGACGGCGGATACTGGCCACTCTGTCTATAAGCCATAGCTTACAGCCAATAGCCTGTGTATAACACTGGGCTCCGCGGTGATAGACAAAATACACCGCGCTTAATCCATAACCCAAGGACTTGCTCCCGAAGTCGCGCTCTTCCTATATTAATTTCCGCTGACGTGCAGGAGTAGTACCACGTGACCGGATAATTAAGCGCTAGCTACTTGGCATTGATTATGTCAGAAACCTAACTTAAAAATAACCACCACCGTGCTGAGCCTCAAGGTATCACACGCCATCACAAACATCACCACCAGCGAAGGAGAACTTTGGTATATAGATATTCCGGTTAGATTGCTTTACTAAATAAAGGAATAATTATCACTACTTCAATTTCCTGCAATAGATGTTTGTGGCGAACCCATGTGGGAGCATGAATGGCTACGGTCCACATTAAGTTCAACGGCAATAAGAGCCGCTAGAAAATACCGAACTATCCGGAGCCTCAAAAGTAACGACGCTTGAGAATGAACAACTATGGCAAAAGAAAAACTGGAATCCGCGATATCATACTACTGCAAACAGCTGAGGTCAATCCAAGCCCCATGGAAGAAAGTAATCATTGTTTGCTCTATTGTCACTAACATACCATTGTTTGAACTTCGACATATTGTTGTGCCTCTCTCTTTTACATAAAACTTCCGATAGTTTTGGAGGGCTATAAATCTCTTTGTGACCAAAGAATAGGGATCCTAATATATAAGCGTCACATCGGCCGCATCCTACTCCTCTGCAGTTACATATTCACCAACAATTACTTCGAGACTTTCAACCATCCTACACCAGTTTACAAAGATCAAAGTCATTTAAGGACACCCAAGAGAACGACCATAAGTACATTTCATTTTTTTTTTTTTTTCTTACAACGACTCTACTTGAAAGTTCCTTGACAGTTTTCTACTTTCCTACCGAAAATTAGAGCTGCAACTATCTATTGGTTGCTAAGATGTCTAGTACGCCATGCACATCCCTATTATCTAAAAATATTAGCGGAGCTAACGTTTAATCCAAGCATTTAAAGCAGTCGATATTACGGGCCTAGATAAGGTCGAGCTGATGTTGGCTCTCTACGCGAAGGCATGGCCAAGCATGTACGATATTGGCCGACTCAGTGCTGAAGAAGCTCTTCGCTTTTTTGATGAACAGAAGGGCGATTTTGACTATGTGAATGGTCGCTGTTTCAAATGTAACCTTAGCGGGGACTCGGTTGATCCACGGCTTTATGACCGTGATGCTGGCGAGGGGCGGTTCCAGGAGATTGTTACCATGTTGCGTAAAAGCAACAGTTCCTAAAGCCGTGGTTTGTTTCATTATTGGGTGAATAATATGTCAAGTTTAAATCCTGCAATCAAGTAGTAAAATCAGCGGTTGGTTTATGAAATAGCTTCAAGCATGTTCTCTTTATCCTATCCGGGAACAGCAGGCAGAATTACCTTTGAGCCAATGTTTTTGCAGTGTAGAGGCGAAGGCTATGTAGTCGATACCCGGAGCCACTGACATTCATTTAGCACTAAAAAGGACCTGCAAAACCTCTCATTAAGTATACAAAGTGTAAGTATCATAAAGTCATTTCAATCCTTCCCATATTACTGATAGAGAATGTCATCAATTGTTTATTCCGCCGTAATTAATAAATGAATAGTTGCTACTAAATTTATACCGAGAAAGTTAAGTAGTCGATTAATATACAAAGAGTATAAATACTAACATTGCAATGTCATCAAAGCACTTCAATAGTGAAATGCACAATCAGAGCTTTGTAGGTAATTTTAAGGAAAATTTATTTTTTCCGCCCTCAGTAGTATCAGTAGTTACGTACCCAGATCTCCCAATAGGCTCTTTTCCCGGATCTGATAATTCTTTCAAAGTAGCATCATCAGCATGGTTCGCAACAAACCTTCGGCCGGTGGTTTTCAAAAGCCCAACAATGTATGCGAACATAGGTTTTCCATCTCGATTAAACTCAACAGTATAAGTCTAGAACCGAGTTAGTGCATGACCCGAATTCTTTCTAGTAAACTGGAAGATTCTACCTCGATGACCGCCTCGCCTTCTGCTTGAACATCGATACCCGGAATTACGATGTCTGTCACAAGCTCAGGAAGAGGATTTTTGACTGGATATGACAACCCATCTTTCCTGGAGCAGGATGAGAGGCAGATAGCATGTTGATAACTCAATAAACCGCCATTTGCGAGTATCAGACCATGTCTAGGAGTTCCTGTATATTTTCTGAGTTGCCGCACCATCTCAGTGATAGCCTGTACACCTATGTAAGTCGCTGTTATTATGCTTTGGGCTGGAATATCACTTACATGCATAGAATAGTTATTGCCTGCTCCCCCAAAGGAAGTGAGTCCACCAAGAAGAGTTAATGGTTTCGAGCCATCGCTAGGAAAGCCCAAGTGGATAGCTGCAAGCTTTGGAACAATCGGGAAGCATCTGTTCGAGCGTACACTCATGTTATTAGCATCTGAGTGATGTGGCTTATAGGTATTATCACCTACGAATAGAAGTCAAATAGGTGGACTTGTTCTTTACTCAGCCCGGAGGAGGACAAAGCTGCGTCCAATGACCTCGATATCGACGGACTACTGTAGAAGTTTGGCCGTTCCCAAACTATACAGAAGCTAAGGTCAGTATGGTCCTGAATGCTCAATGAAATAAAAATAAGTCACCCACTTACAGTTGTTGCTATCTTGAGTACCGGCACCCCCCAAGGGGTAGACCCATTTGTCTTCCGAGATTCCAAGCTGCCGAGCTGTCTGAGTTGTGGTCAAAATGCAAGCTGCTGCCAAATTTACCGTGTTGAAGGCATTCATCAGCAGTGGATCTATAATCAGTTAGCTCACATCATTTCATATACCACATACAATTTGTAACATACATGGGTAGCAAATCATCCTATTCTTCCCTGTGACTGTGCTAAGCGATTGCTCGGTCTCTGCCGGTTTTCCGAAATTCCACGAAAGGGGATTTTTTTCTGCAACTTTTGAGAACTCGGCATATAATTTCGCTGATTCTTTCATGTTTTCTCGTAACGATTGTTTGCGGTATGCTCTGAGTCCATTTTCGTATAGCGGATAGACATGCAAAGGTAACCCCACAGAGTGCATCGTTCCAACGTCTGCATTAATATTAGTAAGGCTACTGTACCCCAGCAGTAACGAGATATCATAACTTACTTTCTTCATTACCTGATCCCTTTGGCTGGAATACTTCGGACACTTTTTGAGCCGGCTCCGTCCAATGTGATGGTGGAGGCTTCCCTGCTCGAGCGAATGCATTCACTACCACCAAGTTTGTCTTAGTATAACCGACCAAAAAAATCTCGTAGAATATACAAATATACAAATAGAACATACACGATGCCAGGGCTTCTCCTCCAGTCACTACTGCTATCTGACTCTTGCCCTGGGCCAATCGTCGAGCAGCGTCATCAAACAATTTAGCAGGTGCATTGCCTGCATGATGACTATATAACTTGTGACGGGTTTGTATATTCAGTTTATCTGATAGAAGAGTAGGGAGATCCGAATAAGGCCACGTCCAAGTAGCAACAACATCCACGCTGTCAATACATGACTGAAGCTTCATACAGGTATCGGGGGAAAGTCCAGTGTCAGAAATTGCCTTGTAAATGGCATCGATCATCAGATATGCTGGTTCAACTGCATCTTCGAGCCTCCTTGATTCGTTTTTTATGTCCCCTACCCCGACAACCACAGGAACCAAGTTCTTTCCTGCCATACCCGCCCCTGATTCAAAGTTGTCACAGATTCAACTTCGACATCTCATTTGCCGGGGATGGATGAATATGGCCATGGTTGAATATGGGCATATATACAAGCGGAGAACCGAAATCTCCGCCCTTTTCCGTCCCTAGCGATGTGGGTTTGTTGAAGCTCATGTCTCTGCCGAGGTAGACACCTCGTCTCTCTGAGCTGGGTAACAATGCCAATTATCGAACTAGTTGGCTAGCCCCACAGATTAATCGTGTTTTATTTGGGTTTGCAGAAGTCAAGCTTGACACTAAAGACCGGGGAATGATAACATGCACCAGGGTGGTATCTTATGTTAGCCTCGGCGCTGTGTATGAACCGAGAACCCATGACGAATAGCTCCGGGAACAGAAGCCATAAAGATAAGTCACGTCTAAAATCGTTCAGAGGTAGCTGTCGTTATCAGCCTTTTCGGAGGACCCCCGTATTTCCGATTATACACGCCATGATCAGCAGATTGTTGCTTAATTAACTACAGGGTTCGACATAACAGTATCCACCCATCAACTGCAAGCTCAGTATCCAGTACTTGCAATAATGGTTGGACTCGTAAGGTGCGAAAGAACAGGGTTGCGGCCCTGAAGAACTGAAGGTAAAAGTAGAGCATTTGTATGTGCCTGAAAGACTGCGAATTTGGCGAACAAGGGTTTGCACGTGATGTAGGATTTTATTCGGACTTAAAGAAGGTCGGGTCGAATGCTACAACAGGGGCAATTAGAGATATAGAATGAAGTAATCAAAACTGCGTATCCTAATTATGTTTGGCGACAGGTGGAAATTTTGACACACTTACAATTCTCGTGACTAAATAAGTTACCGAGACAGCAATATAGTGGTCGAAATAACAAATCGTTCCAATTTAAATAGTTTAAATAGTGAACCATTAATAAATGGGTACCACGGCTGCATGGCCCATTTGGTGCTAAGGTTCCAATTAGCCTCTCATGAATGGCTAGCCTCTGAACATCAATTATGCGGGAAAGGTTCCCCAAACGTCTTGTATCCCACAGCATTGATATACTTGACATCCGGTTTATGGAGGGTTGGCGTGGTTAGTGCGCCATTGTTCTGATCCACGAGCGTAACTCCTTACAATTCATAGGCACTGCAAAACAAGATCAACGATACCTAGATATATATCCCGATCAATGTCAGGCGTTTCTAGACCAAGTCCCACAACCAGTAGCCTCTTCTCTTCAGGGGATTTCGCAGCTATTGCCGTCGCGATTTGGCAAGCATAGAGCTGACCAACGACCTCCCAATCACCGGATCGTCCACCAAGTAAAGGCGTAGCATTAAATTCCGGGCGGGGAAGAAGGGCATCTTCCTGGTTGCTGGTCAGTGTTTGGAAGTCAGCTGCTGGATCTGGGCTTTCCATCGGCACATGAAGCTGCGACGACGGTTAGAACAAGTAAGAAGATAACTTTATCATTCATGAGAGTATTGCGTACCCATTGTGCTAATCGTCCGTTCTGTGTGATGGTCACGAGTATCCGGTCTTGGAACGAGACCACCATGATATCGGTAGGCTGCCCACCCACAGTGCCCGCAGCTTGTTTCGTGGAAGCGGGATAAGGAACGTTCTCTGGGGGGGGAATCATCGACTGCACGTCCACAGCCTCAGTTGGGCCTTCTGATGACATCCTGCACCAACCCAACTGCTCCAACTACTCTCAAATTGCAGCTAATACATAGGTCGACCGATGTTCACAAGTTGTTGTTGATACACACAGAAGTGGCATGTTTGCTTATTTTGCCTTGAGGCTGTATTATATAATCGAGTCCAACTTTATCTCTCTTATCTTCACCGCCTTCGGGTGGCAGAATATTTAATTTTTGTATTTTTGAGCTTCAAATCTTGGTGGACGAGGAAGAGCTCGACTGCACTCGGTGGTGATATTTGTTGGTGAAGATGCCCAAGTTCGTTCCCCGCCAGCGAAAGCACAAAGCTCGAGATAGGCATAACCAGCCTAAGTTGCCACAAGATACCAATGTTGCCGAGGTAGCTCCAGTGTCCAAGAAGGAGAAGGAAGAGAAAAGACAAAAGTTGCGAGAGGAATTGAGAGCTCAGCAGTCGAAAATATCGGGAAAAAAACAAAAGCGATTGGATAAGTATATTGTATGACTATGATTCTTTGGTAATCTTTCGTTGTGGTTGCTAACTATTCTAGTAGGATACCAAACTACGGAAGGACGAGAACCTCACACTCATCAAAAAGCTCGCTAAATCGAAAATCGACACAAGCCAGCTTCAGAGCTCCCGTTCATTAGCACGATCAAATAAACCGCTATCCAAGAGGCCTCAATTGCCATCAGGTAGTAAAAAGGGTTCGAGCTCAGAGACAGTTGAATCCGAAAGTTCTGGTTCCGATGATGACCTTCCTTCGTCACGGTCTCATATCAATGCTCGGGGAGACGGAGACATACCCGCCAATACTGAAGTTGGAAGCGGCCTTAAGCGACCACTAGAGATTGGCGAGGATGGGCGTCCTATCATAAAGCGACGGAAGAGGATGCCAAAAACAAAGCCAATCGAAATCCAAGAGCCGGCTTGGGAGGGTTTTGATTCAGAATCTGAGTCTAGCGCAGATAAAGAACAAGGAGATTCAGAAGCGGACTCACACCGTGGAAGTGGTGAGTCCGAGGAAGACACTGTTTCAGACTCAGAGAATGAGGAAAATTCGTCCTTTGAAAGCGAAGCTGAAACCGAAAAGAAAATTAAACCTCGCCAATCTGCATTTAAATCGTGGGCGGTACAACAAATCAATGAGGCAGCAGGGTTTACTCCAGGTACTGTTGCTGCTCCCACGCTTCCTCAAAATGCCAAAAATTTTAAACGGAGAGATACGACAGAAGAAGAGGAACCACTACCTCAAGAACTGAGAGTGACAAATGGAGATACGAGTAGGAAGTCATTTGCTATCCAGATAAATAGGCCCGAACATATCCAAGCCGCTCGCTTGAATCTTCCTGTTGTTGGGGAGGAGCAGAAGATAATGGAAGCCATTCACAACAACCCTTGTGTGGTCATATGGGGGGCAACAGGAAGTGGAAAAACTACTCAACTACCCCAGTTTCTTTTTGAGGCCGGTTATGGAAGCCCTGATAGTCCCAATCCTGGAATGATTGGTATCACTCAGCCAAGACGAGTGGCTGCTGTCAGTATGGCGAAGCGTGTCAGCGAGGAGCTTGCTCAATACTCGGACAGGGTCTCCTATCAAATTCGTTTTGATACTTCAGTTACATCAAAGACTGCAATCAAGTTTATGACAGATGGTGTCCTGATCAGAGAGGTGGCACAGGACTTTTCACTTTCGAAATATTCCACGATCATAATTGATGAAGCCCACGAAAGGAGTGTCAATACCGATTTACTAATAGGCATGGTTAGCCGTATCGTGGATTTGCGGAAAACTATGAACTCAGAAAATCCATCCATAAAACCATTGAAACTAGTCATCATGTCTGCAACTTTACGGACATCCGATTTCCTTCGAAACCCAAACCTCTTCCGCAGTGGAACTCCACCCCTTGTCCAGGCGGAAGGGCGACAGTTTCCTGTCACTATTCACTTCTCTCGCCGAACTCATCGAGATTATGTTGAAGAAGCGTTCCGAAAGGTTTGTAGGGGTCATCGTAAACTGCCTCCCGGCGGTTTTCTTGTCTTTCTCACGGGTCAGGGCGAAATCAAGGACCTCTCAAAGCGTCTCAAAGCTGCACTAAAATGCACACAGCCTTCCAGCCGTTCACAAGCCAAAGTTCAGATCAGACCGTCGGAGGCCTCCGTAGAGGCAGACGATATTGACTTTGGTCGTGGAGGAGAGTCTGCTGCCGCTTTTGATGGAGACGATGATTTTGATAGCGATATCGATATAAGGGGAACAGATGAAGACGAGGAAGATGATGAATTCGATGAAGAGGAGGGCGCTGTCGACTCAAAATCTTCTGTCCATGTACTGCCTCTGTATTCCCAACTGCCAACAACAGAACAGCTTCGAATTTTTGAACCGGTGCCCGAAGGTTCTCGTCTTATTGTGCTTGCAACGAACGTCGCTGAAACCAGTTTGACAATACCCGGAATCAGATACGTCTTTGACTGTGGACGTTCAAAGGAAAAGCAGTATGACCTATCCACTGGTGTCCAGAGTTTCCCAATTGGATGGATCAGTAAAGCGAGTGCAAGCCAGCGTGCTGGACGTGCTGGCCGTACACGGCCTGGCCATTGTTACAGACTCTACTCATCTGCGGTCTATGAAGATTCGTTTGCAGAACATACGGAACCAGAAATTCTCCGTACCCCTATCGAGGGGGTGGTGTTGCAAATGAAGCACATGGGTCTACATCACATCATTAACTTCCCTTTCCCTACTCCTCCGGACCGTATTGGTCTTGCCAAAGCAGAACGTCTTCTCAAAAACCTCTCTGCTTTATCACTAGATGGGCAGGTCACAGATGCAGGTCAACATCTTACACTGTTTCCCCTGAGCCCGAGATTTGGAAAAATGTTACATATCGGCCATCAGCATGACTGCATGCCATATACAATAGCCCTGGTATCCGCACTCTCAGTGTCAGAGGTGTTCATTCAAGAAAACCAGCTTGATTTAACGAAAGACAAACCTGCTGGAGATGATGAGGAAGAAGACAAAGTGTACACAAACGCAGATAGACTCGAAGACGATGCCAGAGAGCAGCGCCGAAAGGACTATCAGAGAGCGCAGAGGATATTTAGCAAGCACGATGAAAAGTCTGATGCTATGAAATTCCTCACAGCAGTTTGCGCATATGCGTATGCCCCTAACGGGGAAAAATTCTGCTCTGAAATGTTTTTGCGACCGAATGCTATGAAAGAGGCGTCGCAACTACGTCGTCAGATATCCAACCTGGTTCGGATTAACAATCCAAACTTGTTGGCGCAATTTGAACCCCGTCTACGTGAACCATCCGAAAAACAAATCAGGGCATTGAAACAGATTACAGCTGCAGGTTTTATTGATCAAATTGCTATCCGTGCGGATGCTTCCCCAGTTCGCCTCGATATGCCGCGGAAACCGAGAAGGGCCATTGATGTGCCATACCTGACACTATTTCCGTCTCGCGACCACTATTCCTCTGAATTAGAGGACAGGGCAGTTTATATACACCCTTCGTCCATTCTTGCTAAGCTTTCATTAAACGAGCTCCCCCAATATGTGGTGTATTCTCACTTGCAGCAGTCTACATCTTCCCATATTGGAGACAGTCCCAAAGTTCGTATGTTCCCTCTCACGCCTGTAAGCGGTCTTCAATTGTCTGCCCTTGCACAGGGCACACCCCTGATTGAATATGGCAAACCAATTGGGAAGATCGAGAGTTTGGGAGGGTCGCCTGAAAGACGAGAATGTTGGGTGGTCCCTTCACTCGTTGGAGAGCCTGGAAGTACTGGTTGGCCATTACCAGCTAAGAAAGTTATTCAGGTCAGGGATAAGAAACATGGATGGATTATCGACCGCTTCGTTCAATAGAGGTAATTGGGTATATATGTTCCTTTATAGAGGAGATTTTCTTCCCTAGTATCTTAATGACGAATTTATTTGATATGTAGATAACGGATGTATGAAACTTAATGTCTGATCGCATGTAAGAGTATAGACATTATGTCCAAATGACGAAAATCCCTTTTGGCCCATAATCTCGCTAGCTGGAAATCCCCCAAACGCCAATTCCCTGGGTAAAACAGTCATAGCTGGCTCGTAGAATACAGTAATGGTTTCAATCAAAAAAAAAACGCACAAGATCTCTCTACATTCACCTACCACCGTCGGCTAGAATCTCTATCAGCATAGCGGTCTCTACCTCCTCTTTCACGATCCTCACGACGACCGGAATCCCAAGGGTCTTGTTCTTCTCCGCGTATACCAAGTGCTTTTCGTAGCCGTTCACTCTCTTGAATCTTAGCCTCGGCCTGCTCATGAACCTGGTATGTTTTAAATTGTTTGCGACCTTTATATCCGCTTTTCTCCTCATGGCTATTTGGACGTCTTTGCCTTGAGGGATATGGTTCATAACCAGGCTGGTCTCTGAATCTCGCTTCCCGGGAAGGTCCTGGTTTGTGCCTACCAGCCAACTCATCTTCCAACTCATTCGTAAGCCTCTCACGGAGCTTATCAAGCCTCTCCTCTATCTCTTCCTCTGTTAATTCGACCCTTCCTTCTCGTGTTTCCTCCTTAGTTTCCTCTGAATCCGTCTTGTTCTTCGAAGCGAGCTTCTTATTTTCCTCCGCGACCTTCTCGTTTTCTTCCTCCAGCCTATCTCTTTCTTCTATGATCTGAACTTCAATAGCTCTCCTCCGGTCATGCTCGAGAATTTGCTTGTCTGGCTGCCTCTGCTTAAATCCAGCATCGCTGGGCCCGTTATCACCATATCCAGCAGGTGGGGTTGCGTAGTTCGGATCGCGAGGTTTCAGCAGTGATAAATTGCGCTGGACATATCCAGATGTCCCACTCCCACGAGGGGTGGTGAGGCCAACGTTTGAAGTCATTGTTCTGTGTGTTGTAAGATCACTCTGGTAGTTTGATTAGGAGGCTGGAACAACCTGATGAGGATAGTTAATTAATGTGCTAGGAAGTCCTTTCGTATTCAGGGTAGGACGGGTCGAATAGTAATCTCCCTTATAGGCCAGGGTAGCAGAGGATCAAGGGCAGCCTCTGTATCATGTTCAACCTGTCGTGTCTTTTCGGTCGTTGCGTAGCTCAGGTTGAAAGCTTTCGCTGCCAGAGGTTGTAATGTCTTGGCATAGTTAGAAGATTATGTAATATGCCGAGAAAGTTGAAGAATAACGAGTTGAACCTGTTTGGGCTCGTTAATTATTTATGATACAGCAGAAAGGACCATTAATTACATGATATCAGTCAAATAAACCCTGTCCAAAGACGAAATTGTACCGGCCAATTAGAACGGTATCAACAGTGTTATGCTTTTCAAAGTATACTTGGGTAATGCGAACAAGTCAAGTCGCATAGTCTATATATGCCCATTAAACAACGTTTATGAGCTGTGTCATGCCCACCCAAATATTTCTCCCACGCTGAGTGTGCTCCATCGTACACCACCGGCTGCGATAAAGATGACCGCAATATCAACAACAGCCAGGACAGCAGCACCCATCATGAATCGCGGGCAGAAGATGCGGTACAGCATTAGATGTCTCCTGAGCCAACCAGCCCACATAGTCGTGGCTAAGCTGATGGTTGCGTAGTATAGCATGTGAGTTGCTGTTGCTTGTGCAACGTCACTCAGAAGTTTGTTGGTTGGAGAAGATTTTTTAGAGACCTTTTGTGGATCGCCCTGTGCTGGCACCAGGGATGACGCTGCTGGCGCACTGGTCGGAAGCTTGGAGTTTACGCGCGACTCAATCGGCCTTTTCCAGAGAACCGTGAGTGGGACGGCGAGGGCGGATAGGATTTGGGGTCCAAATGTATTCATAGTCACAAGGATAGGGGACCACGGGTATTGGACAGTTTTGAGCGGGATGAACGCAGTCTCCCACTGGATACTGCTAAGAGTAGCTTGGTGACCGGTTGTGAAATAGTGAAACGAGCCGAGGAGCGCAAGGACTATAGGACCTGTCGCAGAGTTAGTGGTAGTAAGGTTATTCGTATCAAGGATCTCCATGAGTGAGAGTATTTGCCAGATCTGGAGGCCGACAGCGCCTCCACCCATAGGCTTCTGAAGGAGGATTATAGCTAGAGTAAAGTTGACTAGGAGCAAGAAGTAACGGGTGCCGTAAATGTTTGCGTAGCCTAGTATTGTTACGGATGTTTTGGCTTCGCCGGATTGGGTGCTATTTGGGGTGACACCAATACTGACACATGGTTTAGCCCATGCAAACGTCGTAGACCCAGCGGCAAACGCGATGGCGAGTACGACTTGAGCCAGTATCATGCGTGCTGATTTCATATGGTCCTTTCGAACGGCGAACCAGTCTCCATCATCTGCAGCGTCGAGTGTCCAGTAGACTGCAACGATAAGGAGGCCCATTCGAAATGCGAAACCGATCCAGAAGATAGCCGAGCCCTCGTACGACTTCGTTCCCTGGTAATATGACCGGATCACAGCAGGGAGAAGTAGAGATAAGAAGAAAGGGATGAGCAGTTGCAAAGGAGAAGAGGTGGAGGAGTTGTTGGAGGCATAGTAGGTTGATTTGCAATAAGGCATTTGTTCTTCTCTGCAAAGTTTCGACATCGATGCAACCCTTCCAAGCAATGTGAAGACAATGGAGTGATAGAACCCAAGGACTCTATCCGCCGTAACCTTCTGCCTCATTGACGAAAAGGCAGCAACTACACCAAAGGTCGTAAGGAAGAACAAGAGTATTTGATCCTCCCAGATGGTGTAAGAGTTCGAGGCAAACCCAACAGATTGGGCAACGGTGAAGATAAACATTGCCCACCCCCACAGGGATCTCGGTATAACGGTGCCAACAGTTTTTTGGCTTTGGAGCACCATTGAGGCTGCTGATATAACACCACCTGTAACACACCCAAGTGCTATGCTTTCAGCGATATGCAAATCCAAAGCAAGGCTGACGTTTAATATCGCACCAACACCAACACCGGCTAGGGAACCATATCCGATTTTCCGCAGCGTAAAGTATGTAATGTTTGTTCGATTGCCCCGAATTGCACGAGCGTAGTAAAGTAGCAAAGTTACACCGGAAACGAGTATAGCGATTCCTTGAGCCATGCTAGGGATGTCAAATTTGGCCCACAACCCCTTACATACGGAGAGTGTAAGACGCTGGTAATCTCGGTAGGTATTATAGGTTGCTTGGTATGTAGCCTTCTCAGTTTCGCCTGAGTCATGGATGTCTTTCCAATTCTGCTCGGCCTCGGACCATTTTGAAAGTGGGTTTGATGTTTGGGCTGCCTCATTTCCACGAGCCTTAAAATACTCATGCTGATATCGTTTGATTTGCGCCGAGGTTAGTCGACTAACGGCTGCAAGGTTGCGGAAGTCCTGACCTGATTTGCCAGCGAATGCTTCTTCGATTGGAGATCCAAGATTATTAAATGGAATAGGTAGACCAAGGAGCAAGGACAGGGTAGGCACAAGGTCTATTTGGGGGATTGGACGCTCCTTTGCCGTCGTGGGTGGCAGTAGAGACTCGTCACTTACTCTGCCAAAAATACCCTTTCTTGAGTACATCCACAGTGCAGCTTCGATTTCATCGTCAGATTCACCACCATGGTCGCCCTTAGGATCCATTCCGTGGTCACCCATCACAACCAGTAAAGTCTGATCATCAATTGCATCCATCATTTTACGAATAAGGGCGTCCATTTCGGCCAGTTTGTCAGCCATGGCAGGGTGATCTGGTCCATATCTATGACCGGCATGGTCCACACCGAGATAATGACCAATCAGTACGTCCCATTTCGTCGAGTTGTCTGCATGTAGTAAAGGAAGGATATGTTCAGTAACCCCATTGTCAACAGTAAATAGATCCCAGACATTAAACGAGTCGTATGCATGCGTAAGCTCCTCCTCAAAATATCCAGGAAATAGTGCGTGCCAGGTGTCATCTCCTAAATGCACGACACGTTTTCCAGCAGATTTCAATTGCGCAATGATATTATCTTCGTCAATTGCGGTTCCGGCAAAGTTAGAGCCTGCATCAATAAACGTTGGTAATGTGCCAGTAGTTAACCCCTTGAGACGCTGTAATGTGGTCGTAGGCGGGTCGGCAATGAACGGGAGGAGAAATGCATCATTCGGCGTATTGACTGCGGTATCATAGAAAACAGGGATATTATCGTGATACAGACGAGGTGGCCGGCCTTCAGCTATACTCTTGGGTGGAACGGTGAAGTCGTATCGTAGAGCATCGATAATGATCACTACGGCTTTATCGAAGGTCTTGGGGTGCCAACAGCCCTTTCCGGCGCCATCTTTGGGAGCATCAATGCCCAGGTTTGCCGGCGCAATTGCATCGGGGTGATCTTGTAGTGGTAAGACATCACATTGCGATTTATCTTCCAGTACCAGCCGAGTTAATAAAAACCCTTTGGTAAAGAAATATATCCCTATTATATGCACAAGGCTATGTCCCGGAGCTTAGCATCATACAATTTAAACATAAACAGTTTTCATCCCATTGGGAAATCAACCTACCCGAACCACCCAAGTAACAGCGATATACCTATATGCTGGACCTTAAATTCATTCTCTTTCTCCTTATTCCGCTTGTCGTCCTGTTGCTTTGCCCTTTTAGCAAGCTCCGACTGGTCCACTGATGGCTTCTTTGCGCGCTGAGGTTTTTCTGCCCCAGCAGCACGTTTAGCCTCCTCTTCAGCCAAAAGCTTAGCAAACTTGGCTTTAATCTCGCGGTATTCAGGATTGACATTCGAGGATGAGGAGGATGGAGTTTGTGCGGCGGAGGCTTTTTGGGAGGTGTTTGGTTTCATGATGGCGCGTCAGATCAAACGGAAGAGCGGGACGACTGGGGAGGGGACGATTTGAGCGCCTTTCGGAGGCAGGTATTCTAGTACGGATGGATGCAATTAAATCATGTCGTCCGCTGTTGCTTTATCATTTGGTCAAACGAGTGTGAGAAGCATTGTCAGCTGGGTTTGTCTTATGTGAGGCCAATTGGTCTTGTTTTTGCCCCCTTTCCAGCTTGACACGGAACCTCTTAACGAACAGCCCCAAAGACCTTGTTAGAACGTGTACCAGCCGCGATTAGTTAGGGCTACTGGCGGGCGGTAGGAGTTGAAGGCAGCGTGAGAGAGCTAACGAGAGGGTGGTATCAATCAACCCACACTTTTTGGTAGCCCCAAGTTTGGGATGTTTTGCACAAATTTGATATCACGTGGCTCTACAATGACCCGGCGTTATATTCAGAATAAATAGATAAATTAATGGATTTACTAAGAAGTATAGCCGAAATACACACACATTGCGATTAACGCATGTGCTGTGTATAGAAAGGTAAATGGTTTGGAGATAAGGAAAAGGAAACAGAGAAAAATGGGGATCCAATTTGGGGGGGAGGGGGCAGGGGCCGTCCGGTAACATGCCGACAGCACCATGACCAAAGAAGTAGAAGGGTTCATCATACACACCAAATGAAATAGAGAATAAGAATTAAGAGGGAGAAAGCCAATAAGGGACAAGGAAACAGTAGGAGGTATGCCACAGGGTTACTTACTCACGCCCTAGGAACGTTTCAGGGCATGGTGGGTCATGACAAGGAATATACAGAAACAGAACGATCGGAAGACCCAAGCTCGCATGCCTAGGCTTGAGGGGAGAAGAGCCAAAAGGATAGTCGAGCTGGGTAAGATATGAGTATAAAGGGAAAGGAAAAACGCACACTGCTAGGAGCCATAGGTCCGAGAGGTATCGAAACGAAAAGAATAAACGCCCAAGCGTCGTAGTCGTAAAATGGGGGGATTCACCGCGCGTGGAAGAAGAGGAGATCTATAATTTTTGGGTTGAAGTAGGAAACAAGCATTCATTGTCTATGAATACTGTTTGAGATCTCCTTTTTCTTTAAGGCCGCCCATCCGCTCGAGGTCGAGGGACTGAAATCGCTCGGTGCTGTCAGACTGGTATGGTGGCAGGTCCTCGTTGCATGGTTCGAGACCGATGCCGCCCTTTTCACCTATTCTGACGACCACAACCCGGCCAGAGGTGCGCTTGCCAGCAGCATCTTCCTCCTCCGGGAAGGTGATGCGAATTTCAGGGACTGGGCTCGAAGGTCGGCTGGATTCTTTCTCATCAATCATGCACTGACCGTATGAGGTGGCGGTGATGGTGAGACGGCGGCGGCTGGTGGTTTTGTCGTAGAGTGGGAGTTCGGACTGGCGGCGCTCCTGCATGAGGCGGCGTCTTCGGTTGAGGAACATCAGGATACCGACCAGTGCCATGGTAAAGAGGATGATAGCAAGCAGGGCAATCAGGAGGTTAACGAGGGTAGGGCTTAGGTCATTATTCTCCTTGCCATCGTCGCGCTTGAAAATGGCGCGCAAGTTGTCCATATTGTTTTGCGATTGTGGTGTTTTCTTGTATTTTCGGGTGGAGTAGGTTGGAAGACTAAGTATATTTTTGAAAAGAACGGCGGTTATCTGGTCAATGAAGGTCTGTATTCGGGCAGGACTGGCGTGATTTCCAGGCAGAGTATTGCTGTATGGTCGTGAATGAATAGAATGATCGGTAGGTCGTCAAGGCGAAGGTAAAGAGCGGGTCAAATTGCGAGCGTCAAGCAGAGAATGAACGGACAGTGAGGCAGCCAGCGAAAGAATGAATCTGGCACCCACTAGGCAGAGTCAAAGGAGGCAGGAGAAGAAGAAGAGCAGCAGTCGAGCTCGAAGCGCCGAAGATGTGCTTCTTGTGATGTTGTTGAAGGTCGAGAAAGAAAGAAAAGAAAGAAACGAAAGACGAAGCGAGGAGGCAGAAAAAAGGGCGGTGCCAAAAGGGGGAAAAAGGGCTGCAGCCGCCAGGGCAGACGCCGCTAGTCCCGAAGCAGACTAGTGCTAGAGGCATTGGCCAATAAGAATGAGAGCAGGCCCCACTTTGCGCTGGTCCTGTGCGAAAGTCAGCCAATAAGAGCATCGAGGTGCCTTGCTTGCTTAGTCACGAACCCATCAGCTTAAGCCGTTTAAGCATAAAAGGCGAAAAAGATAAAAAAAGAAACACAAGAAAGATATATTAAAAAAAGGACGATCAAAGAGGCAGACTGATATTCTACAGAGTCGGAGTCGCAGAGCGAAAGCACGCCTCTACAGAGGGCAGCGGTGTTTTCGAGGCGGGCGTGAGAGATGGCTTGCCGCCGTGTGGTGGTTGGAGGGCCTGCATGGTTGCCCTGCCAGACGTGAAGGAGCGTCATTGGTCCACATGCCCTGCCAACCAACTGCAGGGAAGCGCCGGCACTATCGAATCACAGAGGCTTAACACCGGCAGGTTGTGTGACTGCGAACTCTAACACACCATCCGCTGGCGAGAAATTCATGCTAATGTTATTCATATGCTCTCGATGGGTGAAGATGCAGCAGAGTACTCCATACGGAGACGTTGGTTTCATTTGCCGAGTTATTGTCGCAACAATGCAGAGGTTGACGCTCCTGTGATACGGCAAGACAACTCCGAGTGACGTGAGAACAAAAGTCGATGGCGAGAGCATTCTCAGAACACCCTTGCAGGACTGGTTATTATTATTATCATCATCGGAATGTGGCGTGGTGAGCGGCAATTGCTCAGGTACGGAGATATGAGACCCTTCCCCGGCTCGACTGGCCTGGTCTGGCTGGGTACGACTACGGAGTACAGTTTTTGCCATCGAGCAAAGAAACGTCTCGCCGGACAGAGGGATGCAGGTCTTGGGCATCGAACAATCCAGCATTTTAATCCCAGGTCGTTTAAAAGAAGATAATCTAAAAATGCCTCGTTTTGAGGCCCAATATATATCCCCCTGCAACCACTTGCTTTCTCCAAAATACAAGATAGGAGAGCCCTCGTTCCGTTCGTCCAGCGGACCAGACCCGAGAAGCTGACAGCAGTTCTGGCCATCGTGCCGCCGTTCGACTATTTTTTTTTTTTCCTATCGAGATAGGTTGACCTCCTGGGTCTGGCGGAGGTTTTCTAGCTACATACATAGGACTATTGGATACTTCCCTGTTCGTGTCGGTGATTTCCCTGGTCATCGCTCTTCGCCGGGAGCCAGAGGCCAGTTTGCACCGAGGCTGTGGGATGCTGGACGGGGATTCCTATTTTTATAGCCTCCTATCTTGCTCTTCAGCAGGGTTACCGCCAGGGATTTTCACTCTGAAAAGCTCAGGCCGCTTCGCCCACTCTTATGCAAGGGGCCGAGTGAACTAAAGAGAAAGCGACAAATAATTAATGGTTAATTAACAGGAGTTAAGGCAGTATGCGTCTATCAATTTCGGAGTTTTCTGGATATTAAAAGTGTATCTGTCCGTATATGCTGCCCGTTTAACTCATGTTGTTTATTCGGTAGACGCTAAATTGCCGGTGGATTCTTATGAGGCCATTATCTACTTTCACTACCAGTGATGAAGTCGGTTTGGATACCCAGATTGGAATACCCCATAGTGGTAAATAGATATTTGAGACTACTGGTGCAAACGGGAACAGAGGTGGTCATATAGATCGTCCTTTTCTGTACCATCTTGTGCCTAGTTCCGGTCCCAAACCACTCATTTACCCTGCATTGCATGGAAGAAGTTGGAAGCCCGGCTGTAGGGCTGCCTCCACTATTTGGATATCATATCAGGCGCCGGAGAGCATGCAGTGGGAAGTCTAGAATATGGTAGTTGGTGGTGGTGGTGGCCCTCGATGGGTTGGAAGGGGTGGTTAGACGAGAAATACCTGTTTGATATACCGTCTCTCTTTATATACTAGAGCGTACGGAGTACAAATAATGGGTACATAGCTTAAAAGAAACCAAGCTGAATGTGCATTCTAGGAATCGACTATTTTAACCAAACAAAATGATGGTGGTAGCTCACTTTCTACAATTGAACAGCGCCGTACCCATCTATTCAGTATGAAGTATTTGCCTTGTATCGAGCCCTCCCACAGCTCTACCGATCGACGGTGGCTGATAATCGTCCCTCCCCCGTACCTGGCTTGGATCCGAAGAAGCAAAAAGGGAAAAAAGCAACAATCTTCCTCGTTTTTTGGTCGGTTCCTGGGAGCAAAACTTGGTTTTCTTCTTTTGTTCACCAGCCATGAGTTCAACCACGGATCAGCAGGTCAAAAAAGAACAGGTACTCCAACTATGAAGTCATCAGTCTTGCTATAAAAGGAATAATCTTGGTCGAAGAGCAGTACAAGTACCGAATTTTCGTTTTCGAGTTGGGCTTAGTATCAGTGATGCAGCCCCCCGATCCTGCGCCGGGTGGTCAGCTTCTCAGCATAGCCCAGCTTTCTGGGCAGGCCACACTTTATTGCTTTTTTGCTGTTTCCCCAGAGTCCGAATGGTTGTTATACCAGACCGCCAGAGAAAAGGACTGACTCGCGACTGTGTGCATAAATCTGTGGCTATAGCAGAGCATTCATTCCCCCATGCGGTAGTGGTACTGGTACAAGTACTCTGTGCAAACGAAGGAGATGAGCAGTGCCCCCAATTGTACATCTGCTGGCCCCCAGTTCACGCAGGGAGAGCTAACAAACAGTGTCGTGTGCTACCCCACGCAGCTGCGATGGCTAAGCAGGCTAGGTCGGGACTGAAGTCGACAAGCAGAGCAAAGGGGCAGAGACTGTCTTCCCGTGGTTGGTAGCTTGTACTCCATACGGACTGATTTCGACGGCTGCTGGTGCTGCCTGACTTGCTCGTATCTGCGATGTACAGGAATCGATCATGACACGTATATGCCATCTCCATCCTATTCAGCTAGGCGAGGTCACAATAAGATGACCAGTTAAGCAGCCGAGTAACTGTTGGGACGTTTGACGAACCAGCAAGATGTAGCTTGATGTCAGTACTCGTCGTCCCGTCCGTTTTACGACAAGGACGGGTAACCGTACGGAGTACTGTACTCCATCATAACCCTCTCTCTCTCTCTTTGTGTACGAGCCGAAGCACTCCCAGAGACGGTTCCAAACCTTGGAGTACGGGGGAGGGGATAGAGACTAGGGCTAGCGCATGGATAGAGGCAGTGGACATGCCAATTATATGTGCGTAATATGGACGATTATCCCCATCCCTATCATCCATCCCTCGTCTTCCAATGATAAAAATGGCAGGCAATTCCACACTGGACCGGGCAAAAGGTCACACAGCAAACACACTCACATATAAACGCTGCCTGTCATTCGAAGTCTCTGTACAACTTTCCCGCTAGAGTATGGGGGGCCGCATCGGTACCCCAACCATCGATCGTAAGTTAGTAAGTTATGTATCATGAGAGGACCAGCCAGAACCAGAACGGCAATAATGGGAAGGACTATCAGGTCGAGGAGTCAAGGGTGTGTTGGCGTATAAGTATATGGATTTGCTTCTTTGTGGATCGTCTAGTTTTCCTAGGATCAAGTGGACCCCTATACCGGCCTTAAAACGATCTGCTAGGTGGGCCACTGGCCCTATCTTTGAGCCTTTTAGCCTCCCCCCCCTGCGATGCTCTTCATAACCGCTCAAATAACTAATGGCCGAGGCGTTCTTCAGTTGTGTCGGGGGGGTAGGGGAATAGGGGGGAGGAGAGGTCTGGAACCTTTTGCACGGAGTCCATCTCTCAATAGATATCGGGCTGTAAACCATGATAGAAGTGCCTCTCTGCCTGCTTCCATACGACTCACACACCCTGACATTGGCAGTCGACCATGAGCCATGAGACAAGTTGAAGGTATTCGCCGATCCGTGGCCCATTGGCCTCCGCGCTGGTCCACCATCGCGATTGGCGCGATGGTACGGAGGTCCCATCCATTATTATTTCTCCCTTGAAAAAGCCAAAAGAAGAAAAGAAAAGCCAAAAGGAAAAAGAAGAGCGAACTGCTTCTTCCTGCCCATCCTCCACCCTCTCTCCTCCCCGGGTCCCCCTTCGACGGGGCTGGGCCATGACGGACAAAGATGCTGTACACAGCAGGACGATGTACGATGAAGGCGAAATGTTGCACATAGGCGGGTAATACCCAGGGCAGGCTAGTGTGTGCTTGCGGCCCCATCGTCCCCCCCCCCGTCTGCGCTCGTCTCGCTGCCTGCCTCCGTCTTGGGACGATGCTCATGCTGCATGTCCTAAAAAGCTTCCCCCTTCCCGTAGCTGCATATTCCGTAGGCCCTGAACTGTGTCCCCATCCGCTCGAACTAAGAGCAGAGATGCTTGAAAAAGAAACGAGCGAAAACAGGAAAAAGTGATACGTACAGCGGGCCAAGTTGGCCTCTTCTCTCTCCCTTTCCCACTACTGGGCTATCTTGGCCCTTCGTTCTCACCTCCCGGTGACAAGGTGACATCTAGCCCGCGGAGAGAGGCAGGCAGGCGGGCGTGTGCGGTTTATCCAGAGACGGATGGAGTTCAAGCGTCCGTCTCTGGCTGCTGGCGAGCTTGAATAATAATAGCTTGTTGGCCGGGAGGTTGGTAGAAGTAAGTATTATTGGCAGCGCCCTGGGCCCGTCAGGTCGGCCGCAGCGTAGAACAGCCAGCCGGACAAATGGCCAGCCATGGCCAAGCGTAGGTTGCGGGCGTCGAGCAGCCTCTCCCTCGACGTTTCTGCCGCCGTATTCGCCTGTGTTTGGGCGTAGATATATTTAATATCAAATCCTGGTGCACGACGGTTAGCATCCGGCATCCCTGAAGTAGCTTGGGATAATCCTCAACCTTCGCCCTGCTCTCTCCCGTCCGCATCGTCAGGTCATTGTCGTGTACCGGCCTTGTCCCTCGCTGCCCGTTGCCTTTATACGCCGTAGTTTCACACGCTGTGCGACCTCTTGCTGATACTTCTTTGATTTTTGCTTCTTCTGCTGGCCGTGGGTGGCTTTTTTTCTTCTTCTTCTTCGCTGCGTCCGCTTTTTCTTCAGGCCAACCACCAACCATCGCCAAAACGACCTCCCCGGGACGGCGACGACAACGAACAACCGCCGCCGCCGCCGACGACGACGACGACAGCAACAGCGACGAGCAAGAGTCCCTGGCTAGAGCAGCAGCCTGGCCTCCAGACGGCAAAGTCGATTTTGTCCGTCTTCGCCTACCATCGAGAACTGGACGGAAGCCCCTGCGGTGCCATCATGTTGCCGTCTGTGTGACAGCTTCATGCGCTTTTGACCTCTCTTTGTCCTCCATCGCAGGCCGCTGCCTTTGCTGAGCTGCGTCTCTTCGTTTCCTCCGTCTCGCTGAAACAGAAAGCAAACGCTGCTCCGTTTCGTTTCGTTTTCGTTGCTGGCCGCTCGCAGTCCGCAGTCCGCAGTCTTGCAGGGTGTGCAGACAGACAGAGATCTCCGCCAGCACCAACCACAACCACCAGCACCACAAACCACCATAAACGACCACGGTAGAGAGAAAGCAAGACAAGCAGGCTGCGCTGACGGCGTCTGTCCTCGTCCTTTCTGCTCCCGCTGGGCCCCCTGATCCGCATTCGATCTTCCCGCCGCCGCTCTCCCTACGTCTTCTCGAACCGGATCTCCCCCAATCGTTGTCCATACCGAAACAAAGCTTTGCTTGCACTGTAAATAGAAGCTCCGGCAGCTCAGAATCCCCCCTCTCGGAACGGCCCCCACGAGAGAGACACACATATACACCTACATACCGCACGCACGTCAAGCTCCTCGCTCACTGTACGTTGCCTTGCCGCCGTTTTGTTGTGACCGTTGGAGCCAGAGCCAGCCCAGCCAGCCAGCCAAACAGACGGATAGACGGCCGGAGGGGGACTGCTGTATGAACTGTCGAGACTGGTCGCGCTTCAACCCGGGGCGTATAATGTGAACACACCAGAGGTCAGTTGGAGCTCTTCCTTTGCTTCTTTCCTTCTTCCCTCTACTTCCTCTGGCCCTTATTAATTCCCAGGCGGCTGCTTGCCGCGATTGTGCTGTCAAACGCATCCCGGCCTTGCCCCATCCAATTGCCTGCATTCGGGTGCCTTGCTCTTAATTACCCTTCACTAAGACTCTCTGCTGCTTCTTTTTCTTCTCCTTCACTCTCCAGCCATTCCACTCCCTTCTTATTTCTTCACCTTCGCTGTCTTGCCTGTCCGAGAGAGACCTGGTTGGGTTCCGTTCAAAGGTCTCATTCCACGGTTCCAGGGCCGTGTCACTCTACCTTCACCATATATCAACTCTCCCGTGCCATAATATTTTCTCCTGGCCTCGATCTACATTATTCTATATCCCTCTACTTCTCTCTCTGCAAGCTCTGTTCCCCCCCCTTCCCCCCATTTCCCCTTTTCCCCGTTTCTTCCTTTCTCCCGTACGGCTGTCTTCTGTACATGATCTAGTTTGCTTTGGCAACAGCTTGATACTACTACTCCCCCCAAAAGTCCAAATATACACATTCACACCGCTTCCCCCGTCACTAGAAGTTCCTGAATTATTCACTGATACAGCTCACTAACTGTTCAAATCCAGCCAACAGTGACTTATTAACACTAATTCTATTCACGCGCAAGGCCTCTTCCTGTCTATGCCTATAATCTCTCGCAAATAAATTTGCTGCCCCTGGAACATATTCCTCTTCTTCCTTTCTTCCTTTTTATCTATTTCTCCCCCGCAAATTCAGGCCTTCTTACTACTGCAGATATTCCGTTAGAAATCTCTTCCTCTTTTTCACTACACACAGCTCCTTTTGATATCTACGTCAAAACCCCCTTGTTATTATTGCATCCTGTCTATTTGAAATACTATGGCTGCTATAGGGATGTCCAACGCAGCTTCGCAGCAGGCGGTAAGTTATTAAACACTATGGTCTTGATATATAGATCGCTTCTAACTGTTCCTTAGGCTCGCACAAATGGTCGAAACTCAACCCCTTCAGCTGGCTATACCAGTGAAAGAACCACTCTTGCTCAGTCTTCCGCTGCGTTTGGAAGCGGAGGCTGGAACAGCAATATCTGGTCACGTTCCGCTATGACTGGGATTTCTAGTACTATGGTGGAAAATACTCACTCAAAAGGTAAACTTTCGCCCACATGGTTTTATATGATTTTTTTTTTTTTTTTTTTTTTTCAAAATTCTCCATGCTAACCCTAGAAGTGGCTACTACCGCTGGTGGAGATGCAGTGACGGGATCCCGCTCTCTTTTGCCTTCATCGGAGGCCGAAGGCTGGGCTGGACAGCCTCTTCCGTGGAACTTTTCCCCTACCTCAAGCTCCCATGCGTCTTCGGGAAACGCAAGATCGAACACTCCTCCAGGACACTCCACCACTGTTAACCCTATTACTCGAAGTGAAACTCTATCCTATCTAGCATCAGCCCAACCATCCGCTTCAAACATGCCAAATAGTAACCGGGTTTCAAACTGGAGTCATTATCACACAACCTGTGATTCTCCAGCATCTACCACTGCATTTGACAATGGAGTTGGAAGAAACAGCCAGCATGCATCTACCATTAATGGAATCACAAACGGAAACAGTGCGCACAATGGGCTACCCGCACAGGAGCCACAGATGAATCCATTTGATCATGGTAATACCCTCCCATTCAGGGAAAACTCTAGGTCAAATGATCAATCTTCCTACTTTCCTCCAGCCTCGTCCATAAACCTGGCTTCAATGACTCCCTCCTCGAGCCATTTTGGGGCTGGCACTCCACGTCATTCGATATCAACAGGTCATGGTAGGCCTAGTTTAGCTGAAGATGAGCTTGCAGCCGCCTTATCAAAAATAGATGTCAAGGTTGCTGGCGCTTTAGCAGAACACCGACAACAAGCTCTACCTCCAAGACCATCATTTCAACAACGCGCATCGTATGACGCTGTCTTGTCCCGTGCCAATTATAACATCGAGCCCGAGGAACCCCGCACTCAGTACGCAACATACTCCCGAACAATCTCATCTCCTTCCGTCACTTTGCCGTCCCTCATTAGAAGACAAGATCGCACCCATCCAACTCTCGACCGCAGCTCTATCCCCGGCTACTATTCTAGCGTCGATGGTCAGATCCAGGAGTCCATGAGTCAGGGACTGTACTCTCCAAGATACCGTTATGCTGGTGGTGAGCGTAGCCCTGAAGAACAAGCTGAACTGCTAGCCCAGGGTTTGCGAGCAACCTTGCAACAACAGCAGGAGCAAGCTTACCCTTCCGTGGCCATGAGCCAGCTCCCCGGAGGTATCCATCTTCCTCCAGGCTACAGATATGCGGCATTCCAACCCCCTCAGCCTAACGGTATTCATCCCGTGCAACTACCCCTTTACTCTATGGGCCCATTCAGCCCTGTTTCCCCGTCACTGATCCGGCCTTCCACTTCAGACCAGGACTCCAATCAGGTAACTCGTAGTCCAGTCCTACAGGAGTTCAGAGCAAACAACAAGGGGAACAAACGGTATGAGTTGAAAGATATCTACGGTCACATTGTCGAATTCTGTGGTGATCAGCATGGCTCTCGCTTCATTCAGCTCAAGCTTGAAACTGCGAACAGCGACGAAAAGGAGCGGGTGTTCCAGGAGATTAGGCCCAATGCCGTACAGCTTATGATGGACTTGTTTGGCAATTACGTTATCCAAAAATTGTTTGAGCATGGCAACCAGGCACAGAAACGTCTCCTCGCACAGCAGATGCAAGGCAACATTTGCTCACTCTCTGTACAGACGTATGGATGCCGCACTGTTCAAAAGGTAAGCTTTCATTCAATTACCATAATCTACACTTACAAGACTAACCAAGCCTTAGGCACTTGAGCACGTCCTCGTCGAGCAGCAAGCCACCATGGTCAAGGAACTTGAAGACAGCGTGATGAAGTGCGTTACCAATCAAAACGGAAACCATGTCATCCAAAAGGCAATTGAACGCGTTCCAAACCAGCACATTCGATTTATCATTGATGAATTCCGTGGCCAAATTCCACGTTACGCCACTCATACGTACGGATGTCGGGTAATCCAACGCATGCTAGAGCACTGTCCTCTGGCTGACCGTTTATCCATTCTCGCTGAAATCCACGCTTGTACTCCAAGCCTCATTTCCGACCAATACGGCAATTATGTCATCCAGCACATAATCGAGTTTGGAGAAGAGGTTGACAAGAACAAGATCATTTCCATTGTGCTTGGCCAAGCAGTTCATTTTTCCAAGCACAAATTTGCCAGCAACGTGGTAGAGAAGAGCATCACCTTCGGCACTATGGAGCAACGTTTAGCCATTACCCGGATTCTGTCCGCTGTCAATGAGAAGGGAGAAGGCCCCTTGCTTGGGCTGATGCGCGACCAATACGGTAACTACGTCATTCGTAAGTTTCTCTCTTCGGATTCCCTCATAATGTCAATATCAGCATAGCTAATGGTTGGTATATAGAAAAATCTCTAAGCGTCTTGGAAGGTGATGACTACAAGATGCTTGTAAGCCGAATCCTTCCATTGATGCCTCTGCTGAAAAAGTGCAGCTACGGCAAACAGATTGCCGGCATTGAAGGGCATCTTCATAAATATGGAAACCCGGCTCCTTCATCCCCAACCTCGCCTGCGGACAGCGGCAAACCACTAGGCTTGGATGTTGACAACAACGTGAACAGTCTCGCATACACACGTGATAACAGCCCCGTCTACGATCTTTCCCCTGTCACCGCAGACAGAAGCTCTATACCAAGCGCAAACACAAGCGTATTGGAAGAATGTCAAAATGAAATGGCAAAGGAGGACGGCAGTGCCATCCTCAAGCCAGCAGCAGTCATATAATATCTACAATTCAATGAAGATTTCAAGGGCCATTTCGCAACCCAGCCCGATCCGACCCAATCTAGCGAGGCATTATGAAATTTGTACACTTAATCTAATCGACCACCTTTCAAATAATGGAAACGAAAACGGATATATACTTTTTTAGCATGGGGTTTAGGGATGGGAGGAATATCGCTCGTCGCTCTCGGTCGCTCTCGGTCACGTTTTCGTCCATCGCATTGCATTGCAGCAACTTCAAGCAAACAATTTGCCTGGCTAGGCATCTCACCCCCGATTAGCGCTGACATTTCCATTCCATTCATTTGTTTTTCAACAGGTATAAATGGCGGTTTCTTCTCTGGTTTCTTCTTCACAATCCATAGTTATCTTCCAACGTACCTACTTACTTATCCTCACAATCCTCCTTTTTTTTTCTTCAAACTGAAGATACATTGCGTTCTCCTACTTCCGTTTTATTTACCTGCCCTTTTGCACGCCTCATACCTCGCATTTCCCCCTTTTTTTCGGTCACGGTGACATTTTCATCATCGATATTACTGCTATCATGGGTCTTCAGGGAGTTTTTCATTACCAACTAGTTTAGGGAATGGTTTCTTTTCCAACGGTACGAGATAACATACGGTGGAAAGGAACACAGGGCTGGCGTTCGAGGCATGTTATTCTTATCTCTTCGGTCGATTCTAGTTGATCTTTCTTGCTTTTCTCTGTTTCACGTTTCATGGGTACTCGGTTTTCATTATACATCAATCATCTCGACCGAATAAAACCTACAAATGAACAGGCTTTTCCTCTTTTTTTTTTTTTTTTCTCTTCTCTTTCACGGGCACGACAGAATCAGAATATTCTATCCTCTGCTTTCTTTGAGGGGGATTCATGAAGTTGAAAAGCGGCTTAAATCTTTCTATGGACACCGCGGATAACAGGAATAGGGTTGATGTTGACAGGCCATATTTTGAGACCTCGTTTATTTCTCAGCCTGTCTATATTATACATCTCTTAATTTCATCAATGGCTGCTCTTCTGGTTTGCAATTTTCTTCCTTCATCCTAACTATTGATTTGTATCGCGACCGTCGAGTCATTTATCATCCTTGTTCTCGATGTTTGATTACGGAGAGTAGCTTCGCAATGATAAGACACAATA